CATAAAATCCTATTTTTGCACGCCACGATTTATCGCAGATACTCACACTCAGCATATGATATATTAACATTTGAAGTCGTTGTAGAGGGAACAAGATGGACACAACAGGATGTTCCACTTGATCCTGTGTTATTACACACCAAATCCCCAGATGCAATTTCTTTATTAGCAGCTATCTCCATGTTTCTAATAGTATTAGCGCTCGTTTCGCTAAATCCCAAGTGTTCACACAGCGTTTTTTGACGATTTTTATCCCAATTCTCCTCAATAACTTTTCTCCACGTTGTGTCATTCTTCACTTCAATGAAACCTTCGTTGGGTGACTTTGATAGTCTTATGTTGGACGCTAGAACGAAAACATGACAAACGACATCTGGAATGAACCACAATGCAATTTGTTGTCGAGACCGTCAATTTATTGGAAATATTCCCGTCTGGACCTATCAGTACAAGAAAACTATAGCTAGAAAAGAGGCACTGTCATTATCAAATGCCAAATGAGCAATGCTCGTTTTGCGACCACATCCCCAGGAAAGATTCTACGCAACGAGGTTTATTTTATCATGGCATATTTTAAAATAGGTAGTCATATATTGTGTGAGTGTATGTAAGGATATAAGTATATAATTACGCGTGAAAAAATATAGGAATGGTCTGAAGATGGGGTGTAATGACGCTCTTTTCTCAAAACAAATACCTTTAACGATTAAGCCTCAATTAGCTGAGCAGCCACATGGTAGCTACGTGAAGGAAAATCACAGAAAAATATGTGTACTGATTGACAAACCATATTGACCACGATGTTTCCGGTGTGGTGTAAAAAATTATACTTGGAAAAGTTTATACTCAGCGTTCTTTATATTAGTACTAGTTAAGACAACGAGGTTAAAGTTTTTGTAATAAACTCGTGTGCATGTTTTATCACTTGAAAGTATCTTATTTCAAAAGTTATCTCATTATTACCTGTTGTTTTGGGGTTAATATAGTAGTTATCCACACAAGTGTACTGGATAAAAAGTTCTTTTGTTGTATCAGAACAATGTTGTGATGACAGTAAATTATTGTCAACGGTCAGTTCACAAGATCTGTTTCCACCACAAAGAGATTTCACTTCACAACTTGCTTGTCCACTACACTGCGCATCAATAGCTGCATTCACATCAAATATCCCGCTATTATTGAAATCACCATAATGAGCTTTGTGGATCACCATACGTTGTTTTAAAGAACAATGAACATCTTTCATTTTGTCGCCGTACTGCGTCACTGAACCTAACATAGAATGGAGATACTCAACAATGTAGATCCCTGCTTTTTGGCTGTAGGGCAAGGTGATTAGTTTGCCCAAGACCCTTCTCTGCAAGGCCTCATGGGCCGCGATGGTACATGCACATGTGGCACAATTTGATTTTTGCATTTTTGGAAAAAAAATTTGATGTATCCTATGAAATAAACAGATTAATTCGTGAGAGTATCGTCCGTATATAAAATCCAGCATTTGTCTATTTTAGGATATAGAAGACGTCATCTTGGTTGAAACCATTTCCTTATCGAAATGTGGAATCTTACCGAATGTGAACTTTTGTTGTTCTTCTGTGTCGTCGCATCCATTTCTTTTCTGCATGATATATTTCTGATTGGCATCAGGTTGAGCACACGAGACAGTCCTGCTATTGTAAAAAAATAAAGGTCCAGCATCTCTTTGTTTCATGCTATGTTGAGCATCACGTTCAAAATTTGGATTCTTTATGGCGTCATAAATGACCAAGCGTTGTCTGTATTTACTACCATACATGAACGCAAGCGTCCCCTTCCTCGCCATGTTATGCACCGCTTCTGAATTTGGCCAATATTGTAGTTGCGCAGCAACATTCAAGCAATCAGACAGCACAGTCCAATATCGATGTGCAAAATCATTACTCCAAAAAGAGGTCTTTTCAGCTGACATACACTTTCCAGAACTGGTGTGTCTGAGAAAAAAACAGCGGCAACCTGCGAACGTAAAATAATTAAGTATCAGCACACGACACACTATCTGGACGAACTATGTATAGACGAATATATGTCAAACAATTAACAGAACCACGTTTAAAAAAAGTGCACGGGAATTTGGAAATTAGCTACTTATGTGGTTAAAACTTAAAAGTGCACAAGAGCCGTTTTATGATGATTATACCACACACGCCGCTTCTCATATCAGTCTATCATTTCTATCAAATATATGAAGTTCACATTTACATGACCTGTGTTTTGAATCAATTGTATGCATGTACTCGAATATAATTACCGCTAGCTGTAATAGGCAATTTTTAACACACAATTATTTCTTGCTATAATGAAAAAAAAATATTCGGAGAAGGCCAAATATCTCCTATTTCTTGCTACGTAAAAATTAAATCGTTGGACTCAATATTATGTAATAGACCTTTCTTATAATGACGTCAAACGCGGGAAGTCTGATCTTACACGAAGTTTGATTGGCTCGATAGTTTTGTGGAGCCAATTAAAATCAGACTTTCCGCGTTTGACGTCATTATAAGAAAGGTCTATTAGTCGTCACATTAACTTGAGCGCAACCGTGAGAAACTGAATATTTCATATTGTATTTCATCGATGATTAATCCTACAGTATTTCATCGATCAATTGTACAACTTGAAGAAAAAGTTAAAAAACGTAAAAGCAAAACAATCACGGAGTGATTGTTTATAGTTAAACCCGTAAATAAGTCGACTGGTTTGAATTTTTAAACCCGTAAATAAGTCGAGTGGTTTGTATTAATTAAACTCGTAAATAAGTCGAGTGGTTTGTATTAATTAAACTCGTAAATAAGTCGAGTGGTTTGTATTAATTAAACTCGTAAATAAGTCGAGTGGTTTGTATTAATTAAACTCGTAAATAAGTCGAGTGGTTTGTATTAATTAAACTCGTAAATAAGTCGAGTGGTTTTTGAGAACACATGCATGCGCCAGTTTGTCTTGATATATTCTTACATCCCAGAATCATTGGCTGTCTGCTGTAATAAATGACTAAATAAATAGAGCTGACGTATTTCATTGCAAGGTTTGCTTTGACTTGTATAACTTTGTAGATATTCGATCACACTGATGTTCTAACGACTAATACATGCTGACATGCAGTGTTATATTCATATGTTTGATAGATATATCCGCTATATTAGGCAAGCATGTTAACATTAAGCTGATTTCCATGAAAATTATAAAATCAAATCTATTTCTATTACCAATCATAAATATATTAAAAACTATCATTGTGGATCACACATTCCGCATCAGTTCTATCGTTTAAATACGGCCAGCCTAGCTTCTCACCTTTAATCACCAGTAGTGACACACCACATAAAACTAACCATCGATGAAATAACCAAGACATCTTGTCTTTTATCAAGCGATTTGAGCTTAGACGAAAGATGATAAATCACGAATGCTCCTTGAACTTCCGCATTTCAGGGTCGTTACGTACCTATATGAACATTGGTTGATGATAACAATAAAACACCATGAACTACAGAAATTGACTTCTCAAAGAACGAATCATAAACACTGTTCGCTAATTTACAAAAAGCCAATCACAAAACTCGTTCATATTAGCAAGATGCTTACTGCATTTCATGACTTCACTGGGGAAATTAGTCGACCATCCTTAGAGTAATTTGGGTTATTTAAACTTTCAGGTTTTCAAAGCAAAAACATTTAGCATGACAATATAAACGGATATACTCGTCATAGCTTGTTTTTTCGTTACGGATTGTTAATTATTTATTGAAACCACCCACACGACAAAAATGCGGCAATTTCTCCCTATGGGTCTTCTTATAATCCTGGTTACCCGACATCAAACGAATCGTGTGATCAATTCCTGAGCAGGTTCGCGTATAAGATTTTTTAAAATTCAAGTAGACAAAGGACAGTGATGTTAACAGTTATTTCAATTTTTTTTTCTTTGTTTTTTCCCGACTGCAATTTGTGGAATTAGAACTGATTAAAAATTGAAGACGTACCATGAACATTGCGGAAAATACATATTCAAATTAATCAAGAAAGCATTTTAAAATGTACAGTGTGTCCCAAAAAAATCAAACGACTTAAATATGCAGAACATTAATACAGCTCTAAAGCGCAATAGATAAGCACCTCTGGGAATTGAAAATGGCTCTTAATCCTTCATTTACAATGCTAGAAGTCATTTTAGCTAAACTATGGTGCAAACACGAACAATATTAATATTCTTGCATATTTAAGTGGTTGCGTTTTTTTTGGGACACCCTGTATATTATGTCAGATCAAATGATCAATTTCGCGAGGACAGACTTCCTTTTGACGAGTTTGTTCTCCACACGACACACGTCGCCCTATTTTTGTCAATAAAGCCATGCATAATCATCTGCAAGCGGTAAAATATAGCGACATGTCGATATCAACATAAGTCCTTCGCAGAAGAAAAACTTTTTTCTGGGAAAACTACACTATCTACTACACTGTAGTAAAAGAGCCCAACAATATAACAAAATGCTGAGAGGCTTTTAACTTAGGCACGCCATTTTAGTTTCATGTATCAGGCTAGGCAGATGAAAACCAGCCTTTCATATGAAAACCAGCCTTTCATTTGAAGACCACAGCCCAATTTCAATGTAAATTCAAACAAAACTTTCTTTTAATAGGGGTTACTTAATTTATACATGCACCATGTACTTTCACTTTCAACACGACTTTCAACCATTAGCCTTTTATCATGAGTACGACACTTATAATGACGCACATCATAGCGTGTTAGTTAATCATTCTTTTAAACCATTTACACAACAAAAGAAAGCAACGCAGATAGAAAACGTTTCCAGGAAAACTCTACCTTGCACACACAAAAAAGTACGCGTATAAAGAAAGCCAATCCTAATTCAATTGGCGAGCGATTCATCTCATATAACGTTTTCTCTAGGTGCATGGAGGATAATTAAGAACGATAAAACTCTTTAGGTGTTTAATTTTAATATAAGGAAACATATAATATTTACAGAGACTCCTTTAGTCCAATAAAAATATCGATATACGATATATATTGTTCGTTACACAATCGATACGAATTATTATTAGGCACATAGCCGTTAATAACCCCTTCATATAATTAACCCGGCATCCATTAAATTATATAATTACCAAAAATTTTACATCTAGCAGAATAGGTATACATTATATATATATACTTCAAACATTAATCATGCAGCATTAGGATCTGCACTAAAGACAGGATTTTGGTATTCCACAGGATTTTGACCACCCATTTTAGAATGACTTTGACCATCATTCGTGCTGTCGGGTTGCAATGCCTGATAAACGTTTGTTGGTTCTCTTTTGTCTTTTAACGACATGTAATCCGATGATTCCTGTCCTTTGTCTGTTCCACGTACACCCTCATTTCGCTCAATTTCTTCAATAACATCATCTGGAGTCTCGTATACCGAGTTCCCTTCATTCACATATTTGTTGCCAATCTTAGGTTCTTTATTGCCATCTGAAGGATAAACAGTTACATTCTATTATTAATAACTATTATATTTTTAGTGACTTCTTCAAATAAACATTCGTTTTCCAGTAGAGAGAGTTTTTCATATCAAAGTTGTACACAAGAAGTTGCATGGGATATCTTAAATGCATGGTGCACGCTAAATAGTTATGAATTTTAAACATATACTTACCAAACTCGTTTTTTCTATTTAGGCGACGCTGGTATATGATTACACCAAGTAAGAGCAAAAAGCACAGTGCCAGAATAATCATCGGTATGAGGAAACGTATACAGTTATCCGCATTTCCTAATTCTGTAAAGAGAACCCAGCTCTTAAGCCTTCTTTCCACTAGACGGAATTTGCGGAGTTTTTCTTTGTTTTTCTCGCATTTGTTCCTCATGAAAGCGACAATGAAACAATGAAAAATTCTGCTCCACGCACAAAATTCCACCTAGTGGAAAACCGCCTGATGGTCAGCAGGGCCGTAGCTAGGGGGGAGTGTTTATAATATGAAAGATAGCGAACAAAACAAAATACTCGGGAGCACGACGAATATATAAATATACACCCCCCCCCTTTTAATCTTTTAGCTACGGTCCTGATGGTACCTTCATAATGATCTTTATCATGTTAAACAACAAAATAGCAAGAAATTGATAGAAGTAAAGTATTCCAAATCGACAATGAAAACATTTGAATTTTAAGTATATAATTTACCTGAATGTTTTGCCATTGTGTAAATACTATCACTCCACTCTGTCGAGTAGTATGAATCCTAGGAAGATATACATGCGTTGTATAAAACTTTCTAGATAAAATTCATGAACGTCGTTCTGTAACTGAAGAGTTTTATTTTTTTCATATGAATATTTACATACTTGACTTTCAAAAAACCTTAAGAACACAACATAATTTGAATTTGCCGTTAAAGGTTGGTTGTGGTAATTTTTGTCTTCAGAACTGTAACTCTTGCCATCTCCTATTACGAACGTCAAGGGTAAAACATCAGCTTTCAAATAAGCAGTGATGTATGGATCCCGTGTGTTTGACTGGAAATTTTTGAGATCACTTGTTTTGATGCCTTCGCTTGAAACTTGATCATTCGCAGAACTTTTCACGATGACCATAACTTCTCTAAAGCATTAAATGATATGATGGAAAAAGTCAGGTTGCTCTATGACATCTTCTTTAAGATAATTTATGAAGACCTTTTACAAAAAAATTAAATATAGTAGCTATATATAATCCAGCTACAAGATGGTTTATTAAATTGAATACATACAATACATACGGGTGCCAGGGGGCCCTGAATTTATGGGTCCCTTCTAAACTGCACCCCCTTCCCCTTCCCCCAAATCCTGGCTACGTCTCTGATTACATAGAATGGACCAAAGTGCTAAAAATTGTGTTTTAATGTAATTAAAAAGGAGAACAGTTTAATGAATTCAATAATATATAGGCCAAATGGAGTAAATGAGTGGTCAAATAAATACTTACTTTATGTATTCCTGTTGTTTTGGTATGTTAACGGTCATAGTATAAAACGAGGTTGCGATTAGATTGACGGGCCCTATGTAAGCACAAAATATAATAATTCACTTAGGTGAGCAACCGTATTTTAAATTACCCGAATATTTGCATGCATTGATCACTGAGATCAATTTGAAATTACCTTTATTGGTTATTTTACTGACTTCCGGACTCTTCTCTCCGTAACCATGTTCTGTGCTGGCCGAAACTGTTACGAAGTATTTCGTGGAAGGTCGAAGATTTTTGAGAGCAAGGGAAAAAACTTTAGGGCTTTTAAGGATGAGGCATTCTGGAGACGTATCATTTGTAAAGAAACAAACTCGATATCCTGTAAATTTACTTTTTCGTGTACTTTCAACTGGAGCTTTCCACGAAATTCCCAGCGAGGTCTTGCTACGAGATATGAAGGTGACATTCAGCGGCGGTCCACTAGGAGCTACAACGACAAAAGAATATAACCCATCAAATATACCTTCTTACCACTGAGTATTTTGATAAAATAGAGAACAATTAGAAACAAGTAAAAATTAAGATTTCAAAAAATATTTCTACATTTCGACTAAAACTATATTAAGTTATCATCAGGAGAAGAATGATGATTAATTAATTAACAAGTATGTACAAGTATGTACAAGACTACAAGTATATATACAAGTATGTACAAGTGTGTATATAATATATAGTGAAGTAATAGCAACTATCACGTTTAATTTCTGTTTAATTTCAGCGTTACCTGTGACAGCACCAAATTCTTCACTCCAGTATGACCAGGTGCGATTCTAAGATGCGGAACAAATGACATAGTTACAAACAAGTTAAATCATAACGATCGCACCTATTTCAACCTACCCCAAACTCGTCTGTATTCATTTGTGTTGCTCTATATTTAACCTTCGGCTTCAATGCTTCAACCTGAACAGCTTCTCTTTTTCTTCTTCTGTTTTCCTTAAACTTTCTAAGGAGTATTTCTATTTCATCACCTTGGAAATCACCAATAGTAAACTCCTTAGCAATAAAAGCGTCCCCGGTCTTCGTTTCTGAAGGAATTGAACTTTTTATCTTGATGGATTCTGGTGCTGGAGGTTCACTGGAGTCTGACAGAAGCAATACAAGAGCGACCATTCTAAAATGTAAAATGGTTCTTCAACATTACATTGTCGAAAAACTTATTTGCACTCAAATCCTAATACAAAATACTGGCGCAGGATAACACATTCGCCTTTTCCCTAAAGCATTTTAATGAGCCCTCAGCTTGTCTAAACAAACCTTATATTTTTCTCTTTTGGTTTTCGTAATATCACTGTGTAACCGTCATCCAATCTCTTTGGGATCTCCAAGGGCTCTAAAAACAACAAAATGATATCGCCATATAACCATCGCCAGTTAGATATTTAGGGTAGATCATAATCCATGTGTTCAGGATCTCTTCTATCATTTCGTGATTTTGACAATTATCATTGATGAGCACGTGAAACATCTTGTATAACTTGACAAATATGAGCTCCCTCACATGCCCTCAAACAATCGCTATCAAAGAATTTATGCAGTAGGGTAGAATTTATGCATATCATCCAGACAAATAAGATAAATATAGAGAAAAGAAGGAAATTAATTACATACTTGAAAGAGACAACCATGATTTCAAAGTTGCCACACTTTGTCCAGCCTCAGTTTCAACTCGTACGTTAATAGTGTATTGTTTATCATAATCGACAACAATAATGATAAATTTATTTTCTTTCGGGACAGTCGACCGTTTCGTTGGTTCACTCGAAGCACTGTAGTTGACATGATACTTCAAGACAGTTTGCTGATCTGGCAACGAGGGTTGATACCATGAAATATTGTACTCATTACGACCAGTAGGCGTGATTTTTGAGATGACTGGAGCTGGAAGAATATCAAGATAAGATTCAAATTAGTTAAGATCAGTTTATCTGCTAAAAAGGTAATATGCCTTTTTTATACCTGGCGGAATTGCCATAGTTTTGACACTCTCGCTCCATTCTGTCGAGTAAAAGAACCCCTAAAAGAATCGGTCATCAGTAAATAATTCTAAAAAAAGTGGAATTCATCGAAATATTGATGGAATATACACCTGACTTTCAAAGAATCTTAAGAACACGTTGTAACTTGAGTTTGTTTGAAGAGGTTGGTTAACGTATGTTACGGTTTTTGAGTTATATTCTTTGCCATCACCGATCACAAACGATGAAGGGAGAACATCAGTTTTCAAATAAGCGGTGATGTAAGCATCTTGAGTGTTTGACTGATAAGGTTTAAGATCGCTTGTTTTAACTTCTTCCACCGGTTCGAGCACGTTCTCAGCAGTTTGCACGATGATAATCATGTCTCTAAACAAGGCACAAGACGATGGATAAAGATCGAGGGTAAATTTAGGATAAAATATTTACAGATCTAAGATGAATGATTTTTGCCACCATTTTTACCTGATTATAAATTGGATTAACTTACTGAATATATTTGTCTGGTTTGCTGAGGTTTATATTCAGGCTTGAAGACGAGTTTGCCACAGGTTTTACAGGATCTAAAAATGGAAATACAAAAAAAGGTCGTGATGCGTTCCATGCAGAAGTTTTATGGCAATCACGAAGGAATGGCGAATTGGCTGCAAAAACTTTGCTTGAGCAAGATGTATATGAGACTATAATATCGACATCCCTGCAGTAGGTACAATATATAGATAACTATTTAAAGTTAGTATGATATTAACTAATCACGATCATACGGAAAGTTAAATACGTCTGAACGACAAATTTGATAGTAAAAAAAGCCCGTTAAAAGTTTTATGTGTACGGAAACAACTTTATATATAAAAAACAAGATAGTAACGTCTTGAAATTAGGCCAATACCTCCATTTGTCGTTTTATTGATTTCTCCACTCTTGTTTCCAAAACCAGCACTTGTACCAGCCGCAACAGTTACAAAGTACTTTGTGGAAGGTCGAAGATCATCGATGGTGAAAGACAATGTCGTTTTTGTTTCATTGCATTTCGGACTAGTTGATATTGTTTCGGAGGAATAACAAACTTGATAGCCAGTCAGTATTCCATTATGCAGATACGATCGTGGATCCATCCAAGATAATTGTAGTGTAGTTTTACCGCGAGATTCAAACTTTGCATCCAGTGGAGGACCACTAGGAACTAGAATAAAGAAAATTTATCATTAACATGTCGTATTGAGTATTATTAAACCGACTGTTAGAACGGTTTTTTGTTTTCATTTTACCTGCTTCTTTAGTTTCAAAGTCTGTATTTATTCTGCTACTCTCTGAAGAACCATCAACGGCTTCAATTCCAACAGTATAATTAGTGAATGGCGTTAGATTACTGATATCAAACTGGTAAGAATTTCCTCGGAAAACTGTTCCACGGTGGTCATCGTTTAAATATATTTCAAGCTTTGTTATGTAACTCGAGGCTTTTGGGGAGGTCTCAATACTCCAAGTCACACGAGCTGATCTCTCGAAAGTTGTGATTTGAATGTCCGAAACAGAAACTGGCTTTTGGGCTTAATTTAGAATAAAAGCACAAAAACAATGATAACTGGAATGATTATAATTATATCGCAAAAAAATTTCCAAGATCATAGAAGAGTTCACAAAAGAAACTGTGATAATCGAGGTGTTGTTGAAGATATCATATGATTAATCTAGGTTGTAAGAGCAAGATTAAAAAGTGAAAAATGTCAGAGTTAAAGAAAACTGAGAATGCAATTCATCATTTTATCAAGTGTTTTCATTCAGCCAAGGTATTTTTTAGAAAATCCCAGCATACGAGGTTTTATGACACCAACGCAAAAAAAACTCACCCAGTCCACACAGTTCTATTCTGAGACAAAAGTCTGTGTTTCCAGTTGATTCTATCTTCAGAAATCTCGCATTATAAATATCAACGTCTGTAGTCGATGCTTGATAACCGTTCGTGTTTCCTAAAATCTTATATAAAAATAAAATATAACATCAATAATCAGCAGTACTGCAACATGTCATAAAACGATATGCTATAGTATACGTTGGGCGCCTATATTCACGTAAAAAAGTCTATTTTCGAAGAATTCTTCTAATTAGACCCTGTATTAACCTGTACTACACGACTGCTATCCACCAAACTTTCATTATGACTGTATTTCAGTGAATATGATCTACTCCACTTTGTCTGATCTTTATCACCTATGACTAAAACTCGTGTTATGTGATATTCTTTTTGAAGATCGATGGTGAGATATGAGCCAGAAGTCGAGGAACACCAGCCACCTTTAGTAAACCTTGCTTCGTAAAAACTATTACCTCCATTGCCACGAAATATGTTATCAGGAAAAGTACTTTCATTGTTTAGTAACTGATTGTCACAAATCTTACCTGCAGGTAAAGAGTGTGTTAGGTGTGAGTGAAGAAATCATAAAATTCTATTTTTGCACGCCACGATTTATCGCAGATACTCACACTCAGCATATGTTATGTCAACCTTTGCAGTGGTTGTAGAGGGAACAAGATGGACACAACAGGATGTTCCACCAGATCCTGTGTTATAACACACCAAATCTCCAGATGCAATTTCTTCATTTGCAGTTATCTCCATGGTTCTAATAGGATTAGCGCTCGTTTCGCTAAATCCTAAGTGTTTACACAACATTTTTTGACGATCTTTATCCCAATTCTCCTCAATAATTTTTCTCCACGTTGTGTCATTCTTCACTTCAATGAAACCTTCGTTGGGTGACTTTGATAGTCTTATGTTGGACGCTAGAACAAAAACATTACAAATAAAATCTCAAATGCACCCATGCACCCTGAAAACTAAGAGTAAAGTCAAGCGACTGTGAAAAAGATATTATCATGCATTGGCCAGCCAAGAAAATCGTGTTGCAAAGTCGTTTCCAAGAGAACTCCTGCTAATAAGGTGAGTTTTATTTATTCTGAATGCCTATTAAGGCTAATTTCCACTCCGGAAAACGAGCAGCGGATCGGATCGGATCGGATCGGATTTTTTTCCGAGCCTAGTCCGATCCATAAAGTGATTTCGGATCGAATAAAAAAATTGTTAAAACTACTTGAACTTTTTTTATCTGGTCTCGGACGTTTCGGATCAATATAAGCCAAAAATTTCAACAGACGGCGCACGCGCGGATTATCTTTCGTTCTGATCCAATCCGATCCGCTGCTCGTTTTCCGAAGTGGAAATTAGCCTTTATGATAAACTCAAATTCACGTTTAATCACTAAAAGTAGCGTATTTTACCTGTTGTTATAAGGTTAGGATAGTTGTCCACACAAATGTACTCGATGTAAAGTTGTTTTGTGGTATCAGAACAAAATGGTGACAGTAAATTATTGTCAACGGTCAATTCACAAGATCTGTTTCCACCACAAAGAGGTTTTACCTGACAACTTGTCAATCCACTACACTGGATATCAATAGCTGCATTCGCATTAAATGTCCCGCTATTATTGAAATCACCATAATGAGCTTTGCGGATCAGCATACGTTGTATTGGAGAACAATGAACATCTTTCATTTTGTTGCCAAACTGCGTCACTGAACCTAACAAAGGAGATAACTAACCATTTATGGGCAGCGCCTCTCAGAGTGAGACTGAGTATGGCAACGTTCGTAACATTAAAATTCCAATTTGATAACCATTAATTTAAAAACTAGAAAAGATATCATTTTCAAGTAAAGTTTATTGAGTGGAGTGGTGTTTAACTTAAATTTTAATGTAAGCCTTTTACATTTCTATACAATATTAGCCAAGATATAGGCGTTTAAACTCAAAGTAGCGTTTCTGGGAGAAGCAAAAAATGTTCTAAAATAGAATTAAAACAGCACGCAACAGTAAGAACAAATATTGATAGCTTCGTCTGGCAAATCCTCACTGTTTTTATGCTCGGAGATGGAATATTATTCCAATGATTTTGCCATCGACGTAAAACTTAGTCTTGCATTATTAGTCCTCGCATAGTCCAAACAAATCAAAACTCGTAACTGTATCGTTAAACGAGGCATGTTTATAACAAAGCGGGCAAGCTCCTTTGCTTTCGTGAGTATGGCAACGTTCGTAACATTAATAGTCCAATTTGATAACCTTTTGGGTGCGATTATTACCTGAAATAAAAGTCACCCTACATCGCAGTAAGTTGCCTTAAATCCCAGCGACTTAAGTTTGGACACGGAGTAGGTTTTGTTTTCTTTTGGCTTTTTTTAGTGATGTAGATGTTTGTAAAACGTTCGATGCATGCAGAGAATTGATTTTAGATTAAATTATTATAAATCATTTTCGTTCAAAACATTTATATTGAATCAAGCTGGCAGATACATTTACATCAAGATACGCGGAATCTTACCAAAAGTGAACTTTTGTTGTTCTTCCGTATCGTTGCACCCATTCTTTTTCCGCATGATAAATTTCTCACTATTATCAGCCTGAGCACATGAGTCAGTCTTGCTATCGTAAAAAAATAAAGATCCAGCAGCATTTTGTCTCATTCTATGTCGAGGATCACTTTCCCAAGTTGGAAGCTCTATCGGGTTGGCGTCATAAGCGACCATGCGTTGTTTGAAGCTACTGCCTTCGCCAAACAATAGCGAGCCGCTCCTCGCTATGTTGTGCAACACCTCTTTACCCCGTAAATATCGTAATTGAGCACTAAAATCCAAGCAATCCAATAGCTCAGCCCAATATACACGCCCGTATCTATTGTCCCTATAAGGGACTTTTGCAGCTGCAATACACTTTCCAGAACTGGTGTGTCTGAGAAAAAAACAGCGACAACCTGCGAACATAAAATAAGTATATCAACACACGACACACGATCTGGACGAACTATGTGTAGACGAATATATGTCAAACGATTAACAGAACCGCGTTTAAAAAAAGTGCACGGGAATTTGGATACTAGCTACTTATGTGGTTAAAACTTAAAAGAGTGCACAAGAGCCGTTTTACAATGATTATACAACACACGCCGCTTCTTATATCAGTCTATCATTTCTATCAAATATATGAAGTTCACATTGAGGCCGCTGGTAACCCTGATGTAAGGTCGTCTCATTCACTTGAGCGCAACCACGAGAAACTTAATATTTCATATTGTATTTCATCGATGATTAATCCTACAGTATTTCATCGGGCGATCAATTGTACGACTTGAAGAAAAACGTAAAAGCAAAACAATCACGGAGTGAGGAAACAAGTCGACTGGTTTGTATTTTTAAACCCGTAAATAAGTCGAGTGGTTTGTATTGATTAAACTCGTAAATAAGTCGAGTGGTTTGTATTAATTAAACTCGTAAATAAGTCGAGTGGTTTGTATCAATTAAACTCGTAAATAAGTCGAGTGGTTTGTATTAATTAAACTCATAAACATAAGATCAGTGGTTTTTGAGAACACATGCATGTGGCAGTTTGTCTTGATATATTCTTACATCCCAGAATCATTAGCTGTATATGCTGTAATAAATGACTAAATAAATAGAGCTGACGTATTTCATTGCAAGGTTTGCTTTGACTTGTACAGCTTTGTAGATATTCGATCACACTGATGTTCTAACAACTAATACATACAGTGTTATATTCATATGTTTGACAGATATATCCGCTATATTAGGCAAGCACGTTAACATGAGAATTGCCATGATTTCCATGAGAATTATAAAATCAAATCTATTTCTATTACCAATCATACATATTTTAAAAACTATCATTGTGGCTCACACATTCCGCATCAGTTCTATCGTTTAAATACGGCCCAGCCTAGCTCCTCACCTTTAATCACCACTAGTGACACACCACATAAAACTAACCATCGATGAAATAACCAAGACATCTTGCCTTTTATCAAGCGATTTGAGCTTAGACGAAAGATGATAAATCACGAATGCTCCTTGAACTTCCGCATTTCAGGGTCGTTACGTACCTATATGAACATTGGTTGATGATAACAATAAAACACCGTGAACTATAGAAATTGACTTCTCAAAGCACAAATCATAAACACTGTTCACTAATTTACAAAAAGCCAATCACAAAACTCGTTCATATTAGCAAGATGCTTACTGCATTTCATGACTTTACTGAGGAAATTAGTCGACGATCCTTACAGTAATTTGGGTTAATTAAACTTTCAGGTTTTCAAAGCAAAAACATTTAGCATGACAATATAAACGGATATACTCGTCATAGCTTGTTTTTTCGTTGCGGATTGTTAATTATTTATTGAAACCACCCACACAACAAAAATGCGGCAATTTCTCCCTATGGGTCTTCTTATAATCCTGGTTACCCGACATCAAACAAAGCGTGTGATCAATTCCTGAGCAGGTTCGCGTATAGTATTTTTCAAAATTCAAGTGGACAAATGACAGCGATGTTAACAGTTATTTCAAAAATTTTTTTTTTCCGATTGCAATTTGTGGAATTAGAACTTCAAATTAGTCAAGAAAGCATTTTAAAATGTATATTATGTCAGATCAAATGATCAATTTCGCGAGGACAGACTTTCTTTTGACGAGTTTGTCCTCCACACGTCGCCCTATTTTTGTCAATAAAGCCATAATAATTATCTGCAAGCGGTAGAATATAGCGACATGTCGATATCAACATAAGTCCTTCGCAGAAGAAAAACGTTTTTCTGGGAAAACTACACTATCTACTACACTGCAGTAAAAGAGCCGAACAATATAACAAATTGGTGTTTAATTTTAATATAAGGAAACATATAGTGATTACAAAGACTCCTTTAGTCCAATAAAAAAAATCGATATACGATATATATTGTTCGTTACACAATCGATACGAATTATTATTGCCTAGAACTAGCTGGCATCATTAATAACTCCTTCATAATTAACCCGGCATCCATTAAATATATACATTACTAAAAAACTTACATCTAGCGGAATATATAGGTATATATAATATATATCATGCAGCATTGGGATCTGCGCTGAAGACAGGATTTTGGTATTCCACAGAAGTTTGACCACCCACCTTAGAATGACTTTGACCATCATTCGTGCCATGGGGTTGCAATGCCTGATAAACGTTTGTTGGTTCTCTTTTGTCTTTTAACGACATGTAATCCGATGATTCATGTCCTTTGGCCATCCCACATGCACCCTCATTTCGCTCAATTTTTTCAATAACATCATCTGGAGTCTCGTATACACTGTTCCCTTCATTCACATATTTGTTGCCAATCTTAGGTTCTTTATTGCCATCTGAAGGATAAATATTTGCATCCTATTAACAATTATATTTTTAGTCACTTCTTCACGCAAACATTCGTTTTTCAGTAATGAGAATTTTTCATATCAAAGTTGTACACTCCTTCAAGAAGTCGGGATATCTTAAATGGTGCACGCTTAATAGATATTAAACTGTATAATATATACTTACCAAACTCGTTTTTTCTATTTAGAAGAAGGCGACGCTGGTATATGATTACGCCAAGTAAGAGCAAAAAGCACAATGCCAGAATAATCATCGGTATGAGGAAACGTATAGAATTATCCGCATTTTCTAATTCTGTAAAGAGAATCCAGCTCTTAAGTCTTCTTTCCACTAGCAGGAATTTTGCGGAGTTTAACGGAGTTTTTCTTTTTTTTCTCACATTAGTTCTTCATGAAAGCGCGCAGACAATGCAAAATTCCGCTCCACGCGCAAAATTCCACCTAGTGGAAAACCGCCCTTAGATGATCAGCAGGGCCGAAGCTAGGGGGAGTGTATTCATATATTCATATTTACATATAATATGAAAGATAGCGAACAAGAAAATACTCGGGAGTACGACGAATATATAAATATACACCCCCCCCCCCATTTAATCTTTTAGCTAAGGTCGTGATGGTACCTTCATAAGGATCTTTATCATGTTAAACAACAAAATAGCATGAAATTGGTAGAAGTAAAGTTTCGAAATAGACAATGAAAACATTTGAATTTTAAGTATAATTTACCTGAATGTTTTGTTATTGTGTAAATACTATCACTCCACTCTGTCGAGTAGTATGAATCCTAGGAAGATATATATGCGTTGTATCATACTTTCTAGATAGTAATGCATGCATGAACAACGTTCTGGAACTGAACAGTTTTGATTTTTTATATGAATATTTACATACTTGACTTTCAAAAAACCTTAAGAACACAACATAATTTGAATTTGCCGTTAAAGGTTGGTTGTGGTAATTTTCTTCTTCAGAACTGTAACTCTTGCCATCTCCTATTACGAACGTCAAGGGTAAAACATCAGCTTTCAAATAAGCAGTGATGTAAGGATCCCGTGTGTTTGACTGGAAATTTTTGAGATCACTTGTTTTAATGTCTTCGCTTGAAACTTGATCATTCGCAGAACTTTGCACGATGACCATAATATCTCTAAAGCATTAAACGATATGATGGAAAAAGTCAGGTTGCTCTATGACATCTTCTTTAAGATAATTTATGAAGACCTTTTACAAAAAAATTAAATATAGTAGCTATATATAATCCAGCTACAAGATGGTTTATTAAATTGAATACATACAATACATACGGGGGTCAGGGGGCCCTGAATTTATGGGTCCCTTCTAAACTGCACCCCCTTCCCCTTCCCCAAAATCCTGGCTACGTCTCTGATTACATAGAATGGACCAAAGTGCTAAAAATTGTGTTTTAATGTATTTAAAAAGGAGAACAGTTTAATGAATTCAATAATATATAGGCCAAATGGAGTAAATGAGTGGTCAAATAAATACTTACTTTATGTATTCCTGTTGTTTTGGTATGTTTACAGTCATAGTATAAAACGAGGTTGCGATTAGATTGACGGGCCCTATGTAAGCACAAAAAATAATAATTCACTTAGTTGACCAACCGTATTTTAAATTACCCGAATATTTGCATGCATTGATCACTGAGATCAATTTGAAATTACCTTTATTGGTTATTTTACTGACTTCCGGACTCTTCTCTCCGTAACCGTGTTCTGTGCTGGCCGAAACTGTTACGAAGTATTTCGTGGAAGGTCGAAGATTTTTGAGAGCAAGGGAAAAAACTTTAGGGCTTTTAAGGATGAGGCATTCTGGAGACGTATCATTTGTAAAGAAACAAACTCGATATCCTGTCAATTTACTTTTTCGTGTACTTTCAACTGGAGCTTTCCACGAAATTCCCAGCGAGCTCTTGCTACGAGATATGAAGGTGACATTCAGCGGCGGTCCACTAGGAGCTACAACGACAAAAGAATATAACCCATCAAATATACCTTCTTACCACTGAGTATTTTGATAAAATAGAGAACAATTAAAAACAAGTAAAAATTAAGATTTCAAAAAATATTTCTACGTTTCGACTAAAACTATATTTAATTTTTCATCAGGAGAAGAATGATGATTAATTAATTAACAAGTATGTACAAGTATATATACAAGTGTGTATAATATATAGTAAAGTAATAGCAATCATCACGTTTAATTTCTGTTTAATTTCAGCGTTACCTGTGAAAGCACCAAATTCTTCACTCCAGTATGACCAGGTGCGATTCTAAGATGCGGAATATATGACATAGTTACAAACAAGCTAAATCATATGGAACCATGCAATCACACAAATTTTCTTATTCCCATTTCAACCTACCCCAAACTCATCGGTATTCATTTGTGTTGCTCTATATTTAACCTTCGGCTTCAATGCATCAACCTGAACAGCTTCTCTTTTTTTTCTTCTGTTTTCCTTAAACTTTCTAAGGAGTATTTCTATTTCATCACCTTTGAAATCACTAATATTAAACTCCTTAGCAATAAAAGCGTCCCCGGTCTTCGTTTCTAATGGAATTGAACCTTTTATCTTAATGGATTCTGGTGCTGGAGGTTCACTGGAGTCTGACAGGAGCAATACAAGAGCGACTATTCTAAAATGTAAAATGGTTCTTCAAGATTACATTGTAGAACTTTAAATATTTGCACTTAAATCCTAATATAAAATACTGACCCATGCAGGTAAATCGTCGTGCAGGGCAATACTTCATCAATCGTACGTCACCATGACTTAATGTGAACAAACCTTATATTTTTCTCTTGTGGTTTTCGTAGCATAACTGTGTAACCGTTATCCGTTTTGTTTGGGGGCTCCAAGGGCTCTAAAACAAAATGGTATACGTAACTACATAACCATCGACATCTTCGGAATTTAGGTTAGACATGAATATGTATCTTAATCGATGTGTTTCGTGTCTCTTTTAACCGCTGACTGTATTATAACTGCGAGCTATTAGTTACATAGGTTATTCAGAGATTTGCTATACTTTTTTGTCCCTGGATTAGGTTTTTTAAATATTCTTGGTTTTCCTCTTTACCAGCAGCCAATTCCTGCGTGGTCGTACTACTGTATGTACCTCTTTGGCTGGAGCGAACTAACCAACAAATTCTTACATTTTGACAATCATTCATGAGAGCGTGCAACTTCAATTAAATGTCCCGCCATTATTGAAATCACCATAATAAGCTTTGTGGATCAGCATACGTTGTATTGGAGAACAATGAACATCTTTCATTTTGTTGCTGAACTGCGTCACTGAACCTAACAAAGGAGATAACTAGCTATTTATAGGCAGCGCCTCTCAGAGTGAGACTGAGTATGGCAACGTTCGTAACATTAAAATTCCAATTTGATAACCTTTTGGGTACGATTACTACCCGAAATAAAAGTCACCCTTCATTGCAGTAAGTCACCTTAAATCCCAGCGACTTAAGTTTGGACAGGGAGTAGATTTTGTTCTTTGGCTTTTTTTAGTGATGTAGATGTTTCAAAACGTCCGATGCATGCAGAGAATTGATTTTAGATTAAATTATTAATAAAATCTGAATTACATATAAATCATTTTCGTTCAAAACATTTATATTGAATCAAGCTGGCAGATACATTTACATCCAGATACGCGGAATCTTACCAAAAGTGAACTTTTGTTGTTCTTCCGTATCGTCGCATACTTTTCGCTTGATAAATTTCTCGCTACCATCAGGCTGAGCACACGAGTCAGTCTTGTTATCGTAAAAAAATAGAGATCCAGCAGCATTTTGTCTCATGCTATGTCGAGGATCACTTTCCCAAGTTGGAAGCTTTATCGGGTTGGCGTCATAAGCGACCATACGTTGTTGGTAAACACTGCCATCGATAAACACGAGCGAGCCGTTCCTCGCTATGTTGTGCAAAACCTCTGTATCCCGTAAATATCGTAATTGAGCACTAAAATCCAAGCAATCCAATAGCGTAGCCCAATATACACGCCCGTATTGATTTATCCTCCAAGAGACTTTTTCAGAGGCAAGACACTTTTCAGAACTGGTGTGTCTGAGAAAAAAACAGCGACAACCTGTAAACGTAAAATAAGTATCAACACACAACACACTATCTGGACGAACTATGTGTAGACGAATATGTCAAACGATTAACAGAACCGCGTTTAAAAAAAGTGCACGGGAATTTGGATATTAGCTAATTATGTGGTTAAAACTTAAAAGAGTGCACAAGAGCCGTTTTACGATGATTATACCACACACGCCGCTTCTCATATCATGCATGCAGTCTATCATTTTTATCAAATATATGAAGTTCACATTGAGGCTTCTGGTAACCCTGGGTATAAACGTTTAGCGAGGACCTGTGTTTTGAATCAATTGCCTGCATGTGCTCGAATATAATTACCGCTAGCTGTAACAGGGGATTTTTAACACACAATTATTTGGTTCTTTCTTGCTATAGTGAAAAGAAAATAATATTCGGACAAGGCCAAATGAATATATCATATTGTATTCCATCGATGATTAATCCTACAGTATTTCATCGGGCGATCAATTGTACGACTTGAAGAAAAACGTAAAAGCAAAACAATCACGGAGTGAGGAAACAAGTCGACTGGTTTGTATTTTTAAACCCCTAAATAAGTCGAGTGCTTTGTATTAATTAAACTCGTAAATAAGTCGAGTGGTTTGTATTAATTAAACTCGTAAATAAGTCGAGTGGTTTTTGAGGACACATGCATGTGCCAGTTTGTATTGATATATTCTTACATACCAGAATCATTGGCTGTATGCTGTAATAAATGACTAAATAAATACAGCTGACGTATTTCAGTGCAAGGTTTGCTTTGACTTGCATAGCATAGGCAAGCAAGTTAACATTAATCTGATTTCCTTCAGAATTATAAAATCCAATCTATTTCTATTACCAATCATAGATATATTAAAAACTATCATTGCATGTGGATCACACATTCCGCATCAGTTCTATCGTTTAAATACGGCCCGGCTTAGCTTCTCACCTTTAATCACCAGTAGTGACACACCACATAAAACTAACCATCGATGAAATAACCAAGACATCTTTTCTTTATCAAGCGATTTGAGCTTAGACGAAAGATGATAAATCACGAATGCTCCTTGAACTTCCGCATTTCAGGGTCGTTACGTACCTATATGAGCATTGGTTGATGATAACAATAAAACACCGTGAACTACAGAAACTGACTTCTCAAAGAACGAATCATAAACACTGTTCACTAATTTACAAAAAGCCAATCACAAAACTCGTTCATATTAGCAAGATGCTTACTGCATTTCATGACTTTACTGAGGAAATTAGTCGATGATCCTTAATTTGGGTTAATTAAACTTTCAGGTTTTCAAAGCAAAACATTTAGCATGACAATATAAACGGATATACTCGTCATAGCCTTCTCGTTACGGATTGTTAATTATTTATTGAAACCACCCGCACAACAAAAATGCGGCAATTTCTCCCTATGGGTCTTCTTATAATCCTGGTTACCCGACATCAAACGAAACGTGTCATCAATTCCTGAGAAATTCAATTCAAAATTCAATTCAAAATTCAAGTATAGACGAAGAACAGCGATGTTAACAGTTATTTCAATTTTTTTTTCTTTGTTTTTTCCACTGCAATTTGTGGAATTAGAACTGATTACAATTTGAAGACGTACCATGAACATTGCGCAAAATACAACTTGACATGTTCAAATTAATCAAGAAAGCATTTTAAAATGTATATTATATGTCAGATCAAATGATAAATTTCGCGAGGACAGACTTCCTTTTGACGAGTTTGTTCTCCACACGTCGTCCTATTTTTGTCAATAAAGCCATACATAATTATCTGCAAGCGGTAGAATATAGCGATAAGTTCTTCGCGAATAACCCCATTCATATTTAAAACCCGGCATGCATTAAATTATATACATTACGTTCGACTATAAACAGACTTTACATACTCTTTAACATATACTAAACATATTTATTTAATTATTGCTACATTTTATGGTGAGAGTGGGCGAGAAAATTTAACAACCTGCGGCCGGTTGTATAAAAGCAAGATAGTGTTTTTTCAATCGCTTTAATATCGCCGGTTGTTAGTATCATTTAAAAATTATTACGTACGTTAAAAAAAGATTATTATTTTACATCATGCTGGCGTTGATTCAGTATTCGGCTCCTTTATTCAAAATTTGCATATTCACTGAAGGCGTCTAAGTACGTCATCATAGCCTTGTAACAGAACTGGTATTGTTCCTGAAGAGAAGTAAAAGTTTATAACTAAGGGGCTGTTTACATGAGCCCGGTTACCCGAGATTCAACGAAGCGTAAGATGATTTTGAGATATTAAAATGAGCAGATAACATGATCCTGGCTGTCGTATAATCGCCACAACAATAGCATGTGCTTGTTTGGTGTCATAAAGACTTATTTCAATACCTCAAAGTCCTCTCACGCTTCGTCGAATCTCGGGTAATCGAGCTCATGTAAACAGCCCCTTAAAGGTGTTTGTAAAAACTCAAAATACCGGACATATTATAATTCCATTAGAAAACACTAGTACTATAGACATGAACGACGTGAGATTCAATCGTGTGATATACTTACAGCATTTTCAACAAACTGTGGTCGTGCTCCTCTGATGATTTTAATCGCCTGGAAGACGTCCATCGCTTGTTCAATTTTTATTCTTTCCAGAAGGTTTGAAATGGCGATATACGTTCCTGTTCGCCCTGCTCCATCGCTGAAATACAAAAGTACGAAAATTCATCGAAATGAACAGCATAAAAAAAGTTTGTGAAACAAATCTCGAACAGGCATGAGGTAAAACAAGCGTGTTTTCCTCTTCAACCGTGTCGTACGTACAGGGCGTCTCAAAAAAACGCAACTACTTAGCATTTAGCAACGCAACTACTTAGCATTTAGCAACGCAACTACTTAGCTTTTAGCATTTTAAATGAAAGATTAAGAGCCATTTTCAATTCCCAGAGGTGCTTATTTATTGCCCTTCAGAGCTGTATTAATTTTCTTGCATATTTAAGTAGTTGCGTTTTTTTTTGAGACACCCTGTAGAGCCGGAACCATAGCGTATCCAATTATCTCAAGTCATTAGTTCAGTCATCTGACTGTCCAGGAAAGAATGATATACGCTATCGGCTATCGTATCGTTAAATTGATTCAGTTACCTGCATGCGACAATGATTGGTGCTGGATCAAAACTCTTCCTTGAGTTCTCGACCAATGACGTGAGCGAGATGACGCCATTAGCGTCGGGAGGTACGCGATGGTCCTGCCATTTGGTGTATTGAAAAATGTTGACAACTTGACCATCTGTCAAATCCTAATTAGATGGTAAACGTAGGGTTACTACAAAGGTGGGTTCATATAATTTCATGTGGATTCACGCTAGAGCAAGATTTAGGGTATAACCGTTAGTGTCGCGGTTGAGATTTACATACGGAAATTTCTGAGGTCAAACCATGTTTTTCCAAGTACTTTGTCATTTGCACAACTATTTTGATTTATCATAGTGCATCAGTGCATGTATTTAGATATAGTATGTTTTATCTTTAATTCATAATATAAGTGTTTCACATATCATACATACTGGATATGGCGAGATGATAAACTTTCTTGTCCATATTCCATCTGATTCATTCTCCGAGTCCAACTGAACAGTCAGGGTGCCATATTGCTTCGGTTTTCCCCTATCGGTTGGCCAGAATATCGGGATTGACTGGAAATGCACAAAACAACACTCAGGTTTCCTATATCATTCTCTATTGCTTAGTTTACTGAAATCCTCATACACGCCCTTTAAAACTTCACTCTAAAGGCTGAAGCTTATTAGTAGAAGCTCAGCGTCAAGCACTGAGAGGAATGCTTTACGACGATAGACTGAATAAATAGTTATTTCTCAAATTATGATATTAAAACATCTTTTCTACCGATCCGTCTTTGACGTTGTTTAACAACACAATGGTGGAAGATTTCTGCGAATGAATCAGCCGCCAAAAGTCGTTGATTGTGGCAGGCAGTGGGCTTTGTGTAGCGATGAAGTAGTTCCTACCAAGGTAACCCTGGAGTGAAAAGATTCAGACATCTAAATATGTCGTGAATCGTAATGTGTGATATGGTGGCCTCTTGTGTTGAATACGACACTTACATGAACAAACACAGCGTTAATATAGTCCGAATCTTCTATTCCTTCGACGTACTGAAGTGGAACACGATTACCTTCGGCTGGGATGAGAAGGAAAAAGGAGTTGTATACATAAGTAATTTCTGAGTGAATCGTAAAAGATTAATTTGAAGATTAAGCAGGGAAGTGTTTGAATGATGCAGATAATACCTGGAAGGACATTCTTATTGCGATTCTTTTTGTGATTTCCATCAAGCAATGCTGCAGCGCATTCGTCTTCTGATAGCTTCGGCGAAACCTCAACCAACCTCTAAAATGTATCATTGTGAAATTTATTTAGCTCCTATCAAATTTTAACTGATAACGCGTCATGGGCTAAATCTCTATTTTTTTAAACATATACTAGTTGAGAATTAACAAACCTTGAACTTTTCCTCAAATCCCGTCATTCCACTTGCTTTAACTTCACTAAGATTTGCAACCTCCTTTTGGATTTTAGAAGCATCAACTTCGTTCATGCCACACAGGATTGTTTCCAAAATAGCATCGTGAACGAATATGTATTGTTCCTTAAGTTTAAGTTGGTACAATTTGAACAAATTGAAAAATTACTAGAAGCAAGTTGTTCTAAACCTGATTAACGGTTTGGACTTTTTAACAAAGAGTATTAACAAAAATGTTTTGAAATATATTATCGAGATACCAGAGTTTGGATCATATTCATTCTTCGTTCTCTCATTGCGCAGACGTGTCCAAAAACATCGATGGAATTGATGACACTTTGATCGAGTTTATCAAGGATTGTGTCAATTGCAAGAAAGACACCTGTTCGTCCAACCCCAGCGCTAGAAGACAAAGCAAGTAAAATAAGCAATGTGTCTAAATTAAGCTTTGGTAAAAACGAATTCTTCTGCGGTGTTTGACGCTGGATCTCATGCAAGAATGCAAGGGCAAGTGAAATGTTACAGATCATTCAACGTATTCCATACATGCAAAATATGAAAGAAAATTTCGATGCAAATAACCTGCAGTGGACCACGATAGGTCCGGACTGCTGCATGTGATGCGTTCTGAAAAGTCTTCTGAAGGCCAGGAGCTGAGTGGGATATTTAGGTACACCATGATCCGGCCAAGATTGAAAGTAATATGCGCCGCGCGTTTCCGCGTTCCTCCGTTATCCTGATATACAACGTATTTGCTCTTTACAAATGTGGCCAAGGTGGAAAAGTACAATCACACAATAGTATAATTGATCAAATGTCAATAAATGTATTTCCTCTTGCAAGGTATGCGTCACGTGGTAAGCAAAACTTCAGTCTTCATCAAAGTTTCACTTCGCCATACATTTCACTTCCGCTGTCCGGCCAATATTTCTCACATTTTGGCTGCAAATGAGTTGAGGTATTTAAATCATCCCATACATTATGGTCTTAAATTGCTTTTACAAAAAAATAATATTTAATAGGGTTTAATAGAATCACAGCTGCTGCTTTATTGCGATAGTTATGTTTCTCCTTTATACCCAATAAATAAATGCATCAAACTACATTTGACATCTACAGATACATAAGATATGATTACCTTGCCAAGTTCAACCAGAGAGGTAACCATAACAATGGAATAAGTGCGTTGTTCCCAAACCATCCTCCACATGTCGTTCACGGTATTCGCCCTAGGACCTGGATGGGAAAGCCCGCTTTTTAAATAATTGCCAGCTCTGTTAGCAATCTCTACCAATACTCAAGAGCAGTAGTGAAGGTTACAAGAAAAAGCGATGAAAAACTGTCACATGAAATCTCAAATCTCAATGCTCACCTTGACAAGCAATGTACGATTTTTCTTTGATTCCCTGAATATTAGGAAAGTATTAGGAATGATAAGCCCATGATAGCTCAGTGTGGTTTAATTTTTTATCTACTCATAAAACGCTAGTTTATGAACTTCAAAATTCCAACTTACATCAATGTAGCTAGCGTTTATGTAATCTTTGTTTTCATCTCCCGAGAGAACCACCCGAGAATGGTCGTCTAAAATTATATGTAATTAATAAGTTAATTTAAGCAATAAATTATCAAATCCGAATAAAGCAATATACAAGAATGTGAATGCAATGTATATTTCTACTGGATACAGTACACGTAACGATATTTCCATATCTGTTTTTAGCTTTGTTAAACGGCTTCTTTGACACCTCCCAAGATGAATTCATGTTTTTAGGTAAATCCTTTGTGAATAAAGACACAAAAGTTAGTAAGGGCAAACACAAACACCTTTTATTTTTGCCAAACTAAGTCATTAACTTTCCTAAAAAGACACATCCAGGCACAATATCACAACAAAGATCTCACATTATATTCTTTGCTAAATTCGTAATTCTCATTTGCTTTCATTTCTTTCACAAAATGCGCAAACTCGTCGACAGGAACTGGTGAGTGCGTGTTTTCCTTGAAATCGCCTTAAAAGAAAATTATTACAGTTATAACATTGTCCACATAGCAGCATTGTAGCATTTCAGAGCAGTGAATCACACAGTCTTCATTTACCATTAACACTCGAGCGACTTACCTGCTTCGTTCGAATAAATGCCATCGTTATTTTCATTTTCATTAACTTGACGATGATCAGGCGGCACGCCAGTGTCTTCCTCGTCATGATATTCATTCTCAAATCCTTTTCTCTCGCTCCAGTCTCCATCCGAACCTGTTTCCTTTTCTTGGTACCTCCTCCTGCATAGATAAAAATGAATAAAAACGAAAACCCATGGACAAATTACACAATTCCTATCCATGACCTACTGTATCTTTATTAAAGTTAATTTAAGTTGTCGACTAGTTCAGGCCAGGCTAGAAGCATGGTATCTAAATATTGGAAGGGATCAAATGAAAACTTTGTTACCTTCTCCTGTAGAAAAGTATTGCAGCAACAATTGCAACTAAAACGACAACAGCAGCAAAAGCGGCGCCAACAACAGCGGCCATTGATGAACTTTCATCACCATTATTAGCCCCACCAGTAACCCCTTGAGTAGGTATTGTAGTACTGTCAGGGCCTAGACGTATGCATGTTAAGAGGATGTCAAGATTAGTATGCTGCCTCGCTCGTTCTTGGCAGCAGTGCTAAACATGGCGTAACATTCAATGAAATGATAGCCATGATACAGCTATCACGTTTAATTTTTGTTGCTCAGTATTACCTATGGGATCACCAAATTCTTCACTCCAGTATGACCAGGTGCGATTCTAAGATGCGGAATATATGACATAGTTACAAACAAGCTAAATCATGGGGAAACATGCAGTTGCACAAATTTTCTTATTCCCATTTCTACCTACCCCAGACTCGTCTGTATTCATTTGTGTTGTTCTATATTTTTCATCCGGCTTCAATGCATCAACCTGAACAGCTTCTCTTTTTCTTCTTCTGTTTTCCTTAAACTTTCTAAGGAGTATTTCTATTTTATCACCTTTGAAATCACTAATATTAAACTGCTTAGCAATGAAAGCGTCCCCGGTCTTCGTTTCTGAAGGAATTGAACTTTTTATCTTGATGGATTCTGGTGCTGGAGGTTCACTGGAGTCTGACAGAAGCAATACAAGAGCGACCACTCTAAAATGTAAAATGGTTCTTCAACATTACACAGTCGAAAAACTTATTTGCACTCAAATCCTAATGAGCCCTCAGCTTGTCTAAACAAACCTTATATTTTTCTGTTTTGGTTTTCGTAATATCACTGTGTAACCGTCTTCCGTTTTCTTTGGGGGCTCCAAGGGCTCTAAAAAAAACAAAATGATATCTCCATAACCATCGACAGTTAGATATTTAGGGTATAGGTCTGAGTATATCTTAATCCATCTGTTCAGGGTCTCTTCTATCATTTCGTGATTTCCACAATTGTCATTGATGAGAACGTGAAGCTTCTTGTATAACTTAATTGACAAATATGAGCTCTCTCGCATGCCCTCAAACAATCGCTTTTAAAGAATTTATGCAGTAGGGCATGCATATCATGCAGACAAATCAGATAAATATAGAGAAAAGAAAAAAAATGATTACATACTTGAAAGAGACAACCATGATTTCGAAGTTGCCATACTTTTTCCAGCCTCAGTTTCCACCCGTACGTTAATAGTATATTGTTTATCATAATCGACAACAATAATGATAAATTTATTTTCTTTCGGGACAGTCGATCGTTTTGTTGGTTCATTTGAAGCACTGTAGTTGACATGATACTTCAAGACAGTTTGCTGATCTGGCAACGAAGGTTGGTACCATGAAATATTGTACTCATTATGACCAGTAGGCGTGATTTTTGAGATGACTGGAGCTAGAAGAATATTAAGACAATATTTATAACAGTTAGGATCATCTTATTAATATTGCTTTTAATATAAAAACGAGCCTGTGGTGACATTGAGAGGAATGGCTGTTCTTTGAGGATCACCTGGTGGAGTTGCCATAGTTTTGACACTTTTGCTCCATTCTGTTGAGTAGAACGAATCCTAGAAGAAAATCCCATCGATTAATTTAATTTAATTTAAAAAAATATTAATAAAATATTGATGGAATATACACCTGGCTTTCAAAGAATCTCAGAAACACGTTGTAACTTGTGTTTGGTTGAAGAGGTTGGTTAACGTATGTTCCGTTTTCATAGCTGTATTCTTTGCCATCGCCGATCACGAACGATGAAGGGAGAACATCAGTTTTCAAATAATCAGTAATGTAAGGATCTTGAGTGTTTGACTGATAAGGTTTAAGATCGCTAGTTTCAATTTCTTCCACCGGTTTTGAAAAGTTCTCAGTAGTTCTCACGATGATCATTACTTCTCTATAAACAGGGATCAAAAGATTGCTATGAAATCGGGGATATATTGAAGACCGTTGTTTGACAATGTCAAGCTAACATACTGAATATATTTGTCTGGTCTGAGAATGTTTATTCGTAGGCTGGATGAAGAAGCTGCAACAGGTTCTACAGGATCTAAGAATCAAAACAAAAATATTATATAAAACTTTGTCATCGTTAACGATGAGTAGCTAGTCCGAAAGTTTTCAAAGAGTTCACTGCAATTTAATTTAACGACTAAATGAGTAGCCAAAGGTTGCTAGGAGGTTTAAACAACAAAGGAATAGATAAAATCATGCACGTTATATTTGGCCAATACCTCCATTTGTCGTTTTATTGATTTCCGAACTTTTGTTGCCAAAACCAACACTTGTACCTGCCGCAACAGTCACAATATACTTTGTCGATGGTTGAAGATCATCGATGGTGAAAGTCAATGTCGTGTTTGGTTTAACGCATTTCGGACTAGTTGATATTGTTTGGGAAAAATAACAAACTTGATAGCCTGTCAGTATCCCATTATGCAGATTTACTTCAGGAGGTTCCCATGACAATTTTAGCACGTTTTTACCGCGGGATGTAAACATCGCATTTTGTGGAGGACCACTAGGAACTGGAACAGGGAAAAATAGAAATTAATCACCAAAAGTTGACCCTGACACATTCCTCATGGGAAAAAATTTATGTTTGTTATCCAGGGTGTTTAAATGTCATTTGAAATCCTTAAATTTATCTTTCGTATATTTTACCTCCTTCCTTGGTTTTGAAATCTTCAGAAACCTTATCACCTTTCTCTCCTGAACCATCTTCTGTCTCAATCTCAACTCTATAGTCAGTGTATAGTTTAAGTCCACGAATAGCAAATTTATTGTCATATGTCTCCCGAGATATAGTTTGTTGAAGTTTTCCGTTGATGAAAATATTGTAGTTCGTTATGTAACTTGAGTCTTTAGGTTCTGGTACCTTCCACGAGACATCTGCCGAGGTATTCGAAGGTGTAACTTTAATATCCTGTACAGGAGCAGGCGTTTGAACTAAAATAAAAAATGCAACGGTTAGCAAGCAACCTGAGTATCAGTTACTACCCACAACCACAATCAATATAGTAGTTTCAAAAGTACTGCCCTGGAATAGTGAAGGGTTAAGTTTAATTTCTGAACACCCTGTGCTGCATTTTCCCCAACATTCCTGACTAAGTCTTAACGTGATCATTCCTAACAAAACTTTACCTTTTCCACAAAGTTCTATTCTGAGACAAAAATCATTTGTTCCAGTTGATTGCATTTTGATATGTCTCACGTTGTAAATATTGAGAGCCGTTATCGAGGCTTCATAGCCGTTTTGGTTTCCAATGATCTGAGAATACGAAATATAAAAAAATGTATATGTATTTGAACAAAATAAACTAAATTGCATGGATTAAAGTATCTGCCTTGATGCTGTTGAATCTTGTTTTCGGGATTATGGATTGAGATAGGAAAGGTCAATTGATTGACAACATTCTTAAGCTTCTTATGGCAGGGATTAGAGTGACCTTCGTAATCCGGGGATTTAGGATTAATATTAGGATTAAGGATATATTTGACTACATACAATATAAAGCGACAAATACCTGTCTGCTATTGCTAAAACTGTTATCATGACTGTATGTCATTGTGTATTGATCACTCCACTTTGTCTGATCTTTGTTACCCATTGTCACGACTTGTGTAATGTGATAGTCTTTCAAAAGATCAATCAAAAGATAATGTGTTTGTGGTGTCTGGGTACACCAACCATCTTTGGTAAATCTTGCATTGCTATAACCAGAAGAGCCACTACCAGAAAACTCAGAGTCTGCAAAAGTAGTTTCATCTTGGAGTAACGCTGGTTTATCGCATATCTTACCTAGAGTGGAAATAAAGTTAGAGAGAACCACAAACTGTCGTGAAATATTATTTCCTGTCAAAGTACAACCAACCATACCAAGTTATTCTAGCCAAACTACAGTGTTAAAGAAAATACCCGCAACCCCTACAAACCCGAAGTTCTAAAGGTTTTCACTCACTCATCGCAAAAACTAAGCCCGCTGCGTGTAATTTCGTCCAATCACAATGCTTGACAGTTAATTAGATGCAAACACTCGCAGCGAGTTTGATTTTTGTCGATGAGTGGAAAAGAGCCCTAATTAAGTATATACTCACACTCAACATATGGTATATTAACACTTGAATTCGTTGTAGAGGGAACGAGATAGACACAACAGGATGTTCCACTTAATCCTGTGTTATAACACACCAAATCTCCTGATGCAATTTCTTCATTTGCAGCTATCTCCATGTTTCTAATAGGATTAGCGCTCGTTTCGCGAAATCCCAAGTGTTCACACAGCATTTTTTGACGATCTTTATCCCAATTCTCTTCAATAACTTTTCTCCACGTTGTGTCATTCTTCACTTCAATGAAACCCTCGTTGGGTGACTTTGATAGTCTTATGTTGGACGCTAGAACACAAAGATAACGAATGAATTCTAGAATGCGCGCTGTTATTTGTAATGCAATTTGTTGTCGACTCCGGTAAGTTTATTGTAAATAGACAGTTATATTTCTGTGGCTGTTAGTATAAGCAGCCTATAGCTATATAGCTAGAACTGAAGAGAGACTGCCATTATCAAATGCTAAATGAACAATGCTCGCATTGGAACCACGTTCCCAGGAAAGATTCTGCAACGAGGTATGTTTTATCATGACATACCTTTAAATAAGGTACATTGTATATGAATATATATAGCAATGGTATGGAGATACGCTCTTTACAAAACGAATACCTTTTACGATTAGCCTAGCAGCCACATGCAGGACATGAAGAAAAATTAGAGAAAATCACGTGTACTGATATCGATTATCGACCGTAATTCCGTGTGATGTATCAAATTATAATTATATGAGTACTTATTGAAGCAGTGAGGTTAAAGTGTTTTAAATAAACTCTAAGTTTCACGTTTTATCAAGTGCATCATTACCTGTTGTTATGGGATTTATATAATTATCCACACAAGTGTATTCGATAAAAAGTTCTTTCGTTGTGTCAGAACAATGTTGTGATGACAGTAAATTATTGTCAACGGTCAGTTCACAAGATCTTTTTCCACCACAAAGAGATTTCACTTCACAACTTGCTTGTCCACTACACTGTGCATTAACAATTGCGTTAGCGTCAAATGTCCCGCTTTTATTGAAATCTCCATAATGAGCTTTGTGGATCACCATACGTTGTTTTGGAGAACAATGAACATCTTTCATTTTATCACCAAACTGTGTCACTGAACCTGAAATCGAGTTTCAGAGAAAAATACAAATAATTTTTCCTGCTGTTTATTGATCACGCAAACTGAATTGAGTTATTTATGAAATAAAACGGAAATAGGGCGAAATACACAAATGATACCCATTTTTTAAAACTGGGAGCTTTAAATTGCATGCCTTTAATTATTTACGTACCAAAAGTAAACGTCTGGTTAGATCTGTCGCAATATGTTCTTCTATACAGATAACCTCCAGAAAGCTCAACACATATCCCGTGAGTCCCGTCATTGTAGAAATATAAAGATCCAGCGTCTGTTTGTTTCAAATTTTGACTACTGAGTTTTTGGCTGTTTTTTGCTGTTGTTGATATTGCTACATATATCGCTAAACGATTCTGATATGAGCGAGAATTGGTAGAATGCAACGCTCCCCCAGACTCGATATGCCACAATATTTCTGTATCCTTGTAACGAAACTGTGCTTTATCATCCAAGCAATTGTCAGTCATTATAACCCAGGAAGGACGTGCATGACTAGGATTCTTGTATATCAGACTCTCCTCTCTAGTTATACACTTTTTGGGCGTACTATTTTGCCGCATGAAGAAACTTTCACAATCTAAAAACAAAAAAAGACACTCCTTATTCGATTTAAAATTGCTCGAAAATCATCACTGCTTTCGTGGTGTCTGGAATTAACATAAACATATATTCTGTAGCCGTGCCTATAAATATTTTACACATGTGTTGTTTTGACTGCATGAAATGAACTCTCGTGGCAAAAGGCGAGCAACCGGTCGTTGGCGCAAAAGATGCATTTAGAAACTAGTTTGCCACAGAGCATACATGAATAAGGAATTTCTTGGTGCGTCTATTGCATTAGTTTTACATGAATTTGCACGTTTTCTTTAGATTGTAATTGTAAACTCTTTGTAAAGACTGCAACGATGACTCATCGTTATTTAACTCCATATTTAACCTCCATCAGTCACATTGTTTTTAAGGGCTTGATCGTTAACCGCGAAAGCAAAGAAATATAGAAATGGACTGGTACTTATGAAAAACACTCCAGCTCGCATATAGAGTTCACTAGATTAAAGTGTTAGAAAGATAAAGCATTACAACCAGATCAGTAATTACAACATTTTTAGAACCAAAATTTAATTTCTATATACAGGGTGTCCCAAAAAAAACGCAACCACTTAAATATGCAAGAATATTAACATTGTTCGGGTTTGCACCATAGTTCAGCTAAAATGACTTTTAGCATTGTAAATGAAGGATTAAGAGCCATTTTCAATTCCCAGAGGTGCTTATCTATTGCGCTTTAGAGCTGTATTAATGTTCTGCATATTTAAGTGGTTGCTTTTTTTTTGGGACACCCTGTACAAGCGTTGTGCAGTTGGATTCCGTAGCCGGTCAGTAGCATGATAGCATCTGTTTAAAGAGAGAACCTGGACCACAAATAACCCCTAAAATAATAACCCCTAAAATAGTTTGAACAAAAGGAATGTGTATTGAACGTGAAAGGAGTGTGAATAAAATAGTCTTCTTCGAGCTCGACTCTCAGCTCGCCATGTATGACAACTTAACCACTACTGAAGCAAGCGATGCATCGGTGGTTAAAACTGCCCAAAAAATCTACATACCCACTGCTAATTATAAATATTGAGTTTAAATATCTTGTGGAAACATCTAAATGGTTTTAAATGTGTGATGACAGTTTGTCGAAGGAGTTCAATCGCGTGGCTGAAACTGCCCTGAACTTAGTTACTTCGAATCTTTAATTATATCATAATATATTTTCGGCACAAGAGCCGACTAACTGCATGGTGTGCGGACCATAAGATAAAGGTCAGTGATATTTGATCATGATAGCTAACTCTCCTGAGGTCGCGTCAGTGACCTAGTTAAGAGATCCTGAGGGTGACTTAGCGAGGCTTAATGAAGAAGTATTTGTCAGGGTCTTGGATTTATTCGTTCTTGGATTTACCACCGCAGCATATATCAACTTTGGCAAACTATAGTTATTATACCTTTATGATATATGCATGATCGTCTCAAATCAGTAGATAATGATAAATATAAGTAGTTATCATTGTCGATCACACATTTCGAATCAATTCTAGTGAATACGGCTCGGCTTCTCACCTTTAATCATCAATAGTGTAACACCAAATAAAACTAACCATCGTTGAAATAACCAAGACATCTTGTCTTTTACCAAGACAATAAAAGCTAGACGAAAGATTCTTGCTCTACACTTCCGCATTTCATGAATTTCTCAAAGGAATGAGGTCTTAAATGTGTTAAATCAGTGTGTGTTAATTAAATTTTATTCAAAGAGAAAATTTCAATTTATTTACATGACAATATAAACTATGCCAGTCTTAGCTTGTTTTGTTACGGATTGGTGATTATTCTTAGAAATCATTCAAAAACAAAAATGCAACGACAATGTCTTTCTTCTCCGAATGGATCTGTTTACATGATCCTGGTTACCCGAAATCAAAAAAACGGAAAGCGTTTGATAAACTTCTAAGCAGATTCGCGTAAAGGATTTTTTAAAATTTAAATAGACGGACGGTTTGTGGAATTAAAACTGATTACAATTAAAAGACTGAGCTGTGAGCATTGCGGAAAATACAACTCATCATAGTCTCACACGGAAATCAGCGAACCAACGCCTGGTCACGCAGGTATAGCCGTGAAGGATGCATGGTTTTCATAATTCGTCGAAATTCACATGTCATAATGCAGTTGTAGTTTGTTTTAATTCGGTCTTCATAATGTCGGATTTTGCATAACAACGAATTACAACTATGATTACAAGGGATTACGACATGCATGTGAATTACAACAAATTTTACATGAAAACCCGCCTTTACAATTAAAGATGCCGGCGTGTTGATCTTCAAAAGAATTTTTTGCAACGTAAATTAGTGAAGAAAGAATTTTAAAATGTAAACATGTCAGATCCAATAATTAATTTCGCGAGGACAGACTTCCTTTTAACGAGTTTGTCACCCACACGTCGCCCTATTTTTTCAATAAAGGCATGCATAATAATTATCTAAATACCTTATATTAGGCGAGCGGTTCGTCTTACAGGTTTACATGCAGACTGTAACAGATGTATCAAAAAAAGACAATTAAAATTCATATGGTTATTAATAAGCACAATAATAGTACAATAAAACTTTTAATTGTATAGCTCACAAAGTGAACATTTTCGTTTTTCCTTTTGTGAGTGAATATATTCCTTTTTTTTAAAAAAACTTGGTATAAAGCCCTAATTCCACGGGCGCTTTTTCTCGGCGAAATGCAAAATACTTCGCCTGCTTCTTTTGAATTGTGAGGATTGAAGCAGAATTAATTGATTCAAGTAGTCAAAATTGAAAAAAAACAGGCGAAATGTTTCGCATTTCGCTGAGAAAAAGCGCCCGTGGAATTCTGCTGATGATAATCGGATTGGCAAAATTTTACATATTTAATAAAAGTTTGGAGGGAAAGACTGAAGATTTATGCGGATTATTTAATTTTGCATGTCCTTGAATAAAAAAATCAGCTAATCCTCTGATGACTTGAATTTTAAATGCCATCTATGTGCAGGGTGTTACGAATTACAGGAAATCGTCATTTGAACATACCTGCACTAAATATTGGGTTCAGCAATACATGCATTTTCAGTACATCTATCAGTAAGAATTAAAATCTCAATTGAAGGCAGCATTTTCGTATTCCATTGATTCACCATTCCCCTTAGGATGACTTTCACCATTATTGGTCCAGGGGGGTTGCAGTGACTGATAAACGATTGTTGGTTGTCTGTTGTCATTCAACGGCATGTCATTCGATGATTCCTGTTCTTTGCGTGTCTCGTGTGCAGCCTCATTACGCTCAATTTCGTCTGGAATCTCGTACACAGGAACACAGTCATTTGCATCTTCAGTCTGGCGATTGGTAGGTTTTTGAACGGAATCTAACAGATAAAAATATTAAATGGAAACTAACAGATTAAAAGACAGACATTTAAACTGTACATGCAATAGGATTGTGGCTGCTTTTGAACGAAAAGAAACTGATGATATCAAAAAAGTAACTAAGCGAAGACGAAAGAAATTCGATTTGTAGTTTGAGCAACGACAAGAATTTTTCTCGTTCACGAATCCTAAAATGCACGTAAAGTAAAATATGGTTTATTTACCCAGCTCCATTGCTTGGCCAACTCCTTCAGAGCTAGAATAACTGTTTAGACGACGAGATAGATATATGATTACGCCAATCGAGAGAAGAAGGCACAATGCTAGAATACTCAGTGGTATAAGGAGATCAAGCCGGGTTTTGTCTTCCGTACACTCGTGAACTGACTGTTTTCAACTTCCATCTATAAAGAAACTCCGGTTCTCATCAAAAGATTTAAGATGTTTATCAGTTTGTAAACAAAAAATTATCAAGAAACGAAGAATACAGATAAGATAATTCAACAAACAATGAAAACGTTTGAATTTCAGGTAATCAGTTACCTGAAGGTCTCCCCATTGTGTAAATGCTATCACTCCACTCTGTCGAGTAGTATGAATCCTAGGAAGGTATATATGCGTTGTATCATACTTTCTAGATAGAAATTAATGAATGGATAAACAACATTCTGCAATTGAACAGTTTGAAGTTTTTGATATGAATATTTATTTAGCTACATACTTGACTTTCAAAAAACCTTAAGAACACCACATAATTTGAATTTGCCGTTAAAGGTTGGTTGTGGTAATTTTCGTCTTCAGAATTGTAACTCTTGCCATCTCCTATTACGAACATCAAGGGTAAAACATCAGCTTTCAAATAAGCAGTGATGTAAGGATCCCGTGTGTTTGACTGGAAATTTTTCAGATCACTTGTTTTAATGTCTTCGCTTGAAACTTGATCATTCGCAGAACTTTGCACGATGACCATAACTTCTCTAAATCATATAATGTGATAGAGAAAGTCAGGTTGCTATATGACATTTTCTTTAAGATCAGTAATGAAGACCTTTCTTAAAGAAATTAAATATAGTAACTATATCAGTATAATCCAGCTACAAGACGGTCTATTAAATTGATTAAATTGAATACAAACAAAGACGTAGGGCCCAGAATATATGGGTCCCTTCTGAGAATGTGAAGTGCATCATTTTTATTCCGTCAAAAATGCAAAAAATCTGTATGTGATCTTGCGCATCAAAATGTCCATCGTTAATGCCAGAAAATCCTGCCCAGAATGTCCAGCATAAATCAGTCTCGAGTCACACTGATACCATTACCCCACCTACGTTTATGCTGCCTCCCCCCTTCCCCGAAATTCTGGCTACGCCTCTGAATACATAGAATGAACCAAAGTGCTAAAAATTGTGTTTTAATGTATTTAAAAAGGAGAGGGTTTAATGAATTCAATAATCATGCAGGATCAATTGGCTAAATGGAGTAAATCAGTGGTCAAATAAACACTTACTTGATATATTCCTGTGGTTTTGGTATGTTTACAGTCAAAGTATAAAACGAAGTCGCGATTAAATTGACTGGCCCTATGTAAAAATAACAATTCATTGAGGTGAGCAGCTGTATTTTACATTACGCGAATATTTGCATGCAATGCATGCAAATTATGTTTGCCAATGAATAAAAAAGCCTTGATAATGGGATCTAAAAATTTAGTTATCGTAAACGACATGCAGTTATAGTCTGATATGTTTCAGAGAGTTCACCACAATTTAACAATTAAATGGGTAATCAAAGGTTGCTAGGAGCTTTAAACAAGTACGAATATGAAATAAAATGACGACGTTGTAAACAGGCTGATACCTTCATTTGTCGTTTCAATGATTTTCGCACTTTTGTTGCCAAAACCAACACTTGTACCAGCCGCAACAGTCACAATATACTTTGTCGATGGTTTAAGATTATCGATAGTATATGACAATGTCGTATTCGTTTGAGTACATTTCGGACTAGTTGACATGGTTTGGGAAGAATAACAAACTTGATAGCCTGTCAGTATTCCATTACGTAGATCGCTTCCTGGAGGCATCCAGGATAATTCTAGTGAATATTTACTTCGGAATATATAGGTCACATTCATTGGAGGACCACTAGGAACTGGATTGAAGAAAAATAGAAATTATTGATACTGATAAAGTCCTGGAAGTGGATCAAAATATCGATGTTCAGTGTAATCCAAGGAGTTTGGATGTCATTTCAAATCCTTAAATTTATCCTTCGTATATTTTACCTTCTTCCTTGGTTTTGAAATCTTCAGAAACTTTACCGCCTTTCTCTCCTGAACCATCTTCTGTCTCAATCTCAACTTTATAGTCAGTGTATGGTTTAAGTCCACGAATAGTAAATTTATTGCCATATGTCTCCCGGGATATACTTTGTTGGAGTTTTCCGTTGATGAAAATATTGTAGTTCGTTATGTAACTTGAGTCTTTAGGTTCTGGTATCTTCCATGTGACATCTGCCGAGGTATTCGATGGTGTAACTTTAATATCCTGTACAGGAGCAGGCGTTTGGACTAAAATAAAACAATGCAACGGTTATAAAGCAACCGGAGTATACAATTACTTAATGGTTTCCGTGTTTGGATGGCCTGATGGCCTGATGGCCTGATGGCCTAATTGTTTTATAAAATAACAAACCACAATAAATTTGTTTTTACATTCCCGCGAAATTTCCGTGTTTGGATGGCCTGATCCAAACACGGACTTCAACCAATCAGAACACGCGTTATATACATGTTATTTTATAATATCAGTTACTAACCACAACGACGATCAACGCTATCCCTAGTGTCAAAAGTATTACTCTGGAATAGAGAAGTTTGATTTCTAGAGGACCTGTGCTGCATTCTTCCCAACATTCCCGACTAATTCTTAACGTGATCATTCCTGACAAAACTTTACCTTTTCCACAAAGTTCTATTCTCAGACAAAAATAATTTGTTCCAGTTGATTTTATTTTGATATGTCTCACGTTGTAAATATTGAGAGCCGTTATCGAAGCTTGATAGCCGTTCTGATTTCCAGTGATCTGAGAATACGAATATAAAAAATGTATACGTATTTGAACAAAATAAACTAAACTGCATGGATTAAGGCATCTGTCTTGATGCTGTTGTATCTTGTTTTCAAGATTATCGATTGAGGTAGAAAATGTCAATTGATGGACAACACTCTTAAGGTCTGTTCACGCGATCCAATTTTGTTGGATCCAATTCACTTCTGATGAATGTTTTATAGTCTGTTGTCTTGTAATGTATATGAGCAGCAAATCCACTGAAGCCAATGCAGTACTGCTTTATCAATAACCGACTTTATTTTTTTTCTTGCGGTCCGAATTTATATTTTAGCGTTTCCTGCAATCTGATTGACTACGCGAGCGGTCCGTATGCATGAGGCCGTACGGACCGGGCGAGATTTAAAAGCACAGAACCAACGCTAAAATATGAATTCGGACCGCAAGAAAAAAAAATCTATTATTTACCAGTTTAGTCGGTCCGCATAGGAAAATATTTTTCTCGGTCTCAAAAACATCCCTAGGCCTTCGGCCTCGGGCTGTTTTTGAGACCTTGGGAAATATTTCCATATACGGACCTCCAATCTGGTAAATAACATATATTTATTTCATACGTCAGAAGTGAATTCAATCCTACAAAATTGGATCGTGTGAACAGACCGTTAAGGTTCTTATGGCAGGGATTAGCGTGACCTTCGCAATCCGGGGATTTAGGATTAATATTAGGATTAAGAATATATTTGACAACATACAATATAAAGCGACAAGTAATCATGGATGAATCAATAATTGCAAATACCTGTCTGCTATTGCTAAAACTGTCATCATGACTGTATGTCATTGTGTATTGATCACTCCACTTTGTCTGATCTTTGTTACCCATTGTCACGACTTGTGTGATGTGATAGTCTTTCAAAAGATCAATCAAAAGATAATGTGTTTGTGGTGTCTGGGTACACCAACCATCTTTGGTAAATCTTGCATTGCTATAACCAGAAGAGCCACTACCAGAAAACACAGAGTCTGCAAAAGTAGTTTCATCTTGGAGTAACGCTGGTTTATCGCACATCTTACCTAGAGTGGAAATAAAGTTAGAGAGAGCCACAAACTATCGTGAAATATTGTTTCCTATAAAAGTCTAACCGACCATACCAAGTTATTTTAGCCAAACTACAGTGTTAAAGAAAATACCCGCAACCCCGACAAACTCACTCATCTCAACACCTGCAACTGAGCCTACTGGGAGTAATTTCGTCCAATCACAATGCTTGACAGTTAATTAGATTCAAACACTCGCAGCGAATTTGCGAGTTTCATTTTGCGATGAGTGGAAAAGAGCTTAAGTATATATACTCACACTCAGCATATGGTATATAACCACTTGAATTCGTGGTAGAGGGAACAAGATGGACACAACAGGATGTTCCACCTGATCCTGTGTTATAACACACCAAATCTCCAGTTGCAATTTCTTCATTTGCAGCTATCTCCATGTTTCTAATAGTATTAGCGCTCGTTTCGCTAAATCCCAAGTGTTCACACAGCGTTTTTTGACGATCTTTATCCCAATTCTCTTCAATAACTTTTCTCCACGTTGTGTCATTATTCTTCACTTCAATAAAACCTTCGTTGGGTGGCTTTGATAGTCTTATGTTGGACGCTAGAACACAAAGATAACGAATAAATTCTAGAATGCGCTGTTATATTTGTAATGCAATTTGTTGTCATAAACAATTATAGTTCTGTGGCTATCAGTATAAGCTGCCTATAGCTAGAACTGAAGAGAGATGTCATTTTCAAATGCTAAATGAACAATGCTCGTATTGCAACCATGCACGTTCCCAGGAAAGATTCTGCATGCAATGAGGTATATTTTATCATGACATACCTTTAAAAAGGTGCATAGTATGTGAATATAGATAGCAATGGTATGGAGGGAGATGAGGTTGTAATGGCGCTCTTTACAAAACGAATACCTTTTACGATTAGCCTAGCAGCCACAGGACATGCAGGAAAATTAGAGAAAATCACGTGTATTGATATCGACCATAATTTTCGTGTGGCATATCAAATTATAATTATATGAGTACTAATTAAAACAGAGAGGTTAAAGTCTTTTAAATAAACTCTAAGTTCCACGTTTTATCAAGTGCATCATTACCTGTGGTTATGGGATTTATATAATTATCCACACAAGTGTACTCGATATAAAGTTCTCTTGTTGTGTCAGAACAATGTTTTGATGACAGTAAATTATTGTCAATGGTCGGTTCACAAGATCTTTTTCCACCACAAAGAGATTTTACCTGACAACTTGCTTGTCCACTACACTGCGCATCAACAGTTGCGGTAGCATCAAATGTCCCGCTTTTATTGAAATCTCCATAATGAGCTTTGTGGATCACCATACGTTGTTTTGGAGAACAATGAACATCTTTCATTTTATCACCAAACTGTGTCACTGAACCTGAAATCGAGTTTCAGAGAAAAATACAAATAATTTTTCCTGCTGTTTATTGATCACGCAAACTGAATTGAGTTATTTATGAAATAAAACGGAAATAGGGCGAAATACACAAATGATACCCATTTTTTAAAACTGGGAGCTTTAAATTGCATGCCTTTAATTATTTACGTACCAAAAGTAAACGTCTGGTTAGATCTGTCGCAATATGTTCTTCTATACAGATAACCTCCAGAAAGCTCAACACATATCCCGTGAGTCCCGTCATTGTAGAAATATAAAGATCCAGCGTTTGTTTGTTTCAAATTTTGATTTTTGTCTTTTTGGGTGTTTTTTGCTGTTGTTGATATTGCTACATATATCGCTAAACGATTCCGATAACTAACAGCTGAGATAGAAAACAACGCTCCCCCCGACTCGATATGCCACAATATTTCTGTATCCTTGTAACGAAACTGCGCTTTATCATCCAAGCAGTTTTGAGTCATTATAACCCAGTAAGGAAGTGCATGACTAGGATTATTGTATATCAGACTATTCTCTCTAGTTATACACTTTTTGGGCGCATTACTTTGCCGTATGAAAAAACTTTCACAATCTAAAAACAAAAAAGTCAATGGTGAGAAAGTTACACTCCCTTTTGTACCTAAAATTGCTCGAAAATCATCACTGCTTTCGTAGTGCTTTCGTAGTGTTGGGAATTAACATAAACATATATTCTGTAGCCATGCACATAAATATTTTATACATGTGTTGTTTTGACTGCATGAAGAGAACTTTCGTGGCAAAAGGCGAGCAACCGGTCTTTGGCACAAAAGATGCATTTTAGAAACTAGCTTGCCACAGAGAATACACGAATAAGGAATTTCTTGCTGCGTCTCGGGCATTAGTTTTAAATGAATTTGCACGTTTTCTTTAGATTGTAACTGCAACACTCTGTGTACTCATGGTTATTTAACCTCCATGTTTAACCTCTATCAGTAACATTGTTTTTAAGGGCTTGATCGCCAAAAGCGAAGGCAAGGAAATATAGAAATGGACTGGTACTTATGAAAAATGACGTCTGAGTTATCACTCCAATTCACATTAGATTAAAGTGTTAGAAAGACAAAGCATTACAACATTTTTAGAACCAAAATTTAATTGGACCACAAATAACCCCTAAAATAGTTTGAACAAAAGGAATGTGTATTGAACGTGAAAGACTTTCCGCTTCGAGCTTGACTCTCAGCTCGCCATGTATGACAACTTAACTACTACAGAAGCCACCGATGCATCGGTGGTTGAAACTGCCCAAAAAATCTACATACCCACTGATAATTATAAATATTGAGTTTAAATATCTTGTGGAAACATCTAAATGGTGTTAAATGTGTGAGGATTGTTTGTCGAAGCCTCGAAGTAGTTCAATCGCGTGTTTGAAACTGCCCTGAAACTTAGTTGCTTGGAATCTTTAATTATATCATAATATATTTTCGGCACAATAGCCGACTAACTGCATGGTGTGCGGATCAGGTCATCAGGTAAAGGTCAGTGATATTTGGTTCTGATAGCTAACGCTCGTGAGGTCGCGTCATTGACCTAGCTAAGAGATCTGGAGGGTGACTTAGCGAGGCTTAATGAAGATTGAAGAAGTATTTGTTAGGGTCTTGGATTTATTCGTTCTTGGATTTACTACTGTATTAGGGAGGTTAAGATCGACTTCCGCTACGAGTACCGATACCAATATTCAGTCACGCGCATGCGCAGACGTAACAATCGTCCAAAATGTGATAACACCGGAAGTCGTGAGTACCGTTTTGGGGCTGAAAATGGAAGTGGATAGGCAGGCGAAGTACCGAATTATATTTACTGTATTATTGCATTTCCTGCAGTTTTTTCTAATAATATTATTTAGTTTTTAGTTGTGTAATGTTTCTGCTTTGTTTGTTGAGACTTAAGGATTGTGACTAGAGTTTTTGACGTGAATATAGCCACTATACTCCGCCGTGTTTATTTACTTCTTACGGAAATCACAATCTTAACGCTTTAAAGTTTCCGCGCTGCCAAACAGTAATACGTCATGTATTTTTGTATCGGTACTGGTAGTGGAAGTAGATCTTAACCTCCCTATTATATACTCTATCAACCTCGGCAAACTATAGTTACTATACATTTATGATATATGCATCATCGTCTCAAATGAATAGACAATGATAAATATAAATAGTTATCATTGTCGATCACACACTCCGAATCAATTCTATATAGTTTAATACGGCTCGGCTTCTCACCTTTAATCACCAACAGTGACACACCAAATAAAACTAACCATCGTTGAAATAACGACGACATCTTGTCTTTTACCACTGAAGACAGTAAAAGCTAGACGAAAGATTCTTGCTCTACACTTCCGCATTTCATGATTTTCTCAAAGGAATGAGATCATCATGGCCAGAAATTGCGGACATGGAATATGCAGATTGCCGTAGCAAATTTGCATATCTGTTCAAATATTATTCGTTTGCAGAACTATAAATTATATTGCGCATTCTTAAATTTCGCAAAATTTAAGAAAATCATTGCATCTTTGCAATTTGCCCTGGTTGTTTCTTGTAATTCGTGTCATATTAAAGATCCTGAGGTAATATTTTGCTGGTAAAGGTTTATGTCGGCTCTGCATTTTTATTTATTTCTACGCTATTACGGTTTTCGTTTTATATGGTATTCAACGTGATAAATGACCGAAACTTTGTTTTGAAGATGCAGGACGAATACTGATAAAACAATTTGAAATACTATAAAAAAATATTAAGATTAACTTGCTCTGCAACGAGCAATTAAGGCAAATTATAGTCGACCTACCTAAAGGTGTATTTTTAGCGTTTAGTACTGTGCACATTACAGTTTACTATAAACTCACGAAGCTTTATTTTGACACCATATGCAAATTTAGGCGGAAGTAGAATGTTAATTATGTCCGAATTTTCTGGCCATGAAATGTGTTAAATCAGTTTGTGTTAGTTAAAATTTTATTCAAAGAGAAAATTTTAATTTATTAACATGACAATATAAACTATGCCAGTCTTAGCTTGTTTTGCTACGGATTGGTGATTATTCTTTGAAATCATTCAAAAACAAAAATGCAACGACAATGTCTTTCTTCTCCGAATGGATCTGTTTACATGATCCTGGTTACCCGACATCAAAAAAACGGAAAGCGTTTGATAAACTCCTAAGCAGATTCGCGTAAAGGATTTTTTAAAATTTAAATAGACGGACAGTTTGTGGAATTAAAACTGATCACAGTTAAAAGACTAAGCTGTGAGGATTGCGGAAAATACAACTCATCATAGTCTCACACGGAAATCAGCGAACCAACGCCTGGTCACGCAGATCGCCGTGAAGGATGCATGGTTTTCATAATTCGTCGAAATTCACATGTCATAATTCAGTTGAAGTTTGTTTTAATTCGGTCTTCATAATGTCGGATTTTGCATAACAACGAATTACAACTATGATTACAAGGGATTACGACATGCATGTGAATTACGACAAATTTTACATGAAAACCAGCCTTTACAATTAAAGATGGCGGCGTGTTGATCTTCAAAACAATTTTTTGAGACGTATTACGTTGAAGAAAGAATTTTAAAATGTAAACATGTCAGATCCATGCAATGATTAATTTCGCGAGGACGGACTTCCTTTTGACAAGTTTGTCCCCCACACGTCGCCCTATTTTTGTCAACAAAGGCATGCATAATTATCTGCAGATGGTAGAATATAGCGACATGAATATTTCATATTTGAAGTGAGGAAGTAAGTTTTATACACCACATAAAACTAACCATTGATGAAATAACCGCAAAACATATATCACAAAGGTTTGTTCTACAGGATGCATAAAAAATATACCGCTATATATATTATATTGAATCAAGCTTTTGTTGGCAATAATATAAATTAAATGCGTTATTGTTATCCTAACCTATGGATGCCAATAGAATTCAAAGCGGGAAGGTAAGCCTGAACTGCCTGATTTTCATATGTCATAATTCGTTGTAATTTGTTAAATCCGAAATCCGTTTATATATATAAACGAACTAAGCTAAACATATGAAAACCAGCATTTCATTTGAAGACCACAGCCCAATTTCGATGCAAATTCCAGCAAAAACGTTTCAATTTTTATACATGCACCATGTACTTTCACTTTTAACAATTAGCCTTTTATCACGAGAACGACACTTATAATGACGCACATCATGGCGTGTTAGTTAATTATTCTTTTAAACCATTATTCACACAGCGAAAGAAAGCAACGCAGATAGAAAACTTCTCCAGGAAAACTATACCTTGCATGGACACAAAAAAGTACGCCTAAAGAAAGCCAATCCTAATTCAATTGGCGAGCCATTCATCTCATAACGTTTTCTCTGGGTGCATGGAGGATAATTAAAAACGATAAAACTCTTTAGGTGTTTAATTTTAATATAAGGAAACATATTATATTCACAGAGACTCCTTTAGTCCAATAAAAATATCGATATACGATATATATTGTTCGTTACACAATCGATACGAGTTATTATTAGGTATAGCCGTTAGCTAATAGGCTACTGCCTAGAACTAGCTAGCATCATTAATAACCCCTTCATACTGGTCGGCGTTAGATCATATCGAACTAACGTACATGACGTCATAAATTTTGCAATAACGGAAGTATAATAACAGAAGTCTGAAGTCCTACATGAAGTCTTTCTAGAGCTGGTTCATAAAAATGATAAAATAAAAATCGCGATGAATGATGATACATTTATACATTTATAAATGTACACGAAAGTGTAAATGTCTGTTACCCTCATACCCAGTATAGGAGTGATCATATACTTATGTAATAGTATCTCTGGCTTTACCTTAATTATGGTTAGGGTTAGGGTTATTGAAAATTTTATGACGTCATGTACGTTAGTTCGATATGATCTAACGCCGACCTTTCATACTTAACCCGGCATCCATTAAATTATATATATTACTAAAAAACTTACATCTAGCGGAAAAGGTATATATGATATATATATTTCAAACATTAATCATGCAGCATTGGGATCTGCGCTAAAGACAGGATTTTGGTATTCCACAGAATTTTGACCACCCACCTTAGAATGACTTTGACCATCATTCGTGCCGTGGGGATGAAATGCCTGATAAACGTTTGCTGGTTCTTTTTTGTCTTTTAACGACATGTAATCCGATGATTCCTGTCCTTTGGCCATCGCACGTGCACCCTCAGTTTGCTCAATTTTTTCAATAACATCATCTGGAGTCTCATATACAGAGTTCCCTTCATTCACATATTTGTTGCCAATCTTAGGTTCTTTATTGCCATCTGAAGGATAAACAGTTACATTCTATTAAAAATTATATTTTTAATGTCTTCTTCACGAAAACATTCATTTTCATATCAAACTTGTACACAAGAAGTCAAGAAGTCGGAATTATGTCTTAAACGGTGCACGCTAAATAGATATAAACTTTAAATATATACTTACCGAACTCGTTTTTTCTATTTTGAAGAAGGCGACGCTGGTATATGATTACGCCAAGTGAGAGCAAAAAGTACAATGCCAGAATAATGATCGGTATGAAGAAACGTATAGAGTTATCCGCATTCTCTAATTCTGTAAAGAGAACCCAGCTCTTAAGCCTTCTTTCCATTAGACGGAATTTTGCGGAGTTTGACGGAGTTTTCCTTTTTTTTCTCACATTAGTTCCTCATGAAAGCGCGCAGACAATGCAAAATTCCGCTCCACGCGCAAAATTCCACCTAGTGGATATCCGCCCTTAGATGATCAGCAGGGCCGAAGCTAGGGGGGAGTGTATTCATATATTCATATTGATATAATATGAAAGATAGCGTACAAGACAAAATACTCGGGAGTACGACGAGTATGTGAGTATACACCCCCCCCCCCCCCCATTTAATCTTTTAGATAAGGTCCTGATGGTACCTTCATAATGGTCTTTATCATGTTAATTAAACAATAAAATAGCATGAAATTGGTAGAAGTAAAGTATTCCAAATCGACAATCAAAACATTTGAATTTTAAGTATAATTTACCTGAATGTTTTGCTGAATGTTTTGCCATTGTGTAAATACTATCACTCCACTCTGTCGAGTAGTATGAATTCTAGGAAGATATATATGCGTTGTATCATACTTTCTAGATAGTAATGCATGCATGAACAACGTTCTGCACCTGAACAGTTTGAGGTTTTTGATATGAATATTTATTTAGCTACATACTTGACTTTCAAAAAACCTTAAGAACACGACATAATTTGAATTTGCCGTTAAAGGTTGGTTGTGGTAATTTTCTTCTTCAGAACTGTAACTCTTGCCATCTCCTATTACGAACGTCAAGGGTAAAACATCAGCTTTCAAATAAGCAGTGATGTATGGATCCCGTGTGTTTGACTGGAAATTTTTGAGATCACTTGTTTTGATGTCTTCGCTTGAAACTTGATCATTCGCAGAACTTTGCACGATGACCATAACTTCTCTAAAGCATTAAATGAATGATGAGAAAGTCAGGTGCTATATACGACATCTTCTTTAAGATAATTTATGAAGACCTTTTGCAAAAAAATTAAATATAGTAGCTATATATAATCCAGCTACAAGACGGTTTATTAAATCGAATACAAACAGAGGTGTAGTGCCCTGAAATTATGGGTTAAGGTTTCTGAGAATGCGAAGGGCATAATTTTTATTCGGTCCGTCAAGAATGGAAAAAATCTGTATGTGATCTTGCGCATCGAAATGTCCATCATTTTGATGCCAGAAAATCCTGCCCAGAATGTCTAGCATGAACCTTGTCTCGGGTCACATTGATACCCTTACCCCACCTAAGTTTATGCTGCACCCCCCTCCCCCCTTCCCCGAAATACTGGCTACGCCTCTGATTACATAGAATGGATTAAAGTGCTACAAATTGTGTTTTAATGTATTCAAAAAGCAGAACGGTTTAATGAATTCAATGATCATGCAGGATCGATTAGCCTAATGGAGTAAATCAGTGGTCAAATACATGTAAACACTTACTTGATATATTCTTGTTGTTTTGGTATGTTTATAGTCAAAGTATAAAATGAGGCTGCGATTAGATTGACGACTGGCCCTATTTAACCGTAAAAAATAATATTTCATTTAGGTGAGCAACTGTATTTTAAATTACCCGAAGATGCATTGATCACTGAGATCAATTAAAATTACCTCCATTGGTTATTTTACTGACTTCCGGACTCTTCTCTCCGTAACCGTGTTCTGTGCTGGCCGAAACTGTTACGAAGTATTTCGTGGAAGGTCGAAGATCATTGAGAGTAAGATGAAAAACTTTAGTGCTTTTAAGGATCAGGCATTCTGGAGACGTATCATTTGTAGAGAAACAAACTCGATATCCTGTCAATTTACTTTTTCGTGTACTTTCAACTGGAGCTTTCCACGAAATTCGCAGCGAGGTCTTGCTACGAGATATGAAGGCGACATTCAGCGGCGGTCCACTAGGAACTGCAACGACAAAAGAACATACCTTTATTACCACTGCGTATTTTGGTGGAGTAGAGAACGATTAGTGGGTCGTAGAGATTAGGATTTCGGGGAGATTATTTCTACGTTTCGACTAGGGCTATATTTAGTCGTCGTCAGGGGGGGAGTGACGATGAGTTATTATTATCAACATATGTACAAGTATATATATAATATAATATAGATTGAAGTAATAGAAACTATCACGTTTAATTTCTGTTGCTGAGTATTACCTACGGGAACCACAAATTCTTCACTCCAGTATGACCAGGTGCGATTCTAAAAGATGCGGAATATATTACATAGTTACAAACAAGTTAAATAATGGAGAACCATGCGATCGCACAAATTTTTATATTCCCATTTCAACCTACCCCAGACTCATCTGTATTCATTTGTGTTGTTCTATATTTTTTGTCCGGTTTCAATGCATCAACCTGAACAGCTTCTCTTTTTCTTCTTCTGTTTTCCTTAAACTTTCTAAGGAGTATATCTATCTCATCACCTTTGAAATCACTAATATTAAACTCCTTAGCAATAAAAGCGTCCCCGGTCTTCATTTCTGAAGGAATTGAACTTTTTATCTTGATGGATTCTGGTGCTGGAGGTTCACTGGAGTCTGACAGAAGCAATACAAGAGCGACCATTCTGAAATGTAAAATGTTTCTTCAAGATTACATTGTCAAAAAACTTATTTGCACTCAAATCGTAATACAAAATACTGGCGCAGGTAAATCGTCGCGCAGGGATGAGCCCTCAGCTTGTCTAAACAAACCTTATATTTTTCTGTTTTGGTTTTCGTAATATCACTGTGTAACCGTCTTCCGTTTCCTTTGGGGGCTCCAAGGGCTCTAAAAACAACAGAATGATATCTCCATAACTATCGACAGTTAGATATTATTTAGGGTATAGCCCGTATAGGTCTGAGTATATCTTAATCCATGTGTTTAGGGTGTCTTCTATCATTTCGTGATTTCGATAATTGTCATTGATGAGAACGTGAAACTTCTTGTATAACTTAATTGACAAATATGAACTCCCTCACATGCCCTCAAACAATCGCTATCAAAGAATTTATGCAGTAGGGTAGAATTTATACATATCATGCAGACAAAAAAGATAAATATAGAGAAAAGAAAGAAATTGCATGATTACATACTTGAAAAAGACAACCATGATTTCGAAGTTGCCAGACTTTTTCCAGCCTCAGTTTCAACCCGTACGTTAATAGTGTATTGTTTATCATAATCGACAACAATAATGATAGAATTATTTTCTTTCGGGACAGTCGATCGTTTCGTTGGTTCACTCGAAGCACTGTAGTTTACATGATACTTCAGGACAGTTTGCTGATAAGGCAACGAAGGTTGATACCATGAAATATTGTACTCATTATGACTAGTAGGCGTGATTTTTGAGATGACTGGAGCTAGAAGAATATTAAGACAATATTTATGACAGTTAGGATCATTTTATTAATATTGCTTTTAATATGAAAACTATCTTGTGGTGACATTGAGAGGAATGGCTGTTCCTGGAGGATCACCTGGTGGAGTTGCCAAAGTTTTGACACTTTTGCTCCATTCTGTTGAGTAGAACGAATCCTAGAAGGAAATCTCATCGATTAATTTTTTTTATTTAAAAAAAAAATTATGGCATTAATTGAAATATTGATGGAATATACACCTGGCTTTCAAAGAATCTCAAGAACACGTTGTAACTTGTGTTTGGTTGAAGAGGTTGGTTAACGTAGATCATGTTTTTATATTTATATTCTTTGCCATGACCGATTACAAACGATGAAGGGAGAACATCAGTTTTCAAATAGTCAGTGATGTAAGCATCTTGAGTGTTTGACTGATAAGGTTTAAGATCGCTTGTTTTAATTTCTTCCACCGGTTTAAGGACGTTCTCAGCAGTATTCACGATGATCATTACTTCTCTATAAACAGGGTACAAAAGATCGATATAAGATGATGATTATGTATTAAAGATCTTTTTATAAAACCGTTGTTATTCAATAATATCAAACTAACATACTGAATATATTTGTCTGGTTTGAGAATGTTTATTCGTAGGGTGGATGAAGAAGCTGCAACAGGTTCTACAGGATCTAAGAATCAAAACAAAATTATTATCATCATATTATATTATTCCAATTATGATGTATGTAAGAATATCAAAAGCCCTGCTAGTAGATTTAAAAACTTTGTCATCGTTAACGATAGGTAGCTAGTCCGAAAATTTTCAAGGAGTTCACTGCAATTTAACGACTAAATGGGTAGTCATGTAAAGGTTGCTATAGGGGCTTTAAACAACTAAGGATATAGGATAAAATTATGCACGTTATATTTGGCCAATACCTCCATTTGTCGTTTTATTGATTTCCGCACTTTTGTTGCCAAAACCAACACTTGTACCAGCCGCAACAGTTACAAAGTACCTTGTAGATGGTTGAAGATCATCCATGGTGAAAGTCAATGTCGTGTTTGTTTCATTGCATTTCGGACTAGTTGAAATTGTTTGGGAGGAATAACAAACTAAATAGCCTGTCAGTATTCCATTATGCAGATTTACTTCAGGAGGTTGCCATGACAATTTTAGTACGTTTTTACTCCGGGATGTAAACATCACATTTTGTGGAGGACCACTAGGAACTGGAACAGGGAAAAATAGAAATTAATCACCAAAAGTTGACCCTGACACATTCCTAATTGGGAACAAAATTTATGTTTGTTATCCAAGGTGTTTAAATGTCATTTGAAATCCTTAAACTTATCTTTCGTATATTTTACCTGCTTCCTTGGTTTTGAAATCTTCAGAAACCTTACCACCTTTCTCTCCTGACCCATCTTCTGTCTCAATCTCAACTTTATAATCAGTGTATGGTTTAAGTCCACGAATAGTAAATTTATTGCCATATCTCTCTCTGGATATTCTTTCTTGAAGTTTTCCGTTGATGAAAATATTGTAGTTCGTTATGTAACTTGAGTTCTTAGGTTCTGGTATCTTCCATGTGACATCTGCCGAGGTATTCGAAGGTGTAACTTTAATATCCTGTACAGGAGCAGGCGTTTGGACTAAAATAAAAAAATGCAATGGTTAGCAAGCAACCTGCATGAGTATCAGTTACTACCAACAACCACAATAAACGCTATCCGTAGTGTCAAAAGTACTGCTCTGGAATTGTGAAGGGTTTTGTTTCTGAAGTTTGATTCTGAACACCCTGTGCTGCATTTTCCCCAACATTCCTGACTAAGTCTTAACGTGATAATTCCTAACAAAACTTTACCTTTTCCACAGAGTTCTATTCTCAGACAAAAATCATTTGTTCCATTCGATTGTATTTTGATATGTCTCACGTTGTAAACATTGAGAACCGTTATCGAGGCTTCATAGCCGTTTTGGTTTCCAGTGATCTGAGAATACGAAATAATAAGAAAAAATAAAAAATGTATACATGAATATCGTGTGAATATGATTATGATTATTATTATATGAGTATTTTAAACAAAATAACCTCCTCAGTACTAACTAAACTGGATTAAAGTATCTGTTTTGATGCTGTTGAAGTTTTCACCCTTCAGGATTCTGGATAGAAAAGGTCAATTGATGCATGGTTACGAGGAATGGTCAATTAATGGACAACACTCCTAAGGTTCTTATGACAGGGATTAGAGTGCCCTTCGCAATCCGGGAATTTAGGATTAATATTAGGATTAAGGATATATTTGACAACATACAATATAAAGCGACAAATATTCATGGATGTACCAATAATTGCAATTTGCAAGTACCTGTGCGCTGTTGCTAAAACTGTTATCGTGGCTGTATGTCATTATATATTGATCACTCCACTTTGTCTGATTTTTGTTACCCATTGTCACGACTTGTGTGATGTGATAGTCTTTCAAAAGATCAATCAAAAGATAATGTGCTTGTGGTGTCTGGGTACACCATCCATCTTTGGTAAATCTTGCATTGCTATAACCAGAAGAGCCACTACCAGAAAACACAGAGTCTGCAAAAGTAGTTTCATCTTGGAGTAACGCTGGTTTATCGCACATCTTACCTAGAGTGGAAATAAAGTTAGAGAGAACTACAAAATATCGTGAAATATTATTTCCTATCAAAGTTTCCTATCAACCATACCAAGTTATTCTAGCCAAACTACAGTGTTAAAGAAAATACTCGCAACCCCTACAAACCCAAAGTTCTTACACTCACTCATCGCAAAAACTAACTCGCAATTTAAGCCCGCTGCGAGTAACTTCGTCCATACACAATGCTTGACAGTTAATTAGATGCAAACGCTTGTAGCGAGTTTGCGAGTCAGTTTGATTTTGCGATGAGTGGAAAAGAGCCTTATATACTCACACTTAACATATGATATATTAACATTTGAAGTCGTTGTAAAGGGAACAAGATGGACACAACAGGATGTTCCATTGGATCCTCTGTTATAACACACCAAATCTCCAGATGCAATTTCTTCATTTGCAGCTATCTCCATGTTTCTAATAGTATTAGCGCCCGTTTCGTTAAATCCCAAGTGTTCACACAACATTTTTTGACGATTTTTATCCCAATTCTCCTCAATAACTTTTCTCCACCTTCGGTCATTATTCTTCACTTCAATGAAACCTTCGTTGGGTGACTTTGATAGTCTTATGTTTGACTCTAGAACGAAAACATGACACATGACATCTGGAATGAACCACAATGCAATTTGTTGTCGAGACCGTCAATTTATTGAAATCATTACAAGAAAACTATAGCTAGAAAAGAGGCACTGTCATTATCAAATACAAAATGAGCAATGCTCGTATTGCAACCACATTCCCAGGAAAGATTCTACGCAACGAGGTTTATTTTATCATAGCTACTTTAAACAAGGTAGTGATAGATTGTGTGAGTGTATGTGAGTATATAAGTATATAATTACGTGTTAAAATAGGAATGGTATGGAGATGGGGTGTAATGATGCTCTTTTCAAAACAAATACATATGGGACTTGAAGGAAAATTACAGAAAATTACGTGAACTGATTGACAAACCATATTGACCAGGATGTTGCCCGTGTGGTATGTGAATTATACCTGGAAAAGTTTATACTCAGCGTTCTTGATATTAGTACTAGACAACGAGGTTAAATTTTCTTTAGTAAGCTCAAAGTTCATGTGTTTTCGTATTAGTTTTATCATTTCAAAGTATCGTATTAGTTTTATCATTTCAAAGTATCATATTTCAAAGTTATCTCATTATTACCTGTTGTTATGGGGTTAATATTGTAGTTGTTCACACAAGTGTATTCGATAAAAAGTTCTTTTGTTGTGTTAGAACAATATTGTGATGACAGTAAATTATTGTCAACGGTCAGTTCACAAGATCTTTTTCCACCACAAAGAAATTTCACTTCACAACTGGCTTGTCCACTACACTGCGCATCAAAAGCTGCATTGGCATCAAATATCCCCCCATTATTGAAATCACCATAATGAGCTTTGTGGATCACCATACGTTGTATTCGAGAACAATGAACATCTTTCATTTTGTCGCCGTACTGCGTCACTGAACCTAACATAGAATGGAGATACTCAACCATACAGTTCCCTGCTTCTTGGCTGTGGGACAAGGTGGTTAGTTTGCCCCAGACCCTTCTCTGCAAGGCCTCATGGGCCGTGATGGGAAATGCACATGTGGCACAATTTAATTTTTCAATTTTTGGAAAAAAATTTTTGATGTATCCTATGAAATAAACAGATTAATTTGTGAGAGTATCATCCGTATATAAATCCAGCATTTGTCTATTTTAGGATATAGAAAGACGTCATCTTGGTTGAAACCGTTTCGTTATCGAGATGTGCAATCTTACCGAATGTGAACTTTTGTTGTTTTTCTGTGTCGTCGCATCCATACTTTTTCCGCATGATATATTTCTGATTGGCATCAGGTTGAGCACACGAGTTAATATAGCTACTGTAAAAAAATAAAGGTCCAGCATCTCTTTGTTTCATTCTATGTTGAGCATCCTGTTCAAAATATGGAACTTTTATGGCGTCATAAATGATCAAGCGTTGTTTGTATTCACTACCATCGAGAAACATAAGCGTCCCCTTCCACGCCATGTTATGCACCGCTTCTGAATTTGGCCAATATTGTAGTTGCGCAGCAACATTCAAGCAATCAGACAGCACAGTCCAATATCGATGTGCAAAATCATTACTCCAAAAAGAGTTCGTTTCAGCTGCAATACACTTTCCAGAACTGGTGTGTCTGAGAAAAAAACAACGACAACCTGCGAACAAAAAATAAGTATCAACACACGACACACGATTTGGACGAACTATGTAGACGAAGATATATCAAACGATTAACAGAACCGCGTTTAAAAAAAGTGCACGGGAATTTCGTAATTAGCTACTTATGTGATTAAAACTTAACTGAAGAGTGCACAACAGCCGTTTTATAATGATTATACCAGGTTATAATTATATGTAAATGATCATCTTCGTCTATCATTTCTATCAAATATTTGAAGTTCAAATATATGAAGTTCACATTTACATGACGTGTGTTTTGAATCAATTGTATGCATGTACTCGAATATAATTACCGCTAGTTGTAATAGGCAATTTTTAACACACAATTATTTGGTTATTTCTTGCCATAGTGAAAAGAAAATAATATTCGGAGAAGGCCAAATATCTCCTATTTCTTGCTACGTAAAAATTAAATCGTTGGACTCAATATTATGTAAAGTCGTCACATTCACTTGAGCGCAACCGAGAGAAACTGAATATTTCATATTATCATTCACTTTATAGTATTCTCAATTTTGATTGGTTAATTTACCTGCAGTTAACTGCGTGCAAATAATACTCAGCTGCAAATAATACTCTGAGCATGCGCATTAATGTCAATTTTATAAACAATGGCAACTCGCTTTACCGAACTGTCCGATAAAACGAACTCAAAATTGAAAATTAAGTGGTGAATGAATTGAAAATTGAGTGGTGAATGATAAAACAATTATTGAACTCGGTTCTCGCAAAATATCGTGATTTGTCGGTGGCTCGCAGATCAATTATTTGCCTCTGCCTTCGGCATCGGCAAATAATTGGTCTGCTCGCCACCGACAAATCACGATATTTTGCTCGACCTCGTCCAATAATTGATAATTGTATTTCATCCATGATTAATCCTACAGTATTTCATCGAACAATTATACCGTTGTACGATATTACGAAGTGCCAGCTGTATTTATAATAATTAAACTCGTTCAAAAAGACGAGTGGTTTTTGAGGACGCACATGTATGCGTCAGTTGACTCAGTTTGTCTTGATATTCTTAAGGCCGGCGCACACTACTTACACTAGAGTAGAGCTATGCATGTGCTTAGCAAAAAGTCATAATCGTGTGCGGGCGACTTTGTGTGCCACATAATCGAGTGCCACTTACGGCAAATATCTTCTTTCCGAAATAATCTTTCCGTGTGCGGCAAACTGAAAGCTATCTGCTTATGGATTGTCTTAACAGCGCATGCGTAATATACGAAAGTAAACATCCAAGATAGCGGTGCAAACAAAGCAAAACGAATTGGTGGCCGATCGAGGCCATATTGGTTGATCTTTGGCCAAAATACAGCTGTTTATACGATGTGAATTCTACAGATTTTAGAAACAGAGAGAAACGGGAATGCGCTATTGCAGAGACTGTAACTAGTAAGCTTTCTCAAACAGGTAATATAATTAATAGCACTTGGATAACGGTGTTTAAAGCGGAAGTCCAGGCTAGTCCGACGCAACAGCAACAAAAATAACAACACCTCTTCCTTTTCACTTTCATCCATAATTTTGTTTTTGCAATCTGTCCGCCATCTTGGATGTTTACTTTCGTATATTACGCATGCGTTGTTAAGACAATCCATACGCAGATAGCTTTCAGTTTGCCGCACACGGAAAGATTTCGGCACACGAGGCAGAAATTATCAAACATGCTAGATAATTGCCGTAAGTGGCACGAATGACCAAAGTCGCCGGAAAGGTCGCCCGCACACGAGAGCAACTGGCTTACGCCAATGGCCACGAATGACTTTTTCTAAGCACATAGCTCTAGCGTGCGCCGGCCTTTATATCTAAACAACCTAACCATTACAAACTAATATCTAACTTGTATCTAATAAACTTATCATCCCAAGTCAGTTCTTGATAACCACTCAATCAAATTTCAAATATTTAAACAAGCAAGCTGTGCTTAGTTCACACTGATGTTCTAACAGCTAATACATGCAGTCTTGTACTCATATGTTTCACATCGAATCAAAGCAAAACTAGACAGGTATATCTATATTAAGCAATTCTCACCTTTTATCACCAGCAATGACACACCACATACAACTAACCATCGATGAAATAACCAAGACATCTTACCAAGCGATTTGAGCTTAGACGAAATTTGGGTATACGTTTCCTAAATTTGGCTTGATGAAACTTTCGCAGATTTCAAAGCAAAAACATTTAGCATGACAACACATATATAGCTTGTTTTTTTGTTACGGATTGTTAATTATTCATTGAAAGCACGGCACGAAACAAAAATGCGGCAATTTCTCCCTATGGGTCTGTTTACATGATCCTGGTTACCCGACATCAAACGAAGCGTGTGATAAATTCCTGAGCAGGTTCGCATCTAGGATTTTTCAATTTTTAAGTTATTTCAAGTTTCAATTTACGACAAAGATGGCGACGTGTCGATTTTCAAAACAATTTTTTGCAAATTCAAATTAGAACGTGTATTATGTCAGATCACATTATCAATTTCGTAAGGACAGATGATTGGCGATTTTGTTCTATATTTGTCAACAAAGCCTTGCATAATTATCTGCAAGCGGTATAGAATATAGCGACACGTCGATATAAACAAGTCCTTCGCAAAAGGAAAACTTTCTTGGAAAACTTTACCTTGCATACGTTTGTCAATAGGAAGATCATTGATCCTCATTCTATTTCATTATCATTACCAATTCCAAAAAGATGTATATTTTTCTCGATATACAGCTGTACCTTATATTAGTGCGAGCGTGGTTCGTCTTACAGGTCTACATGCAGGGTGTATCAGATGTATAAAAAAAAAGACAATAAAAATTCGTATCATTATTAATAATAGTACAATAAAACCTTAACTTGTGTAACTCACAAAGTGAACATTTTCCACGCGCTAAACTTATCAAGCAAAATGCGAAATATTTCGCCTGCCTGAATTATTTTATTCAAGTAGTCGAAATTCAAAACAGGCAAAATATTTCGCATTTCGCCGAGAAAAAAGCGCCTGTGGAATTAGGCCCTAAAGCTGATGGACGAAATCTTACATATTTTATAATAAAAGGGAAGAAGGAAGTAAGATTTAAGTGTATTGTTAATGCGGATTATTTAATTTCGCATGTCCTGGAATAAAAAAAATCAACTAATGGTCTGATGACTTGAATTTTAAGTGCTATCTATATATGTGCAGGGTGTTACGAATTTCACGAAATCTTCATTTGAACATACCTGCACTAAATATTGAGTTCAGCAATACATGCATTTTTAGTACATATATCAGTAAGAATTAAAATCTCATTTGAAGGCAGCATTTTCGTATTCCATTGATTCACCACCCCCCTTAGGATGAGTTTGATCATTATTGGTCCCGGGGGGTTGCAGTGACTGATAAACGATTGTTGGTTCTCTGTTGTCATTCAACGGCATGTAATCCGATGATTCCTGTCCTTCGTCTATCTCGTGTGCAGCCTCATTTTGCTCAATTTCGTCTGGAATCTCGTACACAGGGACACAGTCATTCGCATCATCAGTCAGGCGATTGGTAGGGGTTTGAATGGAATCTAACAGATAAAAATATTAAATGGAAACAGATTCTAACAGATTAAAATACAGACATTTAAACTGTTCATGCAATAGGATTGTAGCTGATTTTGAACGAAAAGAAATGATATCAAAAAGGCAAAGACGAAAGAAATTCGATTTGTAATTTGAACAACGACAAAAATTCTTCTCGATCACAAATCCTAAAATGCACGTAAAGTAAAATAGGGTTTATTTACCCAGCTCCATTGCTTGGCCAACTCCTTTAGAGCTAGAATAACTGTTTAGACGACGACATAGATATATGATTACGCCAAACGAGAGAAGAAGGCACAATGCTAGAATACTCAGTGGTATAAGGAGATCAAGCCGGGTTTTGTCTTCCGTAGACTCGTGAGCTGACTGTTTTCCACTTCTATCTATAAAGAAACTCCGGTTCTCATCAAAATATTTAAGATATTTATCAGTTTGTAAACAAAAATCATGAAGAAACGAATACAGATAAGATATTCTAACGTATAATGAAAACGCTTGAATTTCGGGTAATTAGTTACCTGAAGGTCTCCCCATTGTGTAAATACTACCACTCCACTCTGTCGAGTAGTATGAATCCTAGGAAACGGTAATATTTGCATTGTCGCTTTCTACACGTTCCTTTCCTCGTCCTGTAACCGACTTTAATATCTTAATTCCATAGAATTACTCACCTGACTCTCAAAAAACCGCAAGAACACATTATAACTTGAATTTCTCGTTAAGGGTTGGTTGTGGTAGTTATTTTTCTCAGAACTGTAATTCTTGCCATCTCCTATTACGAACATCAAGGGTAAAACATCAGCTTTCAAATAAGCAGTGATGTATGGATCTTGTGTGTCTAGCTGGTAATTTTTGAGATCACTTGTTGTAATGACCTCGCTCGAGACGTTTCTACTTGTGGATCTTTGGACGATGATTAAAACTTCCCTAAAACATTTTAAAATTAACATGATTGAAACGTCAGAAAGAGAGAAATTGTGACGATAATACTTACTTGATATATCCTTCAGGTCGTGGTATGCTCAAAGTCAAAGTATAATAGGAAGCCGCGATTGGAATAACTGGTTCTATATATATATATTCAAATGCAGAGATTACCAAAGATTATCAGTGTGTTCATCGTTTAAGGGTATTTCCGTGCGGCACCATGCAGGATTGAAATTTTACATTAAAATCGTCATTACCTCCATTTGTTATTTTGCTGACGTTCAAACTCTTCTTCCCATGACAAGATTTTGTGATGGCTGAAACCGTCACAAAGTACTTTGTGGAAGGTCGAAGATCGGTGATTGTAAATGAAAGTGTTTTTGTGTTGTTATGGAGTAAACATTTTGGAAGACTTAGTGTATCTCTTGTAGAAAAACAAACTTGATATCCTGTCAATTCATCGTTTCTTGTACTCACAGGGGCTGTCCACGAAATTCCCAGCGATGTCGTACCGCGAGATTTGAAAATCACATTCTGCGGAGGTTCGCTAGAAACTGGAATAATTAACGGGAATGTGAAAATACGGGCGAATAAAGTTTCAAACGACAAACTTAATTATTCTTCATATCATGTTCATCCTCATTCAAGATTTTACTATATTATGCACAATGATTTCCTTGTTCGCTGCCCTCACTCATGAAAATTTGTGATGTTTATAAAACTATAATTTACAATGGCCTGTATACCGGAGCTGGCATTTGGACTCGAATGAAAGGAAAAGTAAACACAAGTTACGCTTGAGCTGAGAGAATTTGAACTGAAAAAATATTTCATTACAGTAAAGCGCATTTTGACTTAGTGACAATTTAAAGCATATGGACAAAGATTTTGTCTTCAGGTTGGTGTCATATTTACCAAACCTTCTCTACCTCGTTTCTTCCTTCTCTCGCGAACATCAAGCTGTCCGCGATATGATTTCTGTATTAAAAGGTTTCCGGCAATTAAAGATTCTACCGACTTACCTTCACCACACACTTCTATTCTAAGGCAAAAGTCTGCTCCACAGTTTGACTCCAACTTTATGTACCTGGCATTATTAATATTCAGGTCTGTGGCCGATGCTTGATAACCGTTTTGATTACCATTTATCTAGAAAAAGTTAAGATTACGTTATGAATTACTTCAGTTATGATTACGTTCCACGATTGTTTTCTGATCTTTTTCATGCATAACGTAGCTTGCACCAACGTTCGTTGCTTTCATATAAACAACAACGGCTAGAAGTTAGTAAATCTTGACAGTAAAAGAAGTTAGTAAATCATGATAACTTCACTTATTATGATATTGACATTAATCTTATACAATTACTTAATGGTTTCCGTGTTTGGATGGCCTGATCCAAACACGCGGGAATGTTGCGAGAGTTAAGAAAAGCGTGCGAAACACGAGCCGAAGGCGAGTGTTTTGCGAGCTTTTCTTAACTCGAGCAACATTCCCAAGTGTTTGGATCAGATCATCCAAACACGGAAACCATTAAGTAATTGTTTTATAAAATAACAAACCATAATAAATTTGTTTTTAAATTCCCGCGAAATTTTCGTGTTTGGATGGCCTGATCCAAACACGGGCTTCAACCAATCAGAACACGCGTTATATACATGTTATTTTATAAATATATTTCTTATTCTTATACACCTGTACTGCACGACTGCCATGAACTAAACTTTCATCATGACTGTATTTCAATGAATATGATCCACCCCACTTTGTTTGATTTTTATCACCCATAACCATAACTCGTGTTATGTGATATTCGTTTTGAAGGTCAATCTTAAGATATTTGTCTCCAGACTCTGTTGGACACCAACCATCGCTAGAAAACCTCGCTTCTTTGTACTTGGTATTGTCAGTAGAACCACTTCCAGAAAATATCGCGTCTGGCAACTTAGTTTGGTTTTGTAATAATGCATTCTCACATATCTTGCCTAAAACCGAACAAAATTTCAGATTGGTTGTCTTTTGGGCTCCTAAAGTTTCACTAAAATCCTACTCACATGTTACATATGGTGCATCAACTTTTAACATTGCTACAGAGGGATAAAGATTGACACAGCATCTCTCGTTTTGAAGTACGTCGTAACATAAGTCACCACTTAGGAATGCTTGACCATCTTCAATTCCCTGAGTCTTACTAACGCTCCCCAGTGTCTCATTAAACCCGAAGTGCTGACACAGCGATTTTTCACGAGTGATATCCCAGATTTCCTCTTTCACTTTTCTCCAAGTGGAAGCATTCTTTATTTCAATGAAACCTTCGTTTGGTAACTTTGATAATCTTATGTTGGGAGCTGAAACAAACAAAATACTTAATAAAGTGTATATAATTTCGAATATATTTAGTATCTTTTTGCAAAGTCTTGTAGCTTGCAGACTATCGATCGATAGAGTTCTGAAACATCATTTCAAACAAATTACCCATGGCCATGAAAAGACAATAATAAATTTGCAGATTCCGGCGAAGTTTCTATCTTGTGGAAACCAGGCTAAAGGCTAGTTTTCACTCAGGAAAAATCTCCTTTGGATCGGAACGGACAGGAAAATTTCCTTTGCCGGTGAGTTCTCAGGCGGCGTTTATACAAAGGAAACTTTCCTGTCTTGTCCGATCCAAAGAAGAATTTTCGTGAATGGAAACTAGCCTTAAGGAAGGAAGTATTTCAGTTGTTATCGATCAAGTGGATCGAACATGGTCGATTTAACACTATTGAAAATAAAACCGAGCGACGTGGAAAACCGTTCTGCGATTGCTTTCTGTTTCAGCATTTTTCATACACATTTCAACTTTTCCTTGCGTACATGCACGTATAAAAACACTCGGTATATGGAAAGCAGCCTTCATTGCTTAGAAGAATTTACTATAGCGCATATCATACCTGCTTTTATAGGGTTCTCATAGTTATCTACACAAGTGTACTCGATATAAAGTTCCTTTTTAGTATCAGGACAATATTGCGACGAGAGTATATTATTGTCAATGGTCAGTTCACAAGATCTGTTTCCACCACAAAGAGGTTTCACCTCACAACTTGCTTGTCGACTACACTTGATATCAATAATTGCATCGTTGTTAAACATGCCAGCGTCGTTGAAATCACCATAATGAGCCTTGTGGATCACCATACGTTGTATTGGAGAACAATGAACATCTTTCATTTTGTTACCAAACTGTCTCACTGAACCTAATAAACAGATATGATAAGGTACAATCGTATGAAAAAGCAAAACAAATTGATTAACTACACAAGTCCGGTTCACAATCAAATAGAAATTATATTCAAGCAAGAATACATTGATGTGTGAAAGCAGACGCGCGTATTTTCCTTACCGAAAGTGAACTTCTGTTGTTCCTTTGTGTCGTCGCATGACTTTTCAATAATGTATCTCTCGTTGCTATCAGGCTCGGCACACTTATCTCTGCTGTTGTGGTAAAAATATAGTGATCCAGAAGCTCTTTGTTTCATGCTATGTATAGCATCACCTTCCCAAGATGGAGTCGTGGAGTCATAAATGACCATGCGTTGTTTGTATTTACCACCATTGAGCAACGTAACCACCCCTTTTCTCGCTATGTTATGCAACGCTTCGCTACCCTGCAAATATCGCAATTGCACAGTAACGTTCAAACAATCAAACAGCTTTGCCCAATGTCGATCGCCATATTTATCGTTCCAAGCGGTGTTTCCAGCTGCAATACACTTTCCAGAACTAGTGTGTCTGAGAAAAAAACCTGCACAAATATAAAAAAACAAGATTTAATAATTTTGAAAAAGATCGGGGGGAAGGAAGCCTAAGAGAATTTACAATGGATTAAAATATTCAAAGGACATGCAATACTGACAAAATTGCCTATTCATTTTTAGTTTAAATCCCCTTCACAACCTTACCAGGTCTTTTCGTTTGAAAACTTTGATAAACTGTCGATGAATACTTGGAATTTCCATCCTGTGATTTTATGCCAAGTTTATAATAAGTGTTATGGCTCAGACCTCCAAGAATGAAATTATTTCCATATTGCGCACGAGATATTGTGTCTCTTTCTGTGCCGTTCAAGTAAATGATAAAGTGTGTAATATAAGAAGATGTTTTAGCCACTGGTATTGTCCACGATAGATTGACAGAATAGAACGATGGTTCGGCGACAATCCTTTGTACGGGAGCAGGCGTTTGGACTGGAACGAGATTACCAAAACGTTTATCCGTTTTATACTACAGCAGGATATCTCATTATAGTAAAGTCTTTAGGTTTATTTTTTTTGTTTTTTATTTTTTTTTGTTTACAAAACCGTCTCTACCTCATCTCTCCCTTCTCTTGCTAACATCAAAAGGTAAATTAAAAGGTTTCCGGCGATTAAAGATTCTACCGACCCACCTTCACCACACACTTCCATTCTAAGGCAAAAGTCTGCTCCACCGTTTGACTCCAACTTTATGTATCGGACATTATAGATATCGACGTCTGTCGCCGATGCTTGATACCCGTTTTGATTACCATTTATCTAGAAGTTTAGAAGAAAATGAATTACTTCAGTTAAGATTACATTCCACGATTGCTTTCTGATCATTCTCGTGCATAACGTAGATCACCAACGTTAATTGGTTGCTTTTATATAAAAAACAACGGCTAGAAGTTAGTAAATCTTGACAGTAAAAGAAGTTAGTAAATCATAATAACTTCACTCATTATGATATTGACATTAATCTATATATTTCTTTTTCTTATACACCTGTACTGCACGACTACCATCCACCAAACTCTCATTATGACTGTATTTCAATGAATATGATCCACTCCACTTTGTCTGATCTTTATCACCCATAACCATAACTCGTGTTATGTGATATTCGTTTTGAATGTCAATCTTAAGATATTTGTCTCCAGACTCGGTTGGACACCAACCATCGCTAAAAAACCTCGCTTCTTTGTACTTGGAATTGTCAGTGGAACCACGTCCAGAAAATATCGCGTCTTGAAACTTAGTTTTGTTCTCTAACAACGGGTTCTCGCAAATTTTACCTAAAACAAGTAGCAGTGTTTTGAAAAATGTTGGCAAATCGGCTAAAAAAGTTTCACTAAAATCCTACTCACATGTTACATATGGTGCATCAACGGTTGATGTTGTTGTAGAGGGATAAAGATGGACACTGTTGTTCAGAGATGCATCATAACAAAGGTTACCACTTGCAATTTCCTGACCTTTCTTAATTCTCCTTGTTTTAGCAACATTCCCCAGTGTCCCATTAAATCCTAAGTGCTGACACAGCGAATTTTCACGAATGATATCCCAGATTTCCTCTTTAACTTTTCTCCAAGTGGAAGCATTCTTTATTTCAATGAAACCTTCGTTTGGTGATTTTGATAATCTTATGTTGGAAGCTAAAACAAACAAATTACTTAATAAAGTATATATAATTTCGATTATATTTACTATCATTTTAAAAAGCCTTGTAGCTTGCAGACTATTAATAGGCACTTCATTATAAAATTTATTGAGTTTCTCCCTAAAGATGAGCGTTTGTACTTTTCGCGCAAAGCGAAATTTGACTTTCGTTCATCCGGTTTTACACATGCAAGACAATTTATTCGCGCGAGCTGATAAAAAGTTGGAAGCGATTCACACAACTGCAACCATATAAAACAAATTAACAATGCAATGACAATAATAAATTCGCTTCCTTTCCGTCGAGACCAAGCTTAATAAGGAAGTTTTTACGAGGCAAAAATTAACAAAACTGTTGTTATCGGTCAAGTTCATCGAACCCGGTCGTATTCTTACAGATGAAAAGACGTGAAAAACCGTTCTGCGTCTGTTTTCTTTATTTCTTAAAAGAATTTACTATAACGCATCATACCTGCTTTTATGGGATTCTCATAATTATCTACACAAGTGTACTCGATGTAAAGTTCCTTTTTAGTATCAGAACAATATTGTGACGGGAGTATATTATTGTCAATGATCAGTTCACAAGATCTGTTTCCATCACAAACATGTTTCAACTGACAACTTGCTTGTCGACTACACTTGATATCAATAGCTGCATTCGCATCAAATGTCCCGCTTTTATTGAAATCTCCATAATGAGCTTTGTGGATCACCATACGTTGTTTTGGAGAACAATGTACATCTTTCATTTTGTCACCGAACTGCGTCACTGAACCTGAAATTGCATAATATACTATATAAACCTCGGTCTAAAACTAATAAAACACTAATATGATAAATAAGGTACTGTCAAGAGGGAATACTTAATTGTCATATAAATTACCATATTTACGCACGCCACTTGACCTAACAGTTGCAATTATCCGACAGATCTTTTACGTCACGTATATTACGTCACAGTAGACAGCTAGAGGACAGATCAACGCAGCATAACCTTCTCAAATACGTTACGAAATTTCTGTTAAAATACAGAAATATTAACTTGATATTTGCCGCTCGCAAAAAAAATATTTTCTAAGGCAAGAAAGCATCCGGAGGACAACAATCTGGAATAAATAGTGGTAGATCTGTGGGTGTGCAGAATAAATTAGACAGCTTAATTTTAAATTCAAAACATTTTAATAACAATGCCATTGGTTATAGATTTGAAAAGAATGTAAAAACATGAAAATCTGCCAATGCGATTCCGATTTTAAGCTGTGGTAATTTATTCTGCGCATGCCTAGATCCTCCACTGCTGGCATTGTGATGTGAATGATAAGGTTCCATACCATGCATCCCACCTTTTTTACGATAGGCAAATTTGTTTGTCTATATTTGTTTTAATATGTCAATTACGAAAGATATCAACTGGGTGTCAATATATTTCAATTCTATTTTCCTTACCGAAAGTGAACTTTTGTTGCTCCTTTGTGTCGTCGCATGCCTTTTCAATAATGTATCTCTCGTTGCTATCAGGCTCAGCACACTTATCCTTGCTGGTATCGTAAAAATATAGTGATCCAGCAGCTCTTTGTTTCATGCTATGTATAGGACCACCTTCCCAAGATGGAGTCGTGGAGTCATAAATGACCATGCGTTGTTTGTATTTACCACCACCGAGCAACGTCACCACGCCTTTTCTTGCTATGTTATGCAACGCTTCGCTACCCTGCAAATATCGCAATTGTGCAGTAACGTTCAAACAATCAAACAGCTTTGCCCAATTTCGATCGCCATATTTATCGTTCCAAGCTGTGTTTCCAGCCGTAATACATTTTCCAGAACTGGAATGTCTGAGAAAAAAACCTGCGCAAACATAACAAACCAAGATTTATTGCCGAACAATCAATATTTCTCTTCGTTTAAAGCCCGCCGGACACGTGAGCTATTAGCTGAGCTAAAGACATCGCGGCAGCAAGTATCTCTCGTATGCGGATAGTTTTTCGTGAGGAATTCGCCTCGAGCCGCAAGTTTTTCACGTTTGCGGATGGTTTTCGGGATGCCACCGATATCAGCTGAGCTAACGACCTCCTGAGCTAACAATCTTCCGCTTGATAATTTTTCATATCATGTTCATCCTAGTTCAAGATTCAACACTTATTTACTGCTAACGATGGAAACACTATGTTTTGTGGACACGAGACCTGGTATTGTCCAGGATAGATTGACGGAATAGAAAGATGGTTCCGCAACAATATTTTGTACCGGTGTTTGGACTGGAATGACCTAACACGTCTGTTGCTCAGCTAATAGTATTAGCTCTCGTGTGACGTGTGCCGCAGGCTTTAGGGGCTATAGACAACGTCTATGCTGAAGATTGATCAAAGCATTGCAGGCGTCAGGATTCCAAACATTGACATAACCAAAAGAGCGAAAGCGGTCTGTTGATTTCTTCACTTATTTACATACATGCATAGGATTTATCAAAGATTTGCGAGCATTTCAACAGTTCATTCACGTTATACTGTGGACTGCAGCTCCTCTTATACTCTACAATAAAACCTAAATATCTTACCTTGAATCGTTATTACTGATATATAAAAGAAAAGCAGCCATCGATAGAATAACCACGACATTTTGACAATTGTCTCTCTAACCACAGCGCATTGCTCGATAAGTCGTATACTTCCGCTTATATCTGTACAAAACAAAATACTTTAATTTTAATAACTATTCAAGCCGGTATCGGGTTACTGCACAATACTTGGATTTCTAACCATGGGTATTTACAGAAGTAACCGGCAGTATATTCACATTTCATCTTCTTTCTCTGACAAGTGATCGATATTCCCAACTCAACTTGTGTAGTCGTGAAAAGAAAAGTTGAAATATATCTTCAAATCCAATAGAATAGAGGCTAAAAGCATAACTGGTGTTGAAATCTATTTTATGCAAAGTGCAGATAATGTTGTCAGTTCTTATTAATCACCCTGTATGTCGACCTCGTCTGTATGAGTCACATAATGTGAGCACTTGTCTGCGGTTGGCCAGCGGAGTACAGTATTTTGCAATGGCGCGCTCACGTTTTTCTCTGTACGATTACATCGCATCAAAGAAAAACTTTGTTGTACTTACACTCGTGCAATTGACAATTAAAACTTGTCATATAAAAATTTGTAAGACGCTATACTCTATCACGTGACTCTATATCAACCTCAAACTATACCTATATGATATATGCATTTAATATCGATAATATTTCGCTTAAACCGACATCATCGACTCGTCGTCTCAAATAGACGTCAGTTCTAGATAACAATTCAGTCAAAATTTCAAAGTATTTAAACAAACGAGCTGTGGTTTGCATTGATGCATGTGAACTATTTAGACGAACTATATGTAGACGAATATGTCATTCGAACGCGTTTATAGAACGTTTGGACGGGAATATTGAGTCGAATGTCCATGCCAGGGAAATTATTTATGCTGTACTGTTCGAAGAGTGCACAACAGTCCGCAGTAACTTTGTAAAAAAACCTATTATTGTATTTATAGTCTGTATTTACAGTACACACCATAAATATAGATAGTTATCATTGTCGATCACACACTCCGAATCAATTCTAGATAGTTTATTACGGCTCAGCTTCTCACCTTTAATCACCAACAATGAGACACCACATAAAACTAACCATCGATGGTATAAGACACCTTGTCTTTTGACCAAGCGAGTAAAAGCTTAGACGAAAGATTCTTGCTCTACACTTCCGCATTTCATGACTTTCCCAACGGAATGAGTTCTTAAATGTAATTTTAATTTATTAACATGACAATATAACCTATGCCAGTCTTAGCTTGTTTTGTTATGGAGTGTTAATTATTCTTTGAAAGTGTTATTTAAACACTGAACAAAAATGCAACGAAAATGTCTTTCTCCCTGTGGGTCTAGTTACATGATCCTGGTTACCAGACATCAAACAAACGGAAAGCGTTTGATAAGGGTTGATTTCCACTTACGCGTTTTTCATACGCACGTACACGCACCTAAAAGTTTAAATCCTTACATATTTGAAAAAGCTATGTGAATAAATCGAAAGAACTCACGTCGCCCTATTTTTGTCAATAAAGCTACGCATATATAATTATCTGCAAGCACAAGAATATAGCGACATGTCGATATAAATAAGTCCTTTCCGGAAGGAAAACTTTCTTGGAATTTTCACGAATAACTATTCACCACTGAGATCTGCATTGAAAGCAGGATTTTGATATTCCACTGACTGACCACCCTCCTTAGTATGACGTTGATTATCATTGGTGACGGGAGGTTGTAATGCCTGATAAACGTTTGCTGGTTCTTTTTTGTCTTGTAACGACATGTAATCCGATGATTCTTGTCCTTTTTCTGTTCCACGTGCACCCTCATTTCGCTCAATTTCTTCAATAACATCATCTGGAGTCTCGTAAACAGTCTCGTCATTTTGAGTTGTTTGATCATACTTTGCTCTTTCGTTTGTTCTCCGATCTTTTGAAATAAAATCTATGAAGTTACATGAGAATTTAGAAATAATTTATACAAGAAGTTTTTTTTAAGTTTTACACGTTTATACTCCATCTATAACCCCCTCTTACTCTTCCATTGCCTATAATGATGCACGAGTATAGGGAAGTGTAAAAAAGTAGCTACAAATATTATGAAAATTAGTGAATTTTTTTTAAACTTTCTTTACCGAACTTTCCTTAACTTATATTTCCCTGCATGGTAACAAACAAATCTTTTTTTCTTAATCTCTTTAATTTTCTTAATAAACTTAATCATTATGCTGAAGAAACCAAGCAAATGGCAACTTAGTTTACCACTTCGTGAACATTAAACTTACCAAACTCTTTCATTTCGTTCGTCTGTTTTGAGGTTCCATATCCATGATTCACATCTTTATTTTGAAGAAGACGACGTTGGTACACAATAACACCAAGTGAAACCAGAAAACATAAAGCCAGAATAATCAGCGGTATAAGAAGACCCAGGCGCGTTTTGTCTTCGCCGGATTGTTGAGAAATGTTATATTTCAAACAAACTACAAATATAATGTAAGAATCTTTATCTGGCTCGCACATTAATCTGTGGTGCAGAGAACAATGAAACAAAAGTATAACGTAAAGTAATAAAAAAATCGAAGATAAATAAAGTAATAAATAGAAGATATTCACCTTCAGGTGCTTTGGTTATAGTTTTAAAACTGCTGCTCCATTCCGTCGAGTAGTACGAATCCTTAACAGAAGTATTAAAATTATTCACCGGAGTATTAATTCTGGAAATTAATTATTTAGTACAAATTCTAGATCTGCCTGTAATTACTTTCGCAAATATGAACATACATGTACATATTCTTAATGATTAAATTTTAAAATACATTATTTCAAATCATGAACATAATATTCATTTTCTAACTCATTTACCTGACTCTCAAAATATCTCAAAAACACGATATAACTTGAATTGGTTGTCAAAGGTTTGTTGAAGTATTTCTCTGTTTTAAAATTATATTCTTTGCCATCGCCGATCACGAACATCAAAGGAAGATCATCAGTACTTAAATATGCAGTGACATAAGGATCTTGGGTGTTCGTCTGATATGCCTTGAGTTTACTTGTTTCAATATTTTCGCTTTGCAGTGAACTGCTCGCGGCTTTTTGAACGATAACCATCACTTGCCTGAATTTATGGAAAATATTTGGTCATAATTAAGGTATTATTCATTACAGGGATCCTAGAGTTGAACAAATGATAAGCTTCAAACGGGTTACTGTATTTGTCAGCAGCATATATAGCCTTCTGATTCGGTCACACTCAAATACTAGACACATCATATACAGTTTTTTTATTTATTGTTGCCTGCTTTGAATTGAGTTTGACTCGAGGCCTGTACTTGTACATGGTCTAGCTTCTGAGCATATCAATTCTGAATATACATTTTGCAAATTTTATAAGATATACCTACCGAATATAGTTCGCTGGTTTGGGGATGTTTAAGATGAGAGTGTAATAGGAAGTTGCGTGAGGATTCAACGGCTCTAGAAACAATAAACTGGTAGCATAAACAATAGATTCAAAGTATATATGCATTTAAGTTAAATTAAATCTTACTAAAACTTGCTTGGCAATAATGCATATGAACTATATACTGTAGTGCTTCTTACCTCCATTGGTTATTTTACTGACTACCGAGCTTTTCTCTCCGTAACCAGCTTTTGTGCTCGCTGCAACCGTCACAAAGTACTTCGTAGAAGGCTGAAGGTTTTTCCGAGTAAGTGCAAGCACATTCGGGTTTGTCAGCACAAAGCATTCTAAAGGAGTCTCGTTGGTATAAAAGCAAACTTGATATCCAGTTAATTCTCCAGTTGTTGAACTTTCTTCAGGAGCCTCCCACGATACTTCCAATGTGTATTTACCACGAGATTTCAAAGAAACATCCAGTGGAGGTCCACTGGGTCCTTTTTTGAACGGGAAACACATTAGTGAATCAAATAGTAAACCAAATCCAATAGTTTTAGGGCTGTGAATTAAGCTAAGTATCTGATACATCTGATTTAATAATTATGCACTTATACATAGGACCTATAGTTGACTCATTTTTCTTTCAACTGTTCCTGGCTTCAATTTGAAGTGTGTATAATTCCACTCGAATATAAGACCCCTTAAAGCGTCTAGAATTATATACACTTAAACTGACAGTTGCAATGAATTATTTGAACAAACTTGTATATTCATAATTTTTCACCTGGGGTCACTTTCGTCTTTATACTTTCGCTCCACCCTGTGGAGTAGTAGGAATTCTAGATGAGAGACATATAGTTAACTCCGGGATCCAATCGAAACAAATACATTATTTATACATGCTATCACATTCGTTTAGTTACCTGGCTTTCAAAAAATCTCAGGAACACGTTGTAACTTGTGTTTGGTTGAAGAGGTTGATTAACGTATGTTACGTTTTCATAGTTGTATTTTTTGCCATCACCGATCACGAACGACAAAGGGAGAACGTCTGCTCTCAAATAAGCGGTGATGTAAGGATCTTGAGTGTTTGATTGGTATGGTCTTAGTTTATTTGTTTTTATGTCTTCACTTGGTGTTTGACTTCTTGTGGCTCTTTGAACAATGACCAGAACTTCTCTGAATGGAAAAAACATGACTGATGTTCACACACACTTGCTTTGACAAAATGTCACGCCTAAAATGTACACGAACCTTATATAGGGTGCTGCCTTAGGTATCGTTAAACCAAGATCAATGTGGGACATCACAACAGGGTTCACAGGCTCTATATCATAAAATAACACATGTTAATTTCACTTTGGAGTAAAAAATTAACAATTTTTACATGTGATGAAATTTACATGCGTATTCGGCAGTTCTGTTGCCATGCTTTACGCTTCTTTAAAATGTCTTTTTTTATTTTCTTTACCTCCATTTGTTATTTCACTTATTTCTGAGCTTTTGTTTCCAAAACCAATTTTTGTACCAGCCGAGACTGTCACAAAGTATTTTGTTGAAGGAATAAGATTAGAAATAACGTAGGTTAAGGCGGACAAAACTTTTGTGTTTGAACATTTCGGACTTTCATCATTTTCCTTTGTAGAAAAACAAATCTGATATCCCACCAATTCACCGTTCCAAAATATCTTATCAAGAGCTCTCCAAGATATTTCGAGCGAGTTTTTACTACGAGATATAATCATAAAACTGCGTGGAGCTCCACTTGGAACTATATGATAGTAAAGAATAAAAACAATTATTTGAATTTGAAATATTTAGAAAACAATCAGAAGCCTCCCAACATTATGCATACCAGCTTCTTTGGTCTTGAACTTGTGGTAAACTATTGTCTGAGTATTGTTTAGTTGACCATCCTGTGTCTTTATGCCAACAACATAATTAGTGTTTGGTGTGAGCTCTCGAAGAATGTATTGATTTGCATAATATGCGCGCGATATTCTTTTGACCTCGGTACCGTTTAGGTAAATGACAAAATGTGTGATAAAAGTGGATGCCTCAGGCGATGGTGTTGTCCATGACAGATGAACAGAGAAATCTGATGGTTTAGCAACAACATTTTGAACTGGAGCCAGAGATTGCACTGGGAGAAAGATGGAGTTAATTCAGTTCGATGAAACATTGAACTGACAAATTAATTTAAATTGACAAGTAATTTGTAAAAAAGCCGCACCTTGTCCGCAGAGTTCTATTCTGAGACAAAAGTCTATATTTCCAGTCGATTGTATCTTGATATATCTCACATTATAAATACCAACGTCCGTAGTCGATGCTTGAAAGCTGTACAGGTTTCCCGTTATCTAAAAGACGAAGAAACACACTTTCTCATTTCATACGATAAATGTAAAGAATATTGCCTAAAAGCAGCAGATTTTTATTTACGTTCGAGTAATTGCAGTCTTTAAACTAAGGTTGATTACAGCAGAATATTGATCACGCATCAAGGATACTCACGTACTGACCTGTAAACCACTACTACCGTCTACCAAACTTTCATCATGACTGTATTTCAATGAATATGATCCACTCCACTTTGTCTGATCTTTATCACCCATGACCATAACTCGTGTTATGTGATATTCGTTTTGAAGGTTGATCTTAAGATATTTGTCTCCAGACTCTGTTGGACACCAACCATCGCTAGAAAACCTCGCTTCTTTGTACTTGGTATTGTCAGTGGAACCACTTCCAGAAAATACCGCGTTTGGAAACTTAGTTTTGTTCTGTAATAATGGGTTCTCGCAAATTTTACCTAAAACACAGTACAGTTTCTTAAAGGTCAGCAAGCTGAACGAAACCAAATGGTTATGTTGTCTGTTTTTAGGATGAAATTCATTAAAAAGATTTGATCAAAATCCTACTCACATGTTACATATGGTGCATCAACTTTTGATATTGCTACAGAGGGATAAAGATTGACACAGCATCTCTCGTCTTGAGGTACGTCATAACATAAGTCACCACTTACGAATGCTTCACCTTCTTCAATTTTCTGAGTTTTACTAACGCTCCCCAGTGTCCCATTGAACCCGAAGTGATGACACAGCGATTTTTCGCGAGTGATATCCCAGATTTCCTCTTTCACTTTTCTCCAAGTGGAAGCATTCTTTATTTCAATGAAACCTTCGTTTGGTGACTTTGATAATCTTATGTTGGGAGCTGAAACAAACAAAATACTTAATAAAGTGTCTATAATTTCGAATATATTTACTATCTTTTTGGAAAGTCTTGTAGCTTGCAGACAATGAAACCTTCGCTTGGTGACTTTGATAATCTCATGTCGGGAGCTAAAACTGTTGAACAATGTATATCATTTCAAATTAGCGTTATTATTCGAACATTTTGCTCTGTATCAGAGACCCCAACTTCCTCAATATCAAATTGTGAGGCATTTCGTGCAAGGAATATTTTTAGAGGAAGGCGGTTCATCATGAGGCGAAATTTTTCGAATAAACGACCAGGATCAAGTGAATCAGTCGACTTCTAACAAATGAAAAGAAACCTGAGTGACGTGAAAAACAGTCCTAAGGTTGATTTCTACTAGAACGATTTTCATACATGGAATCACAAAATTTGATTTTTTTTCTATCATTGGGCTATTTATAGTAATATAAAATCAAAAAGACTGAACGATAACGCATCATAGCCCACCTGTTGTTATGGGACTCATATAATTATCCACACAAGTGTACTCGATATAAAGTTCTTTTGTAGTATCAGGACAATGTTGTGATGATAGTAAATTATTGTCAATGGTCAGTTCACAAGATCTGTTTCCACCACAAAGAGATTTCACTTCACAACTTGCTTGTCGACTACATTTCTTATCAATGGTTGCACCGGCATTGAATGTTCCAGCATCAATGAAATCACCATAATGAGCTTTGTGGATCACCATACGTTGTATTGGAGAACAATGAACATCTTTCATTTTGTCGCCGTACTGGGTCGCTGAACCTAACAATGGAGACGTTTATAAAAAATGCACATTCATATCATATTGGAAACAAACAGAAAAGACACTCGGCCCATAGAACGTTCTCTGATTTTTTGCAATAAAGTAATTTAGCACAAGCCAGTAATGCGATGCGTAAAGGCGGATTTCCATTCAGTGCAAAATGTCGCGCGATCGATTTTTTGCGATCGCTTTCTTTTAAAATGTTTTCATTCAAGCTCATCTAATGGGATTAGTTCGGCTGGACTTTTTGCATTTCAAAAGAAAGGGATCGCGCGACATTTTGCACTGAATGGAAATCCGTCTTAATGCGTTATACCTGGCGATAAAAACTCTCAGCTACTCTTCCGTTCCCACTGATGGACTTTCACCCCCCCCCCTCCCATTGAATGAGATTTATTTTCCCTTTCCCTCTCAATCATGACAAAAGGTCCCTTTTGTCATCCCCCCGAAGAAATCCTTAAAAAGGCACTGGTTTAGTCCCTTCTCTTTTAACTATTCCCCTCGCAATCTATGCTAGTTTACACGGTGCTATTTTTGAAGGGCGGCAAAAGATTTTTAAATCAACTGAACAGCAAAATAACGGTGACTGAGCAGTCGGTTGAAAGGATACCCACTCGGATTACAACTTACAGACTACAGAATGTATATGTAGCACTTATAATAGGAAGAAACGATCCAATTTATAAGTTCAATCCAAAGTAATTTTACTTACCGAAAGTAATTTTTTGTGCTGCTACTTCGGTGCATGAAGTATCTTTCACGTCAACATACTGCACATTAGGCTGAACACAATTATTCACATTGTAAAGATATAGAGATCCACCAAATGTTTGTTTTATACGATGTTTTGTGCTGTTTTCAAAATCTCTTCCAACCTGATTTTTACCGTCATATATAAACAAACGTTTATTGTAATGAGGATTAAGAGACACGACGTTTCCTTCTGTCTCGATATTATGCAATATTTCGTTATCCAGATAACGGAACAGCGCAAGATCACTCAAGCAGTTGGTTACCATTTCAGCCCAATAACGGGTGGCATAGCTATCATCTCGAAAGGTTGGAGTTTTAGCTGCGACACACTTTCCTGACTGAGTGTGTCTAAGAAAAAACCCTTGACAACGGAAGAATAAAAATGAGTTTTTTAACATTCCCTTTAATACAGATCATACGAACTAAAGATCTTCATTCTTGAGGGTGGATAAAAAAGCCAAAAACACCTCTTAAATCTTAATCGGAAGGATGTCTAATCATAATTCACGATTGAATATTCAAAAATTTTATTTTAACTCACTTATAGTGTCGGCAGAGAAAATTAGAACATAATTTTTGTGGGTAGCCCGTTCCACTATGCTACACGCAAAAAACGATGAGCGATCATGCATGTCCGTCCGCCGAGTTTGTTTATCTACGAAAGAGACTGGGCAGAGCCTAAATTTTGTCACCCTGATCGGTGTAAACTGGCCTAAACTTGCAAATAAATTAATCGTAGAAATGGTATTTCATTGATTATTCTTATGCCTACTTTGTTATAACTGTATCCAACTAGCAAACTAGCTCATTTTTACCTTTGCGTATGCCATTAGAACGTAAAACTAAGCATCATGCATTAAAATTTGCAATCATTTGCAAAATTGAATTACTACCGTATTTCCAGTGTTCTTATACACTTGTGCAAAATATTTTCATTGCTGCAATACAACCTTCAAAATAGCAGTGTTGAAGTAGAAAGGACAGTATACTAAGCCTTTATTATTAGCGTGCAAAACCAAATCAAGATGACGTAGTAGGGCAAAATGGAGACATGCAGTCAGTTGCTAAATCAACAATCTGAATTTACTACAAACGTATTAAAGCTGACTTTAAACCAAAGCGTAGAAGTAGGAGTAAAAGCAACAGATAGAGTGGCTCACTCAATAATTAAGCACTTGGCATCTTTATTCTTACCTGCTCTTTTAGTTTTATAACTTTTGTCGACCGCTATGGACTTTTTTGAATATCCATCCTGTGACATTATGCCAACATTATAATAAGTGTTAGGTTTCAGACCTCGAAGAATGAAATTATTTCCATGTTGAACACGAGATATTCTTTCTCTCTTTGTGCCGTTCAAGTAAATGATGAAATGTGTAATATAAGAAGAGTTTTTAGCCACTGGTATTGTCCACGATAGATTGACAGAATAGGACGATGGTTCGGCGACAATCCTTTGTACAGGAGCAGGCGTTTGGACTGGAACGAGAATACCAAAACGTTTATTTGCTTTATACTACAGCAGGTGAATATGCTTGAGCTGAGAGAATTTAAACTGAAAAAATATCTTATTATATAGTAAAGTCTTTAAGTTTATTTTTTGCCGTATTTACAAAACCTTCTCTACCTCATCTCTCCCTTCTCTTGCTAACATCAAAATGTAAATTAAAAGGTTTCCGGCGATTAAAGATTCTACCGACTCACCTTCACCACACACTTCTATTCTAAGGCAAAATTTTGTTCCTCCGTTTGGCTCCAACTTTATGTATCTGACATTATAAATGTCGACGTCTGTGGCTGATGCTTGATAAGCGTTTTGATTACCATTTATCTATAAAAGAAGTTTTGAAAAAAATGAATCACTTCAGTTGAGATTACGTTACACAATTGTTTTCTTATCTTGTTGCAGTTCCTTTGATACCGTGAAAATAACAGTAATTAGTATATTCCTGGTCAGTCCAAAAAGTGCATAGCATTGCTGCTACAACGATTCGTTTGTTTGTGTATTTTCAAGCGGTTGGTATTAATATTGATAACTTCACTCATTATGATATTGACATTAAATGTATTTATTATTCATAATAAAGGAAATTAATGTCGAAGAGATGTTGTTATTGTCACGGGACCGGGCGTTGGCTCCACGGTATTACCTTCTACTGTTAGTATAAAATTAATATGACTTCCTTAGCTCCTACCCTTCACTTGTGCGTTTGTCAACTCCCACCCTTCCCCTTCTGGTCCCCCTCTCCGTTTTTGGTTAACCAGTCCTTATCCCCTTGTGCCGGGGTTTTTCTTTTGTTCTAGTTTTATTGGACATTTTCGCGGCTCCGAGTAGGTGAGTTTCTGGGATTCAGTAAGTTTTTTGTGGCATGCCTTGGACGTGTTTATTGTGTGTTTATTGTGCGTGTTAAATCCTGTAGTATCGCGCGCGAGTTAACTTCTCTACTCGGGGTGAGCCTCGCCAATCTGTGAGATCATTAATTTATATTCTTACAGTGGTATATTGATCACATTTCAGAGATCCTCACGTACTGACCTGAAAACCACTACTGCCATCCACTAAACTTTCATCATGACTGTATTTCAATGAATATGATCCACTCCACTTTGTCTGATCTTTATCACCCATAACCATAACTCGAGTTATCTGATACTCGTTTTGAAGGTCAATCTTAAGATATTTGTCTCCAGACTCTGTTGGACACCAACCATCGCTAGAAAATCTCGCTTCTTTGTACTTGGTATTGTCAGTAGAACCACTTCCAGAAAATATCGCGTCTGGAAACTTGGTGTGGTTCTGTAATAATGCATTCTCGCATATCTTGCCTAAAACAGAGAACAGTGTTTTGAAAATGATCGGGAAACCGAACCAGACCAAAATGTCATGTTATTAGCTTCTAAGAGCCTAAAATCGACTGAAATAGTTTTACCAAAATCCTACTCACATGTTACATATGGCGCATAAACGGTTGACGTTGCTGTGTAAGGATAAAGATGGACACAGCAACTATCCGTCAGAGGTGCGTCATAACAGAGGTCACCACTTACGAATTCCTGACCTGACTTTATCCTCTCAGTCTTAACCACGTTCCCTAGGGTTCCATTAAATCCCAAGTGCTGACACAGCGATTTTTCCCGAGTGATGTCCCATATTTCCTCCCTTACGTTTTTCCAAGTGGAAACATTCTTTATTTCAACGAAACCTTCGCTGGGTGACTTTGATAATCTTATGTTGGGAGCTAAAACCATGAAAAATACCCTTAGTACCGTGTGCATATAATTTTGAATATATTTATTGTGACCCGAAAAGACTTGTAAAACGACATGCTATCGAAAAACACAAAAACTGCATATATTTAATTATTAAAACATTGTGCTATGCAAACAATCATGGACACTCAATTTTGCAATTCCTCTACAATGCGCTATACCTGTTTTTATGGGATTCAAATAGATATCCACACAAGTGTACTCGATATAAAGTTGGGCTGTGTTTTTAGAACAATATGGCGATAATAGCAAAGTATTGTTAATGATCAGCTCACAAGCCGTCTTTCCACCACAAAGACGTTTCACCTGACAACTTGCTCGTTGACTACATTTGATATCAATAGTTGCATTGGCATAAAATGTCCCACCATCTTCAAAATCGCCATAATGAGCTTTGTGGATCACCATAAGTTGGTTTGAAGAACAATGAACATCTTTCATTTTGTCACCGAACTGTATCACTGAACCTGTCAATAATGGCAACAATGCCTGTGAATAATATTGTGCACGTGCAGACAAGTTCATGACGAAATGGTTCTGTGTCAGTGGGTTGGGTAAAACACATCATAAAAGATATCTGGTTTAGATAGTTACAAAAGTACGAGTATTGGAGTATATACGTATACGTTACATCTAGTTATACGTCATATTTAACTTACCAAATGTGAACTTTTTGTTGTTCGCGTTGTTGCAACTTGCTTCCGTTACTACCGTCACTGTAGCGCCCAGACCATTAGACTGAACACAATACTTTCTTTCGGAAAAAAAGAGAGATCCTGACACTTTTTGTTTAATATTATGATCTTTTTTCTTTTCAAATGTTTTTCCGCCAGCTTGAACGCCATCATAAACGAGCAGCTTATAAACATATACGCTATCCCCTGGTATACATAAAAGCGAACCTCCCTTGTCGACATTGTGTATCAATTCTGTCTTGTCAATATAACGGAACTGTGCACTACTCTTCAAGCAGTTGTCAACCATTTCAGCCCAATAACGTTTCGCATAACTAGTACTCCCAAAAGTACTATCTTCAGGCGCAATACACTCTGAGGTTTCAGTCTGCCTGAGAAAAAATTCCCAGGAATCTGCAAGAAAAAAATTAATCGTGAATTAAACAGTGCAGTAGTTGAATGTGAGTAAAATTCATCCTCTTTTAGAAGCAATAAATACAAGAAAATTCGCAAAGTATTGATGTGCATGAAATACACTGGAGGTGACAGAAGTATAAACAATGCTTAGAAATGGCTTAACTTAATACTGTATATATCTCTACGGAGTTTTTACCAGGGGGTTTTACCCGCCCGCTAAACGGATCGCGTATGCATTGGCATAATATTTTGATATAATGATGTATTGACAATAGCTTTCCCTTACAATGAAATTATAAAAAAGCATACATATATTTGGTTATGTAAGGTTTTATTGGTTAGGTCTAGTTGTCTGTTCTGAACATTGACGTTGTACGATTTAGATAAGGACGATTCCAATTTCCTCCGTTTATTTATAAGCCATTCATGCCAGCATTCCATGATTTTAGGCGCCATAGACAACGTCAAACCATTGCAGGCGTCAGGATTCCAAACATTGACATGACCAAAGGAGCGAAAGCGGTCTGTTGATTTCTCCATATATTTCAGTTATTTACATGCATGGGATTCAAGGCCGCCGCACAATAGAGCTATGTCAGCCTACGAGCTTAGCAAAAAGTCATTTGTGGCAGTAGCGTAAGCCAGTTGATCTCGTGTGCGGGCGACTTTTCCGCCGACGTTTGGTACGAATGATGAATTATACTGTGGACTGCAGCTCCTCTTATACTCTACAATAAAACCTAAATATCTTACCTTGAATCGTTATTACTGATATATAAAAGAAAAGCAGCCATCGATAAAATAACCACAACATTTTGACAACTGCCAACTGACACAAATAGCTCAATAATAAGTCGTATACTTCCGCATTTTTCTGTATGAAACAAAATACTTTAATTTTAATAACTATTCAAACAGGTATCAGGTTATTGCACAGTACTTGAATTTCTATAGCCATGCGGGGTATTTACAAAAGAACCAAAGCCATCATTGAGTTCGTTGATTCACATTTCATCTTCTTTCTCTCAGAATTGATCGATATTCCCAACTCACCTTGTGTATAATCGTGAAAAGGAAAGTGAGTTGAAATATATCTTCAAACTAGAGGTTAAAAGCATAACTGGTTTGAAATCTATTTTATGCAAAGTGCAGACAATGTTGTCAGTTCTTAATCACCCTGTATGTCGACCTCGATTCCATACTTTACACTAAGCCTTTTGTCTACACAACCTAACAATCTGACCGACGACATTAATAATTTAATTTATTACATTATTATTTACGTGCATGCCAATAGAGGAAAGGAAGTGTCAATCAAAAAAGCATGAGGTTGTACATTTTAAAGAGGAGAGAGATTTGAGATTTTGTGTTGTGAATTGAGATTTGTGAGTGTTGTAAATACTGATTTGGAGGCGAGTTTACGACACTCTTATATTATACTATGTCCACAAACACTTCTCACGTCTCGAACTTATCTTACACTAATAAAACAACTGCATGTTGTGTTGAAAGGTCTGTGTTATTGTACCAGGATATCCTAAACTCTTCAGAATTAACTTGGGCTGCATGACAGATTTCGTCCAGGAAGACTAGCATGGCAGCAACAGAGATCGTGAACATAAGAAAATAAGATGCCATATACCAGTACAAATATCATCAGTTTAAATAATCACAATTACCGTCCAGTTTTCTTGCGGTCATAGTTAACATAAATATAAAGACAAAATTTGATCTGACGAAACGGACTAAAAAGAATATTTATTTAATAAAGTTAAATTTGATCTCAATGCATCATGCGCTGGTTCTAGAAGAAAGCCCCTTCACAGTAGGTGCAGGAGGTAAGGTAAGGATTTAACAAGCTCGCATCATTTTGTCGCTAAGGAATCTTCAGCGTCACTTTATAGCCAATCGGATTGTTTCTTCGTTCTCATTGATATTCAACTATCTCGTCTTAATCTTGAGAATTAGCCAAATGATACGGATGAGGTGGTGATTAAGAGAACATCTTGAAGTCTTGAAGAACACTTATTCCACGTTTAAAGTCACGTATCTGGCGAATGTGGTCGTTCTTTTATAAGCACCAGGATGAGGAAGTATTGCATTTCAATTTGGCTGTATCACGTCTTTCAAAATCAGTGAAGTGCTCATCAACAACTCGTCATGTCAAATTATAGTCTAAAGATGAAGCTTTGCATGCTTTAATTGAAGAACATGAAGTTTATCGCGACAAAGAACAGTGTTCCGGGAATTGAACCCAGTAACCGTGTGTACAAGTCAGCTTCCATTAGATCATTATGTTTTCTATTCTGAGAGCGTTTACGTCAGACATTAAAGTTTACTGGGTTGCGAAAATATTCTAAACTTTTTATCGAGTATAACGAGACATACCACTTATGCGGATATAAATTGTCAACAGGAATGTTTAGCTTTCATGCAATTTTACTCGTGAAAAGTTTTTGGAAAACCAACCGTAAACACGGTCCCGAACACACGGACACTGTTTTTTTACGAGGGAAACCAGAGTGCCTGGAGAAAAACCCTCACCGAAAGCCGGAATTAAACACAAAGTACACAAGTTTGAGATTTTATTAAAACAAAGTCATGTATTACAACAAAGTGTGTGTGTGTGTGTGTTAAAGATATTGAAATCAAGAGAGAGGAGACGGACAATTTTGGTCCTATTTTTATTATTACTTCACTAAACATGTATTACAAAGCGTGTGTGTTTTCTTTACATAGTACATCATCAATATACGAAGACATTAAATCATTATATCTAAAACCGGTTACAAAGTAGGTGTGTTTAAGATCTTGTCATTTAAATTTATAGAACAATGCAGGTAAATGTTAATTTGGCATACTTTAGCATAAATTGTTCATGTCTTTTTACAGTGTGTTATTGTGTTTGAGTAATGTTTAAGACTGACCAGTAAAACATGCATTAATGTGAGTAAGTGTTTAAGTTATCGTGTATTTTTTTTGTTCTATTATAGACTTAACCCACTAACTTTGGTAGAGAGCTGAATAAAGCTTATGAGATCGACGAACTAATATAGTAATACATAAAAATGCCTGAGTTCAGAGCGCTTAGATTCAAGTTACGTTCGTCCGAAAACTAAAATTATTCTGCTGACAAATCATAGGCAGTGTTCCTAATAGTTTCGTTTTAAGCTGTCGAACTATGCACACATATTTCAAGGATCAAGTTAACTTGAAGATACTTCATGAGCCCTTATAGAAACAGCATAGACACAATTGTCCTTGAAAACTTCATTGCACATTTCAGAGCTGAGGCATATAGCCAGAGCATGCTGCCCTTGTGGAAACAACTGAAGGTTTGGAAAAAAATACCACAAGAAATTGACTTTATTTTTTTGTGGCTGAGGCATATAGCCAAAGCAACAAACTGTCGAAACCAAGTGCAGCATCAAGTGTAAATATTTTTTTTTTAAAAATTCAGTCAACATTTTTTGAACCATGCAAGGGATATTCCCAAAGCAAGCTGCCCTTATAGAAACAGCACCAAGAGTACAATTTTTTTTCAGAGAAACTGGACTAATACTTTTAAAGCCAAGGCATATAGCTAAAGCAAGCTGCTCTTATAGAAACAGCCACAGGAGTACATTTTTTTCTTTAAAAATCTGGTTTAAAAACATTTAGAGCTAAGGCGTATAGCCAAAGCCAGCTGCTCGTATAGAAACAGCAATGAAAATAACACTGCAACGTTATTAGATATCCCAAGATACCTGCTAACACTTCGAACCACATAGCAAAGTCAAACAGTACAGACAAAAAGTGGCGCCTTACTTTTTATAAGCACTGCTCGACGAAGCTAAATGATTGGAAATCTCACAGAGACCTTGGAAAAATAGTAAAGTTACAATGCCACTGCCAATGTTTGTCTCGTAATTGGTTTCTAACTATAGTAGAAATAAGGCATATATATATACATGCACCCCCCCCCCACCCATTCCTTATTTTCTTCAAGTAAATTCAAATTCATCAATTGAGAGCATGTGTGTGTTAACTTTGATTGCATAAATTCATGTATTTCAGAATAGCAAGACAGTATATATAAGACATGCCGTAAAATCAATGTTTCTGGCTTGAATATTAACTGTAGCCTTAAGTGAATGCAAGAGATAAGAGAGATAAACTAGAAGCCATTATATAGGCCATACATTGTTTGCATCAATGTATTTACTCGTGTGCGTGTCTATTTTATGTGCAGCTACAAGATCATGAGGTATAGTGCATGATGTTTTGTATCTGTTCATATTTTGATATAATTCATGTTTTTTCATAAATACATATACAATATTATATGTTCAATTACAAAATATAGTATAAGGCAAGATATAATCGTATATTTACAATGTTTGCTGAGAAATCAAAAACGTATTTACATACAAATAATTTTACAACCAGACCGAATAGTGACCCTATATAGTTATCATTTTACAATGTTTATTCCGAAAGCCGCAATCGACCGGATTTCAAGAGCCGAAGACGATTTCAAACAGGACAAGAGAGAGAAAGAGGAAAGAACTTATGGGATTATGTCTGCCATTTGTGGCTATGGTTTGTGTTGTTAGTGTGTATGACTTTTTAGCCATTTCTTAAGTGAAATATTGGTAATATATAAAAGTTGTGATATGTTTTCAGTTTAAACAGACAAATTATCGACCTAAACCTTAGCGCAGCCCTAAGCACAAACGAGCAGTCCTAAGCGCAAAACCGATTAAAATATTTAACCGAATTTAAGAAACGTTTGCTCACATGCATCATGCATTAGCTATGTTCCTGGTGGCCAGAACCTAGTTAACTGAACTTAAAACTTTATTTAACTTAAGTTCGTTAACTAAATTAGTTAACTTTGTTAAGTTTTGCACAGACTCCCTGCATGCCCATTTTTTGACCACCAGGCTACTCTAACCTGTAACGATGCCCGGGCATCGCTGAACGTTGCTTTTTGGTGTCGATTTGGCGTAGTTTTGGCGTATATTAAGCGTCGAAGTTGCCTACATTAGGCGTAGATTTGCCGTCGAGGTTGCCTACATTAGGCGTAGATTTGCCGTCGAGGTTGCCTACATTAGGCGTAGATTTGCCGTCAAATTGGTTTGTCGGTAATAGCTCAACATAGCTTGTCAACCTGAAATAAGATTAAAGAAATAAGCAAACTACATTTTTTATTGAGAAGAAACACGCGTAAAATCGGGATTGTAAACAGACCCAAAACAACATCTATAAAACCCCTCTGGGATTTCAAGTATTTCCTTGCCATTATTCATTTTAAATTATCATGCGGCCGTTGTCGTTCTTGACCTGAATCATGCATAACTCGCCGTTGTTCGGTTTATCTAAAAATGTTTAATTGCTTAATACTCACGTTTTATTACCAACAGGTTTTGTCGTTGTTTCAAAAGGCTTGACCCGCTAAATCGCTACCTGCAATAAAACCAAAAGAATGCTTGTTATAGACAGCGATTTCAAGGATTTACCTTTGATGAAGGGAGCTTAAATATCGGGAGAAAACGTGCGGTGATTATTCAGTTGAGAGAACGCTGATGCCTGATCAAGCGTTTCAAGTTTTCCTATCCTATTTTGAATAAAATACACACAAAATTACCTGTTCATTTCAGCAACTAGTGTTGAAGAGCAGCTTTGGACTTGCCGTCTCTTTAAATGCGAGTCATCTCGGGGAATTTCAGCTATGGGTTTTCTTTCCCAGCTCATTTCTATATTCGGTTTGGTTTTAGCTTTTAAACTCCACCTGGAAGAACAAAAGGCAATGTTAGTTTACTGGTTTGGTCTTCATAACTCAATTCAAAGGTAATTGCTTGCGATTGGAGCAAAGGTTAAAGCGGCTCACATACGATTTAGCGTATATTACCTTTCTCATATCATCAACAAACACCAAGAAAATGCGTAGACGTGCTTTCTCTTTAAAGGCGAGTTATCTTGAGTCAAATGCGAGTCGTCTCAGGCAATTTCAGCTACGGTAACGGACTTTTTGCCCACTTCACTTCATTCAGTTTGGTTTTAAGCTCTCAAACTCCACCTGGAAGAATAAAAGGCACCATTAGTTCACTGCTTAGGTCTTTAGAACTCAATTCAAACGTAATTTGCGTGTGGTTAGAGGGAAGGTTAGCGGCTCAACGGTAAGATTTGACGTATATTACCTTTCTCATATCATCAATATTCCCCAGAAAAAGCCTAGACGTGCTTTCTCTTCAAAGGCGAGTTATCTTGAGCCAGTTCAGCCACAATTCATCGGCCGTCAATCTCTTGTTCACAAATTTCATCGTTTAACTTGGCTTTAATACGTCAAAATTCTGCATGAAAAGAATAAAAGCTACGTTAGTGCCATACAAGTTTGTATTTGAATTTGAAGCTGAACACAACACGAGAGAGGCATTACAAGACGTGAACTAAAGACACGCGGAACCTCAGCCCAAAAGCTCACGATGAAACAAGCTGATAAAACACGCAAAGGGAAAGGCATATTACCTGGTATTACACCAACGACAGTCTGTCAGAGATAGTAAATTTCTATTAAACTTCTCTTCTGCTGAAGACGATAGCAATCTGATAGCAATTTCTGTTCAAATTTTCTTGGCATGGAGGAGACTCATTTTCATTCTTCGAAGACCAGCGCTGAAGTGATGTCTCAAACTGGAATCAAAAGCATATATCATTCATTTCACCCGCTCCTCGTGTCTGCAAAATAAAGTCATCCTATTGGATGAACACTCCCGACCTGACAGCTCAACAACGCTTCTGATTGGACGTTCATAGTAATTTAAATAATATGATTAATTCTCTCTCCTGAGCCTGAACATCAGAAATGAAAGAAAGAATTAATCATATTATTCAAATTACTATGCTCGTCCAATCAGAAGCAATGTTGAGCTGTCAGGCCGGGAGTGTTCAGCCAATAGGATGACTTTATTTTGCAACACGAGGAGCGGGTGGAATAAATATCTAGCTTTGATTCAACGTTGCCACATCACAACATGGATAACACGGAGTCGGAGTTCCGGAGCCGGAGTTTCGGAGCCGGTGTCCCGGAGTCAAAATTACGGAGTCTGACGTAATAATATTGGAAAACACGGAGTCAAAAATTATGGAAAACACGTAGTCTGCCAAAAACATGGAAAACACGGAGTATAAATGTTAGGAAAACACGGAGTCAACCTAAATTATACATATATTCATAAATGAAGGATCGCTCATAAGTCTGTACTAATTTTTTTATACCACAGTAATAGTATAAAAGAAAGAATACACAATAACAAAAGATTATAGCTATAATGCCTCTTGCTCAAAGTCATAGAATTATTGTTGTAGCATTACGTGTCCTTATATCACCTTAAATCACACCAAAACTGCAATATCCTCCTACAATATCCTCCCATTTAAATTAAGGAATATTATTTATGTTTAAGGATAAGTTTTTCGGTCGTTTATTTACCATTTGCGGAATAGAAAAAACAAGCAAAAACGTTACGCGAATATGACGCCATGTTGTTTAAAACACGCTATCACATTTGCATAATTCACGTTGAGTCATTGACCACTGGACTTCCAAACATTTATACTCCGTGTTTTTCATATTTTTAACAGACTCCGTGTTTTCCATAATTTGTGACTCCGTGTTTTCCAATATTATTACGTCAGACTCCGTAATTTTGACTTCGGGACTCCAACTCCGAAACTCCGGCTCCGGAACTCCGACTCCGTGTTATCCATGTTACCGTGGAATTTGGGCTTAAGCGTCTCTCTACTCGCTATTTTTTGCGTGTACTAGGCTACATCATTCTGTACAGTTCAAATATCGTATTTGCGCAGTAAAGTCCAAGCCTCAAACAGATCTAGAGCAGACAAATGTACTCGTTTCCCATAACTTGACAGCGAGGTTTTCAGCTGCAAAACACTTCCGGAACTATTATGCCTGAGAAAATTATTAATTAATTATCACTATAATTATAGTTTAAATGTACCGTAACTTCTTTTGTGATGGAAGCTGTTAGTTTTACATCGTCACTGTTGTGAACCTCAAGAAAAAAATGTTTTTAATTAAGTGGTGCACGATTTACGTATTAGCAACTATAGCTCTACAAATCTTCGTCACCAGGGCCTAGCTCCGTTTCTCTCCACGAGGATAAGCTTCCCCCGATGGATCGCTGGCGAGATTAGGATGAGCTCTTTAACGTTGATCCTCGATCCCGGTGCTTTAACGTTTCGAGTCTTGCTTTTCAGTTTTATGCCTGTATTAAACAATCTTATCCATTAATCACAATACCATTGAAAATATTGAAAATGTGCTTTATATATTCGAATATTGAATACACAGATAAATACGATCCCTTACAAATTTAATATTGATGGCATATATTTTCTTGATAAAAAATTGCGAGCTATATTTAACTTTATTTAATATTCTCATTCATTCCATTCAGTGCAAAATACGTACTAGCGATGTTATATCCGTGGGAAGCTCTTTCATCGACTATTCGCGATGCATCAAATTCTGAAAACGAATATTATGTAAATTCACTCACATGGCGAATTTTGCGGCGCTAAAAGACTACCAGAATATTTCCCTGCATATATATCATTAGCTCTGACAAATTTTCTATATATAGTTTGTGCTTTCCGTTTAATTGTGTCGATCCATTCCATTTCGTCTCATCTACCTCAATCACTGGCCTCAGTCTATTTCATATTACACAATGAAGCTTTTGGATCGATTACCCATAGTTGCACCTGTTTGTACACTTGTGCGTTTGGTCTCCTACAGACGGACCAGATTTTTTATAAACTATAGTTAGTTTAAAACTATTTACAGTGTGGTTGAATGTGTAAGATTGGTCTCAGCTTTAAGCGTATTAAACCAAATTATTTTCCTCGTTAAAATACAATTGTAATTTTTACTGAAACAAAATTCAGCGTATATTCTTTATTCGCCAAAATTCGCGTATTCACTAAAGGAATCCAAATACGCCATGATGGCCGTGTAACAGAACTCATATTGTTCCTATAAAGAAAATGATTAGTTGTAAGTGAACAAACTATGTCAAATAGATCTAAAAATACTGTCCAATATTCAGGGATGTTGTTTTAAGGTATGAATGTAATTTGTGTAAGCTGCAATTGTGCATGAAACAGAGAGTGGCGAGAAATGTTTTTGTCGAAACACCGACGTGTTCACACGCGCGAAAAATATATCCATTTTAACCGCAACGTGCTGTTTACTTCGTGTTTTTAACGATATATATACTTACAGCATTTTCAACAAACTGTGGTCGTATTCCTCTGATGATTTTAATCGCCTGGAAGACGTCCATTGCTTGTTCAATCTTCATTCTTTCCAGAAGGTTTGAAATGGCGATATACGTTCCTGTTCGTCCTGCCCCATCGCTGTAAAACAAATGTCAATAATTATTGAGAAAAAAAAGGTCCACAGCACTAAAGCAAGGAGACACAGACTTTCGACTATTGCGTGAAATTGACCATCAATCCAGGAATCAAAACTTAACGATTGTAATTTTGTCATGTTATTTTCATGTCAATCGATCTACCTGCATGCGACTATGATTGGCCCATGACCATGACTCTTTCTAGAATTCTCGACCAATGACGTCAGGGCGATGACGCCATTTCCGTCAGGAGGTACGCCGTGGTCCGGCCACTTCGTATAATGGAAAATATTCACGACACGTCCATCTGACAAATCCTAAATACAGAAACTAACATTATAAAAAATATCGGCTAATTTTCACTACGTGATATATATTAATATTTTACCCATGCACAACCCAATAAGATTGCTTGCACGTATATTGACCAATGTTAATGGTATATACTAACTGGATAAGGTGCTAGGACAAACTTTCTTGTCCAAATTCCATTTGACTCCTTCTCTGAGTCCAACTGAACGGTCAAACTGTCGTATTGCTTTGGCTCTCCTCTATGGTTTGGCCAGAATTTCGGAAAGGACTAAAACATGGACATTAAATTGTATTATGCGATTCAAAGACGGTTAAGAATAAATTATTTTGAACGTCTCATAACTCGTATTCAAGAAAAAACAAGAGTACAAGGACAGAGTAGGCGTGTTATTGATATGACAAACTACACACAAACAGCACTCCACATGGAACGTACAAAATCTGGTATACTACAAGTGGCATATTATAAAGTTTTTTTTACCGTTCCACCCTTGACGTTGCTTAGTAAAACGATCGTGGACGACTTCTGATAATGAACCAGTCGCCAGAAATCGTTGATCGTATTTGGCAGAGGGCTTTGGGTTGCGATGAAATAATTTCGCCCAAGGTAACCCTGAAATGGATGCAATATTTAGTCGGGCTGAACATTCATTTTTCTTAAAAGAATTCATATGATATGAAAGTAACATTTTCGTGCGAGACTGGATATTGAATCATTGAGCATTTCCTGGTTGGTTTAAATCGTATATATGATAGACTTACATGGACAAACACAGCATTGATATAGTCTGAATCCTCCTGTCCATCCACGTATTGAAGAGGAACACGATTGCTCTCAGCTAAAATGAACACAGAAAGACCAAATGCTCGACATGAAAAGAATTAGATAAATCAGTATACTTCAGTAAATGAAACTGTTAGTTAATGCTTGATCTCAACGTACTAGGGTAGATATTCTTATGACGATTCTTCTTGCGATTTCCTTCAAGCAAAGCCGCAGTGCATTCCTCTGGAACGAGTTTTGGTGAAACCTCTCCCAACCGCTGGAATATAAAGAGAAATATCAATTTTATATTTCAGTTACTTTTTTCAGTTGTATTCAAATTATTTTTATTGCTTCACGTGAGACAAAGTGAAATGGCATTTTGACCAATTACAAACCTTGAACTTCTCCTGAAATCCTGTCATTCCACTGGCTTTAACATTGGCAAGAGCTTCAAATTCTTTCTGAATTTTAGTAGAATCGATTTCATTCATGCCGCACAACACGGTTTCCAAGATTGCCTCGTGGATAAATATATATTGTTCCTAAAAATTTATATTTAATAATAAGAAGCCTCAAATGTATTGAGAACGACGATTGTTGGTAACTACGATAGACCCTTCTCGTAATGGAGTCTGGAGACATACACAGGATGTAAATAAATATCACAAGTTTGACTGGCTCCGACAAACTAACGACCCAATCAAACTTCGTGCAATATCAGACTTGATTGTTGCTCGTACCAAAGTCTGGACCATGTTCATTCTTCGTTCTCTCATAGCGCAGACTTCTCCAAAAATGTCGATGGAATTGATGGCGCCTTTCTCAAGTTTATCAAGGATTATGTCAATTGTAAGAAACACACCAGTTCGTCCAACACCAGCACTAAAAACAAGAGCAAGATCTGAATATCCTCAACGCCGTTTAACAAATTTCTTCTTCTGGAGATTGCAATGAAACAACTTCCACTAAATCTTGTTCAAAATATGATCTATCTCAAACCTGCAGTGAACAATGATGGGCCCTGATTGAACAAAGTGATAAGTTCTAAAATGTCTTCTGAATGCGAGGAGCTGAGTGGGATATTTAGGTACACCATGATCGGGCCAGGATTGAAAATAGTATTGACGTACTTCGCGTTCCTCGTCATCCTATAATTGGGGTTAAAATCGTAATTATTCTGAGTGAAATACGACACTAATAACTAAAGAATCCATAGATTCAAATGTTTATAAGAAGATCTGATGGGTTGTACTTGCCTTTTTCAATTCCAAGGTATGCGTCACATGGTAAGCAAACTCTTCAGTCTTCATCAAGGTTACTTCAATATCACCATACATTTTACTTCCGTTGTCCGGCCAATATTTTTCACATTTGGGCTAAAAAGTATTTCTGTTTAATAGCTGAACTTTGGAAATGAAGAAATCCTTGGAGGCGGAATATCATGAGGTGATTATTCTGGTAATGACGTTAGATGCTACTGTAAGAGTGGTGTTGGTGTAATCAATGGTGCTAAGCGTACACCGTGATAAAGAACTACCTTGCCAAGTTCAACGAGAGAGGTAACCATCACGATGGAATAACTGCGTTGTTCCCAAACCATCCTCCACATGTCGTTCACGGTATTCGCCCTCGGACCTAACGCATCGAGGGTAAGTAAAAGACAGTAAGTATTTTTCAACAAACGACATGCGGACATTCGTGAATCTTATACATGCATTACGGGGCGGGGGGACTACGGACTACACTACGGGGACTAACCGAGTAGTGTTTAAAGCAGATGAAGTGACTAGGATAATCTTTTAGCAATCTTCCTAATGCTGATCTCTACATGCAAGTAAATCATATACCATGCATGTTAACTCACCTTGACTTGCAATGTAGGTGCCTTCGTTGATACCCTTGATATGGAAAAAAAGAAGTAATAATTAAACGTGATAAAAACATTAGTCAAGCTCGAATATTGTACACTCGACCTTAGTAATAAAAAGTTGTTAAGGTCAATATACTGATATATGGTATACTCGACCTTGCAGGGGCCGGTTGTATCAAGCCCATTTAGCTTAAACGGTGGTTAAGCTCAAAATAGAAAGCAAGTCTATCGTTTTATTCAACAAGCAAACTAAATATTTTTAACCTTAATACTGTTTACAACTACATATTCAGTGCATAATATTCAAGTTGACTCATTCAAGAGAGATGTCAGAGTGTTATTTATTTTTGTCTTATCCACCATTTAAGCTAGACGGGCTTGATACAACCGGCCCCAGATAAATAAATTAATCAAGGTCGAATATACCCATACACTGGTATATTCGACCATCACACCATAATACAGAACTTACATCAATGTGGCTGGCGTTGATGTAATCGTTTTTCTCGTCTCCTTCTAGCACCACACGTGAATGATCATCTGAAATGAAAATTTAAGATCACTTGCTAGAGAAAATGGATGAAATTGAAAGGATGAAAAAGGTTCTGAATACAGTACATGTGACGATATTTCCGTATCTGTTTTTAGACTTGTTAAACGGCTTCTTTGACACCTCCCAAGAAATGTTCATATCTTTTGGTAGCGCCTAAACAACGAAAACGTACATGAACACAAAAATTTTGTGAAATAATGTTCAGCAAGCAATCTAAATGACATATTTTTGTTCCAAGCAATTCATCCCTCGTTTTCTGGTTGTTTATACGAGGATAAATTCATGCAACTTCTTGAGAAACTATGCAAAATCGTCTACACTCACGAAACTGTGGTCTTGATACTCTGCTAGGCAAACTGCAGCCGTGCTTTTATTACTTTTACCTTCACTGCCTTGGTAGCGTTTGTTCTAGCATAATACTTCCAAATTTGCTTGTTTATTTGCATGTGTGTTTTTCTTACTACACGCCTATATATCTTGAACTACATGCACGGATAAATTTGAGCATGATAAACTCATCATGCAATCATAGCTTGCGGTGGCGGAGAATGCATGAATGAAATTATTTCCTATATTAAACTTACATTATATTCTTTCTGAAACTCATGGTTTTCGTTTTCTCTTAATTCGTTCACATAATGAGCAAATTCAGCAATTGGAACAGGTTGATGTCCCTTTCTGTCAACGTCCCCTTCGAAGTGGAAATCATAAATAATTGTCAATTCAAAGTATGTACTTTGTCAGTTGTCCATAAGAGTCTGCGTATATAAGCTGTTACTTCGAGCATTTTGCAAGCAACCAGGAATGCTATAGTGTTGTATTTGAGGAGTAAGTTTAATTCAAGGAGAGTTATTCATTCCACTCCCTAGTCCACATTCGGAGTAAAATTAGTTTCAAACAAGTACCGATTGAAATAAACTGACTCCTACAAGATATCACTAGGACGACTTCAAGCAAGTGGAATATTTCGAGAAACATTTCACAATTGATGGTCTCAGTAAAACCAAAAGAGAAAAAATCTTGGAAATAATGAGTTTTAAAATTTCAATAAGATCAGTAAGCATAGCATACCAGAGTCATTTGAATAGATGCACTCATTATTTCCATTTACAGGTTGAACATCTTCTGGTTCATCATCATATTTGTTACCATTAACGTTGATTGCTTTCATTTCATCAAGTTTCTCTGGTGAATCTGCTTTATGTTGTCTTAGAGTTCTCCTGCGTGAAGAGGAGTCTATTATATTAATTAGCATTTTGTGCGTTCTCCTGTGTCTATTAATTAGCATTTTGTGCGCGTAATGAAGCGAGTCAACTTCGTTTTTTTTTTTAAATTAAGTGAATGTAATATTCTATGTTAGTTCAAGCAACTTTTTACCTTCTTCTGAAAAACAAAACAGCAATAATCACGGCAGCAACGATAGCAATCGCGGCAAATGTTCCACCCACTGCTATCCCTATACTACCCCCACTACCACTACCACTGTCATCAGTTTCCTCACGCTCGCCGCCATCACCAGTGCCTATAAATGTGAAATTGAAAACTGAAATTGAAATTGAAATTGAATATGGAAACTGCTTTCTTCGGGAAAGCTGTTTCCTGGACCCTGAGGTCAGAACCTTGCAGTAATTCTCTCGCTCTACGTAGTCGTGTTTACACTACGAACAGGGGCATAGCTAGAACTTAGAATGTCACAGTGGAAACACCCGCCTGCCTAAACTTGGCTTAACTTTGGACTAGATTTTCGTAGTACAAACACGGTTCAATCTGGCTCGTGTCTTGCTTTGCAAACAACTTTGTGTTTGATCTTGCGTTAGCTTTGGTAAATTCAGACGAAGTTTTAACGAATTTTAATTCATAAAGCCGCCCAAATCTGGGCAATATGGCGTGAACGTGATGGAATTAATATCCCTATATGTTTGCATAGTGATATCAATAAGTAATTTAGCTTGTAGGTACACCACGTAAGTATTTAATACTGCAAAGCTTTCGGTCCGTTAACCCGGGCCTTCTTCAATTGCACTGATTTGCAGTATTAAATACTTGCGTGGTGTACCTACAAGCTAAATTACTTAGCGATGAAATTACCTTCATCTTTGTCGAAAGTCATTGGCGCACTCCAAAATGACCAGAATCGTTTCTGAAAGAAAATTTACAAAGGTTTTAAGATAATTCAGTGAGAAGACTGGTGATAATGACATGCGTGATACGGCGTAATTTTTAGGACAAAAATAAGCTCGTTTTCTACAACAGTCAACAGACACACATCTCACGGCTGTTGCTAGTACTGTACTTCGAAATACTGCCAGGATTTTGATAAGATTAACATTTCTGTTTGTCCTTTGTTCAAAGCCCTGCCCACCTTCAGGCTTCAGTGATGAAAATATAATAGCTTAATTGATATGTTAGACGACTCACCTCAGATTTGTCTTCATTCATTTGGGCTGATCTGTAAGTCGCATCTGGTTTAAGTTCATAAACCTCATCAGCATCTCTTTTTCTACGTTTGTTCTTCTCCGACGATTTTCGAAGTACGATTTCTATCGTATTTGAACTTTTAAACTGACTTATATTATATTCTTTCGCAACGAATGCGTCATTTTCACCAGCAGCCTCGTCTGGACCTTTTAACTCCACATCTTCCGGTGCAGGGCTTTGAGTTGAGGCTGGCGGAAGCCGAAGGACCACCAATGAAACAGTTCTGAGAAAAAAAACGACAATATAAATCAATTACCGAGTTCTACAATTCAGAGACAGTGAATGCCACCGTTCTGACGTTCATATAATCCTCTTATTCTTTCGCTATGCACAAAACAAAACAAAAATATCTACCTTATATTTTCTACTTTTGGCTTTGTAAGTATAACTGTGTAAGTGCCATCATTATTCTTTTGAGGGGCAATCGGTTCTGAAATGGGAAAGGCAATTATACTAATGTCAACAATGTATCATCATTATATAATATGATTATAATGTGTTTTCTTTTTAAGATAGCCTAGCTAATCTGCCTGCATGGAAATGCTTTTATCTAGTGGAAATGCTTTATTACTGTAGTGTCGCCCGTGCATTAGAATGACATTGTAGTGACAGCATGCATGAAGTAATTCGCTTGCAAGAATTTATACATCTTTTCTGCCCATATGTATCCTCCGCGTTTCCCTATATATCCCGTTGTGTGCCTTCTTCGAACTTTGAATCAGATAACCTCTTTCCACGTCAACATAAAAACCTTAACAAGTAATATCAAAGTGATTCGAGGAAATTACGTCTGTACTCAAAAAGCTCATTCACCCTCACTGCGTTGGCATAGAGATCATGTTATTACTTAATTATACGAATAAGTCCTTTAAACGGTCTTTAACTAATTGTAAGATTTGAGATAAAATGTTGAGCAAAAGCTCTTGGTCGAATAAAGATATAGCCATGAAATCGTTACGACCTTATTGACATCTTCCACTCGTTATGAACTGTATTTTTGACATTATTTATTATACCCGAATGAGAAAACCAGGTTTTTTTTTCCAATTCACTGCTTCCAGCTTCAGTTTCAAGGCGAATTTCAAACGTGTACTTCGTATCATAATTAACATCAACTGTGACTGATTTTTCGTTTGTCGAGATCTCCACTGGTTTCTTTTTGGATCCAACTGTTGCCGCTACCAGCGCTGCATCGTACTTCGTGACAGTCTGGTCAGTACGCAGTGATATTGACCAGGATATCTTGTACTTGCCTTTGTCAGTTGATTTAACATTTAAATCAAATGGAGCTGCAAATGACAGAGAAGATAAAGGATTATTAACTTCTATAAACTTCTCAAAAGACGTACCCAGCTGAGGACATTCCTCATCAGACCCCGTTTACACTAGAAGGAAAGTTTCCGGATTTGTAAAATTATCCGGATTCATTGTTACACACATGTATCGGATTCGTCAGGTGTTTACACTACACTTTAGTTGTCTCTGTATGCGGATTTGTCCGTTTACACTCACATTATACTTGTTCTTAGAGAATTGTTTGGTCGTGATATTGAATTTCTTCGGATTCGTCGTACAAAGCGTTTATACAAGAAAATTTTCCGGATTCAAATGTTTCTGGATACGAAGTTTCCACAAACTTTTACGGATTCAAAGTTTCCGGATACGGCTTAAAACCGAGTACATTTTCTATCGGATTCGTTGCTGCGTGTGTAAACAGCAACATGAATCCGGTACTAAAACATTCCGCTTTCGTGCATGATGAATCCGGAAACTTTCGCTCTAGTGTAAACGAGGTCTGAGGAGTTTGTCGAAACGTCGAATTATATCTGTGGTCGGTTGTACAAAAGCTTGATGGCGCTATACCCACTAGATAGTGTTTTTTTTTTAATCGCTCCAAAATTGCCTGTTGTTCGGTATAACTGTGATTATATTTTAAAAAATTACTCATGTCGATTGCGTTAAATATGGAGCGATGATATATGCATTAATATAGATTTTATATATATATATATATATTTAGCAAAATGGACTATACCTATATTATTATCTAACTATCCAACAGCTTACCTGGAGGTTTTGCAGAAGTCTTAACACTTTTGCTCCAAGCCGTCGAATAGTATTCATTGTTATATTCCTGAATGTCATATTCAAGAGAAATAAATATCAATACAATTGAGAAATCTGAAGATACAAACTCTGATAGCTTTTTTACCAAACGTACCTCGCTTTCAAAAAATCTTAGGAACGCGATATATTTTGTATTGTTTGTTAACGGTTGGTTCGAATATATTTCTGTTTTAGAATTATATTTTTCGCCATCGCCGATCACAAACATCTTGGGTAGAACATCAGATTTCAAATAAGCAGTGATATAAGGTTTGCCATCGCTTGTAGACTTGTTAGATCTGAGAGAGTTGGTTTTGATGTTTTCAACCGGTGTCGTTTCTCCTGAGTCAATTTTTACAATGATGATTACACTTCTACATAAAAGATAGAACGACTAGAATTGTTAAACTCAATTCAGTTGAGTTTCAAGATCAAACAATTAAGAACTGTTTAGATCATCCCGCTTTTAGCCGAGATTCAACTGGACGCGCAAAACGATTTTGGGGTGTTGAAATGAATATATAACATGATCCTGGCAGTTGTGTAGCCCATCCTGACAATAGCTTGTGCTTGTTTTTGTTTCATAACGACTTTTTTCAATACCTCAAATGAGGTACAAACAGCTTCTAACTGCGTGTAAACTTACTTGATATAATCTGCTTGTTTCGAAATGTTTATCCTTAAAGTTGAGGAGGTATCTTCGAGAAGTTTAACAGGCTCTATAAAATGATATATTAGGTCTATTTAATATATATAGATACGCAGCATTGCTAACGGGAGAGCGCGTATTAACTAGGTTTTCAAACTGTCGGACCTTGCATGCATACCCATGCAGCAAGTGCTTGAAGATTCTTATCTTTTACCTATAAGAGGTCAGTCGTATAAAACTCTTAACCACACATTTTAGGCAGTTTAATCGAAGTTACAGTAACTCTAGATTATCCTATCCTAAATAGTTGCCACTATTGTTTTTTAGTATAATTTCAGTATTGAAAAATGGCCTTTGAGCATTCTGATTGGCTCCCTCAGCAGTAACTCTGAGGCAATAGTTACTGCTCAAAGCAGTCTGAGCAGTAACTATTGCTTTTCCCCAAAAAAACATGGCTGAAAATACTCAAAATCAAAATTATATTCATAAAATAAACACGTGTATCAGTTGTATTTATAAATAAAACTTTTTCAATACTGAAATTATACTAAAACAATTAGTCGCCTCAGGCTCGGTGATTACAAGCCTATATTCACTTCGCCTTCGGCTCAGTGAATATAGGCTTGTAATCACCTCGCCTTCGGCGACTAATTGTTAATTAGAGCCAGGCCAGGCGCGCGATTGTGATTTCGGATCAGAGAACACTTTAACTATCAGTTGCGTGATAACACTATTAACTGCTTCGAATTCCAATTAAAAATCTGGCCTTTTACCTCCATCAGTTATTCCACTGACTGCTGTACTTTTCGGGCCAACACCACCAACTGTAGCAGCCGAGACTGTCACGAAGTACTTAGTAGACAGTTGAAGTCCATTTATAGTATATGTATATGTTTTCCAGGTCGTGATGGCGGATGTCGTGATGACGGAAATGCATATCGGACTTTTTATATTTTCATGAATATAATAGCAAACTTCAAATCCTGTCAGCTTCTCAGCATTCCATGAACTTTTACGAGGAGCCGCCCAGGTTATCTTTAACGAGGTTTGACTTCGGGCTGTGAGTTTAACATTATAAGGGCGTTCACTGGGAGCTGAAACAGAGATAACAATATAGGCCTGGTGTCGCACGGTCAAAGTTTGATTGGTTCCGCGTAACTAACGAGCCAATGAAATTTCATGTAAGATTCGGCTAAAAACTATTGCGTTTTTGAATTGGTGCATGTATTATATGCTTATATAATACATGCACCAATTCAAAAACGCAATAGTTTTTGGTACGTCCTATGTTTATAATTACCTGCTTCTTTTGTCCTAAATGTTTTGTATACAACTCTGCTCTTCTGACGATAATCGTCTACGGCTTCAATTCCAACTTCATATGAAGCATATGGCCGAAGATTACTGATATTATACTCATTTCCTCGTTGAACGGATTCGAGATGCCTTCTGTCCAAATATATTTTGAGATTTTTTATATAACTTGAGCTGGAGGAAGTTGGTAATTTCCAAGTCACTAGTGCTGAATTCTTGGAAGGATTAATTCGAACATCGTACACGGAACCTGGACGTTGAACTAAATTCGGATGAAAAAGAACATTCAGGATACAATTCTATATTTTCACTCAGCTAGTGTTTCAAAATTTCCACTGCACATCTATAATATAGTTTTAACACAAAAGTGAACAAATCACAGAAAACAAAATCACAGAAATATATATACGAAGTATAGAATAAAAATATATATATTTATACTCACGAACATATATACTCACCCACTCCACAGAGTTCTATTCTGAGACAAAAGTCTGTGTTTCCAGTTGATTGAATCTTAATATATCTCACATTATAAATATCAACGTCTGTAGTCGATGCTTGATAACCGTTCTGGTTTCCTTTGATCTTATATAAAAATTGAATGACAATGATAAAAAATAATTTTGACTCTGATATATATTATGTTATCATCGTTGTATTGTTTTAACTACCTGTATTTCATCCACAAAACTTTCATCATGACTGTATTTCAGTGAATATGATCCACTCCATTTTGTCTGATCTTTATCACCCATGACTACAACTCGTGTTATGTGATATTCTTTTTGAAGATCGATCGTGAGATATGAGCCAGGCGTCGAAGAACACCAGCCAGTTTTAGTAAACCTTGCTTTAAGAAAATCATTACCTCCATTACCATCAAAAATGGAATTTGGAAAATTTCCCTCGTCGTTTAGTAACTGATTGTCACAAATCTTACCTGCAGGTAAATAAATGATAAGAATCAATGTTTAATAATAAAACAGTAGATTTTTGGGCATAAGACTTTGTTTCAGTAACCTAAGGGTAGGCAAAGGGTGTAGTCTGAAAGAGGGAGAGATAATAGGGTGACTATAAACCCCGAGAAGTAAATCTGGAGAATGAAGAAATTTTATGTAAAAAAGTAACAACCAAGTCGTCAAATTATTGCTCCTCCGTCAAAATACAAATTCATATTATCACGCAAATTTGGGCTGTGTATTATGCAGATGTAAAATTAATTATATTGACCGTGGATGTCGAGATGACTCTGGGTACTGATTTAAAACACCGTCCAGGACGATTAAATTTTACGTATTCGTATATGCATATATATATATATATATATATATATATATATATATATATATATATATATATATATATATATATATATGACTGGAAAATCTAAACATATTTTTCGAAATTATACGTGCCGGATTATATGAGTAATTACATTAGCAAGTAACCATCGGTAGATTTTTGGGCAGGCATCTTGGGTGTAATAAAATCGGTCAGTCCCAGCAATTGGAAATACTCACATTCGACATATGGTAATTTTTCAGCTGATTTCGCTGTTTTACGTTGAAGATAAACACAACACGACGTTTCTCCGGACTGAGTGTTATAACAAACCAAGTCCCCAGCTACGATACTCCTACCATTACGAGCATTTCCAAAAGAAACTCTATTGTTGAGACGGTCTTGAAATCCTAAATGTTGACATATCCACCTCTCACTGTTTTCATCCAAATTTTCTTCAGATACTATCACCCATGTTTTTTCGTATATGTAGAGGTAGCCTATGTAGCCGCTTGATAATCTAATTTGAAGTCCTGAAACTAGACGAATAAATTACAGAATTTATTTATTATATCACATTCCGAAAACAAACCAATTTTTTCGGAGAATTTCAACGTTAAACTTAAGTGAATCGAACGTTAATCGTGGACGTTAGACAATGATGTGAAACCTCGAGTATTATTTGCTTCTTTCGAGTGACCTATCTGCATCATAACAGCAAGCGGAACGAATACGCGAGTATTGATTTATCAAAATTATTTATAGAATCCAAAAAACTTTTTCACGAGATAATTTGTAAGAGCCAGTAGCATTATCTGACATGGGGGGGGAGATGATTGATGGCCCATTTCCCTATCAAATTAAATGCTGGTCTACGAAAATTTGTCGGTTCTGAGCTGGAAAATGTTCAAAATAGGAACGTTTGGTTGCAAAATATTGAAAAATATGAAAAATATTAATGTTGGCAAACTAAAAAATATCTTAGTTGGATGAAATCATCTTTCATTAATATTAAATTCTGTTTTCTGTTTAAAGGCTGCCGCCACTTTTGTGTTGCTCTAACGTAGCATCTAGCCTAAATATTAAAGCTCGGCGCATGACAAATACGTATGCTGTTGAAAAAGGCCTGAGCATGTAACTAGAAGTAAAAAACCCAATGATAGTTTTGAAAGATGTAAATCGTGAGTGTTTGAAACACAGAAGTTTTGTCGTTGCCAAATTTAATCTTTGAAAAGAAAGATTGCAATGTGTAACACGGCCTTTAAAGCTGATTTCCGCATTTATTCGTAGGTATAATCTGGGTATAATAAGTAAAATATTACCGTAGACTAGTAATGTCTTTATTCACCCTCACAAATCAGATGATGGCGTAGTTGTGCACTTTACCTGTTGTTGTTACGGGGCTTGTATAGTTATCCACACAAGTGTACTCGGTATAAAGCTCTTCCCTTGTGTTAGGACACAGGTTTGGCAGTAAATTATTGTCAACGGTCAGTTCACAAGATTTCTTTCCACCACAAAGAGATTTCAACCTACAACTTGTCACTGCAGTGCATTGTGCATCACTCTGGGCTCTACTGTTAAATGCACCGCTATTGTTGAAGTTGCCATAATATGCTTTGTGGATCACCATACGTTGTTTTGGAGAGCAATTAACATCCTTCATTTTGTTACCGTACTTTGTCACTGAACCTGAAATCCAGTTTCACAGAAAATTACAAATAATTTTCCGTGCTGTTTTTTTAATTAGATAACTTGAATCGAATTGTCAATAAAATAGACATATTACCAGTAAAAGACCTTTTTGGCGACAGACAAGAATGATACCCATGTTTTAAAACTGGGGATCGAGCTTTAAGTTGCATACTTTTCTTCTTTACTTACCAAAAGTAAACGTCTGCCGCAATCCGTCGCAATATGTTCTTCTATACAGATAATCTCCAGAAAGCTCAGCACATATCCCGTGATTTCCGTCATTGTAAAAATACAAAGATCCAGCGCTTGTTTGTTTCAATTTTTGACTACTGAGTTTTTGGTTGTCTTTTGCAGTTGTTGATATTGCCACATATATCGCTAAACGATTCCTATATGATTTAGCTGTGGTAGAAAACAACGCCCCCCCCGACTCGATATGCCACAATATTTCTGTATTCTTGTAACGAAACTGTGCTTTATCATCCAAGCAATTGTCAGTCATTATAACCCAGGAAGGAAGTGCATGACGTGGTTCATTGTATATCAGACTCTCCTCTCTAGTTATACACTCTTTCGGCGAACTACTTTGCCGCATAAAAAAACTTTGACAATCTAAAAACAAAAAAGGTCAATCGCAGGAAAAATTCACTCTTTACTATTTCCACCCGCAAAATATAACCGCCTGCACATTTGCCCAGAAGAAATGCCTGCGTAGGAAAAAAAATTGCACGATAAGAAAATCATCGTCCCTTTTATATCTAATGTTGGAAATTAACATTAGATATTTTTTTATTATATACATTAGATATTTTTTATTATATACCACTTGTCAAAGAAAAACAAAACTACAAGGCAAACAACGAAGTATCTATTCATAAAGACATAATTTCAAATGGATTAACAGTCTAAAGGTCACACGTCCAGGTGCTCCGCACTTGATTAAAGTTGTTATTTCCCTTGGGATAACACGTTATCTCACTCCGCAGGGGGTCGCGCGGGCGACATCAAAATTTCGTCACTCTCGCGCGATTCGCTCTCGACCAATGAAACGCTGCGAACACCAAACTTTGACAAATGGTATATAATAATCCTGCTCAATTCCTTTACGCGTAGTGCATTTAGATTGACGGTCAGTAGTATGATCGCCTGAGGTCCTGTACCACAATAACTAATCTGATTTAGTATTTCAGTGTAACTATCCAATCAAATTACAGGGAAAAATGGCATAAAATTTTGTTATTTTGAATTTTAAAATGCCCGCAAAATTTCTTGATTGAATTTGTTTAATTTTTTGTATGATTTCAAAATGAATATTATAATAAAGTGGAAATTGCACCTCGTGTCGTGCAATTTTGGTGTGAAATCAAGCTTTGATTTTGTAATCACGCGTTTGATTTCACACCAAATTGCACTCCACTCTGTGCAATTACCATTATTTATTAACCTCAAACTATATAGCTATGTGATATATGCATTTAATATCGATAATATTTCGTTTAAATTGACATCTTACTACTACTAGGTTTGTTTGACAATCTACTGATATCTATACCAGTATTCGTAGCTTTTATCTTAAGCTTTTTGAATGATCAAAATGAAATAAATCATCGCTAAGTCTATAAAAACTTTAATAAAAGTTGGTTGGGCTAAAGCCAAGGAAAAGTCATTTTAGTGACCTGTCATCGATTTACTTTGATCCTTCACTTACAAAGCAATATTTTCGAAAAATGCCAACAAACACTTAACAAGACAATGTTGGATACATACAATCCTTTTCAATTTTAAACCTGCTGAAAGTCAATATTTAGTTGAGATCATTCTGGAAGGTTGATATTGACTTTTAGCCAAACACTTGCTTTTACCGCTGTTACTTTATAGCCATTGTAAGATGTTAAAATCAGGTAACAACAAACGGATTTATCGTGAACACAGATTTATTGCCGCCGTATACCATCAGACTTTATTGTGGAAACAGATCATTAGCCTGGACAAATGCATGTTCATGTAGTAATCTGTGTGTGTAAGAAACTGAACGCTGCCAAGCAAACGAATCAAGATGAACTATTAGAGAGCTTTAGATTTGACCACGGCTCCCGCAGCGGTCCCGCTACCGCCAAAAGATTCGTCATATGGCGTGATATTCGTGATATTATTACGTATACGCACGCTTTCCACTCGTATCCGTCGCTCATCTATGATCTATCTGACTACGGCATTTTCAAAAAACATCGCTATAGTAATTGCTACCCGAAAGCACTGAGGTAGTTTTTCTGGAGAAAAACATTTAGCTAGAGAACTATTTTTCATGAGCGTGACTTTAGTTATAGCTATGTGTATTATTCAAAATGGTAAAATGACTACGGCTAAGACCCCGTTTACACTAGAACGAAAGTTTCCGGATTTGTAAAATTATCCGGATTCATTGTTACACACATGTATCGGATTCGTCAGGTGTTTACACTACACTTTAGTTGTCTCTGTATGCGGATTTGTCCGTTTTCACTCACATTACTTGTTCTTAGAGAAATGTTTGGTCGTCATATTGAATTTCTTCGGATTCATCGTGCAAAGCGTTTACACAAGAAAATTTTCCGGATTCAAATGTTTCTGGATACGAAGTTTCCACAAACTTTCACGGATTCAAAGTTTCCGGATACGGCTTAAAACCGAGTACATTTTCTATCGGATTCGTTGCTGCGTGTGTAAACAGCAACATGAATCCGGTACTAAAACATTCCGCTTTCGTGATGAATCCGGAAACTTTCGCTCTAGTGTAAACGGGGTCTGAGAGACTATACGAGTATACGAGATTCGTCACCCTTGCGACAAATTCGGCGCTGTTTGCTTCTTATACGCATCAGACAAACTCCTAGTCTCAGTCTTTTAACAATATATATAGTGCTGCATGCATCCCATGCACGTGGAGAAGATTAACAAGTTGTTGAAACTTGATAACCATGCTCGAGATGTTTAGCACAACATTCAGTCTAGTTTTTATCAAATAACAAAAACAGGAACATCAACAGCTAGTATACGTTTCTATCTGTTCATTCACTAAAATCACCATGGTTTCAGCGAATTCTCCAGCTAGATGCCTCAGTCTGTGGTCTAGTCTGGGCCGATGATAAATTAAAATATTAAATATCAAGTCAATTCAGAGAAATGAACTACGCACTTCTATGGAAATCATATCAATACGCTATACTGATTAGTTTAAATATAATGGCGATGTTTAAAATATTGACGTTAAGTATAATCACTGTCTTAATAAAGAACCCTCATGCACAAAGCACTCCAATGGCCAAAGGTTGAAGCCAATATGCAGTCTAGCTAATAGCAACTTTGTCGGTAAAACTGAAACAATTCCCGCTGACGCTGTGTGTAACTTTTAATTGCAAAGCATCCTAACAATGACAGCATGCAACAATGTCTACGAGCTTGGAACAGTATATACTTCATTATACAAAGTATCTGGATTCGCGCCAACATAGTCACTTTTAAAGTACCATATTCAATGTATAAATTTATATAACTATATAGTGTATCCCCACAGATTAAGGAGATTATAGGCTATGAATGCGTAGGAAATTCACGTACTTTCAAAATGACGTTTGTAAGATTTTATTAACGGTCAGCAACTTCGCACATATTCTTATCGTACATGTAATTCTGCCTTACTGAGCCTCTCGCATGCATGCTGATGATAATAAATATATTATCACTTTGCCGCAAGTTCCGTTAATCCATTGTTGTATGTATATTCAACTAACCATTTCAAACCCGAAGTTTCGAATTGAAACGGCAGGAATGCATAGACAAATATTAGTTATCAACAAACAAATAAATAAGCAATTAACTTTGCTAAGAACTAGAGCAAATGTAGTCATTTTGTAGGATTTGTTTTAAAGCCTCCTCAAAGCGATAGCTACATCCAATTGCTTATTTCACAGATTACTATATCTACAGAACACCACGAAACTTTACCTTCAACTGCCATCAGAGACAAGCCAAAGACGATTAACCATCGTTGAATTATCCGGCAAGACATCTTGCCGTTGGTTGAAGTGGATTTGCCAAATTGATATCGTTATAAAGCAAAGACGAAAGCTTATATCCACGAGGGCTTGTCAGACGTCCGCATTTCAGTGACCAAACTCATAAAAACAGGAAATGAAATTGGAATATGCAAATGAAACTCTCAAAGGTCATGCGAACTACAAACTCAATCAACTTCCTGAAGGAGGGGTTTCGTTGTAACGTCGATCGTAGTCAGTTCCTGGTATATGATATCTCCAGATATGGTTCGACTCGACCAACACCAGTTTTAACCAAGCATGCATATGGCTTGAAAATGCGGGTGCTGCTCCTGGTATGCCTTGAATGCCTGACTCGTGTCACAGGTAATGCAGTAAACTGTATATCAATCCTACGGCAGATAGAGTGCATAAAAAACACGTTAAAGTTCCCTCAACATGCTGGGTGTCTCTAAAAAACAGAAAGCAGTGAAATGGCTGATGAGAATTGAACGCCGTTATAGAATTTGAATGCGAAAGCACTCTGTTGGGCCCAACGAGTGAGTGTAGTGAAAATACTATGTATATGAATTATTAACATACACATTTTTATGCAGGATGAACCATGAGATATGTTTGTACCCAAAGATGATATTTACTTATTTAACATTTTATAAGTTCGCTACATCAAATTCTCATCAGCAAAAATACAATTTATATTAATATGAAGTAAGTAGCGAATTATCATTTTCAGTCGCACAAACATATCTCTGATTGTTCATCGCGCATAAAAATGCTTACGTTAAACATTTCTACATACGTGAGCCTCTTATTTTCCGGCTAATGACAATGATTTTTGAATCTTAAGTTTCAAAAATGTGAACACGATATGAGTCAATATTATAACATCATGAAAGCCCTCTAGGAAAACCTCTACTTCTTTCATATTAATAAATCACGCGTAAGATTAAATATCTCGTGACTCGTGGGAGTGAAACTGTCTCTGAAAGCATGACTATAATATAGTATTGGTTTGAAGGATATTTTGATCTTGACCCAGGCACGTCAGCCTGTATGAGTGGCATATTTTCCACTTCGAAAATCACATTTCTAAAAATGGTCGTGACTCATGAAATATACCTATTTGTATCAGAGAAAAATTTCAAATCTTATTGATATTATCTGTCATATTTCGTATTATCATTGCAGCACTTGAGGAATATATCGTGCATATCTATAGTCTAACAGTTTTGTTGTTGTTACCGGCAGTATATTTGCCAAAATGTGATACAAGTCATTCGCCATATCTTTTTCAGTATCAGAATTGAGCCTCTTCGCCAGGGGGCGGAAATCCTTGGGCCTTGGGGGACGGAAGGGACATGCCCCCTCACCCTCACTTTTTTTTCCACAATAAAACGTTCTGTTAAGAAAACTATTCCTACAACTTGATCCATCCAGTTCACGCTTTTCAAGACAGATTTGCACCCTTTCTCTTTACATTGCACGTTTTAAACAATTATACAACTTCAAATGTTTTTGTAAGCTTTCCTCAACCGACTGCATTATATGATTAGTACTGAATTAACTATACATTGTATCTATTGAAATTCGTCTGAAACTACCCTTCGTTCATGACCGTCCAAAAATCGATCACCATTTCAAATCTTCATTAGAAGGAAGGATTTTGACATTCCATTGATTGACCACCCTCCTTACTGATATGATACCGAACATCATCGCTGGTTGAGGGTTGCAATGCCTGGTAAACGTTGGCTGGTTCTTTGTTGTCTTTCAACGACATGTAATCCGATGATTCTTGTCCTTTGTCTGCTCCACGTACACCCTCATTTCGCTCAATTTCATCTATAACATCATCTGTAGTCTCGTATACTCCCTCATCATTTATGGGCGTATCTGGTTCTTGACCATACTTTGCCCCTTTGCGGGTTTCCGGACCTGAGTTTTAGAATCGAGCATACAAAATGAAGCCCATCAAATGTTGGTTTTTGATACACTCGGAGTTGGTCTAAAAAACTCAATACCTACCGAAATCCGACATCATGGTCGTTTCATGGCCTTGGTTCGCTTTTCTTTTGTTGTTTTGAATCAGACGACGTTGATAAACAATAACACCCAGTGAAACAAGAAAACATAAAGCCAAAATAACCAGCGGTATGAGAAGCTCAACACGTGTTTCATTCTCAGTGGAATTTTGAGATTTTTTCCTCTTCAAGCCATCTACAAAACAAGATCAATTTGCCATGGATCTGCATGTGTTGAATATCATTGGTAAAGTCGTGCATTGAACACATTCGAAATGGCTGAGGGTAAATCAGTTAAGATTTTGATTTTTGGCACTTCGCCGGTGTGGGTGATTTCTGAAGGGCTTAAAGTTCTTAAATTCGAGTGCAAATCATACACTTACATCTAAAATTCAAGACAGAAGTTGAGAAAAATGTATCCACTATCGAATTCCTGCCGAAGAACTGATAGCTTGAAATTGAACCGCATCATAATCATTCGATCATGCATATACTCGAAAGTGCTAAATTTATAAACAATATAGATATTCACCTGCGGTTTTCCCCATAGTTTTAAAACTGCTGCTCCAGTCTGTTGAGTAATACAAATCCTATCCAAAAAATTGTAACACATGATTTATCATAATTTTGAAAACAAGTCATGCAAATAATCTCAATGACAATAATTTTGATCTATATATGATCAAATAGAAAATCTCCAATCTTTAACTCATTTACCTTATTTTCAAAATATCTCAGAAACACGATATAACTTGAATTGGTTCTCAAAGGTTGGTTGACGTATTTCTCTGTTTTGGAATTATATTCTTTGCCATCGCCAATCACGAACAGCAAAGGAAGATCCTCAGTCTTTAAATAAGCAGCGACATAAAGATCTTGAGTGTTTTCCCGATGAGGCCCGAGTTTTCTCATTTCGATATTTTTGCTTGATGTTAAACTACTGGTGCCTTTTTTAACGATAACCATTACTTCTCTAAATATTAAAGAAAATATATATTATTAATATTTATAATATATATTAAAATATCCTATATTCTTCTTTATCACCATGCAAGCAAAAGAAAGCGATACAATTATCGATACAATTATCATAACGCATAAAAATAAAGGCAGCATGTTTTCAATGAAGTTTAAAAGTACGTCAGAAACTGATAAAAACGCTTTACTTAAAATGAAGATAGACAATCTTTATACATACCGTATATTCGACGCTGGTTTGGATATGGTTAACTTAAGATCTAAGTGGGACATCACAACAAAACTCACAGGCTCTGTATAAATACAATAGAAAGGAGCATTTTACATCGCCGACAAGACTAGTGAAAACAATATTATAATGTTTGTTCTTCAACAGTGCTTTTCTTATATTTCTCGAAAGTTCTCGAGAGTTTTTGTCTTCACCTGCATTGGTCATTTCGTTGATTTCCAGGCTCTTGTTTCCATAACCAACTCTGGTACCAGCTGAGACTGTAACAAAGTATTTGGTTAATGGTTGAAGATTAGGGATTGTGTACAACAGGTCCGACAAACTTTTCATGTTCAAGCATTTCGGCCGTTTATCTTTTTCTTTCGTAGAATAGCAAATCTGGTAACCCGTCAGTTCGCCATTCCAAAAGATTTTTTTAGGAGCTTTCCAAGAAATTTGAAGTGAATTCTCACTACGGGATTGATTTGTAACATTTCGTGGAGGTCCGCTTGGAACTATGATTGTAAAGAATAGAAATAGAGTTTGCATGAGTCCTGATTTAGATTAAGAAATTAAATCTTTTATTTGGTATAAAATGCCACATACATACCAGCTTCTGTGGTCTTGAAGTGTTGGTAAACTATTGGCTGATTGTTCATTGAAACACCATGCTGTGCCTTTATCCCAACAACATAATTGGTGTAGGGCTTGAGGTCTCGAAGAATGTATTGATTTGCATAATATGCGCGCGATATTCTACTGATTTCTGTACCGTTTAGGTAAATGACAAAATGTGTGATGAAAGTGGATGTCACAGTTGATGGTATTCTCCATGAGAGATGAACAGAGGAATTTGATGGTTTAGCAACAATATTTTGCACAGAAGCCAGAGATTGCACTGAAAAACATAAAGTTTATAAAATTTTAAATCATAAATAAAATTTAAAATTTAAAATCATAAATTTTATACTTTTATAATAAAACAACTCATTTCCAAAGCAAATTAGAGCAACGAGTATAGCCGCCACAATAAAGTTTTATCTTCTCCACCAAGTTCTATTCTGAGAAAAAATTATGTGTTTCCAGTGAACTCTATCTTTAAAAATCTCAATTATAAAGTATATTATAAAGACTTGGTTAGGTAAGGTATAGCATATAAAGTTATTCCATACAGGGCAACATTGCTACAGAAGAGTGTGTATTAACTATATTTTCAAACTGTCGAGTTTGCTCAGCTGCTGGACGAAGATTCCTATATTTTACCTATTAGTTATTTATATTTCTCATGGACAGATAAAAAAGTTTACACACCTGCAATTCAGTTATTCATGCAGACATCTCTATATATCTTAATTGTTTACAAATACAGTGGTTTCCAAAATTCGGACACCCCTATATATCTTTAGGGGTAGTTTCCGAAGTTCGGATACTATATTTTGCTTACAGATTATAGGGGGTTCCGAAATTCGGACACCCAATGTCGTACCTCGCAAAACGCTGACTCGATCGGGTTTTTTCTGAAAAGGATGTCTAATCATGTCCGCCGAAAAAAACAATTTTTAAGAAAAAATTCTAAATCCTCAGTTTTGGCAAATCTTTTATATTAAGCAGATTTAATCCCATATTTATAGTAATATGGACTACAGTACCTATTATTATTATCTAACCATTGAAAAGCTTACCTGTGGGTTTTGAAGTCTTAACACTTTTGCTCCAAGCCGTCGAATAGTATTCATTGTACATGTTATAGTCCTGAATGTCATATTCAAGAGAAATAAACTATCAATCCAATATACAGAGAAAATTCAATACCGAGAAAAATATAAAGAAACAACTGTGATTGCTTTTCCACCAAACGTACCTCGTTTTCAAAAAATCTTAGAAACGCGACATATCTTGTATTGTTTCTTAACGGTTGGTTCAAATATTTTTCTGTTTTAGAATTATATTCTTTGCCATCGCCGATTACAAACATCATGGGTAGAACATCAGCTTTCAAATAGGCAGTGATATAAGGTTTGTCATAGCGTGTAGACCCGTAAGATCTGAGAGAGTTGGTTTTGATGTTTTCAACCGGTGTCGTTTCTCCTGAGTCAATTTTTACAATGATGATTACGCTTCTACATGAAAGAGAGGACGACTAGAATTGTTAAACTCGATTTTAGTTTCAAAATCAAACTTTTAAGGACTGTTTAGATTATCCCGCTTTTAGCCGAGATTCAGCCGGACGCGCAGAATTATTTATTGGTATTGAAATGAATATAATTTTATAACATGATCCTGGCATGCAGTTGTGTAGCTCATCGCGACAATAACATGTGCTTGCTTTGTTTCATAACGACTTATTTCAATACCTTAAAATCATCTCACGCTTCGTGACCCGGTGTTACAGCGGATAGTGTCCCCCCGCGGATAGTGTCCCCCGGCTAGCGGATAGTGTCCCCTATAGCTTTAATTACTTTACCGCGGATAGTGTCCCCCACGTGAAAGTCCAAAAGCAGCTCAGATATCCTAAGTGCGTGTAAACTGACTTACTTCATATAATCTTCTTGTTTCTCAATGTTTATCCTTAGAGTTGAGGAGGTATCTTCGAGAAGTTTAACAGGCCCTATAAAATGTTAAATGATATATTAGGTCTATTTAATATATAGATACGCAACATTGCTACGGGAGAGCGTGTGTAACTAGGTTTTCAAACTGACGGACCTTGCATGCATACCCATGCAGCAAGTGCTTGAAGATTCCTATCTTTTACCTATCAGAGGTCAGTCGTATAAAACTCTAAACTACATATTTTGGGCAGTTTAATCAAAGTTACAGTGACTCTAGACTATCCTGAATGGCCATGAAGTTCCGTCACTGTCTCACTGAGTATAATAGTTGAAACTTGCTACTATTGTTTTTTACAACCATGCAGCCCAAGAGCGCGATTGTGATTACGGATCAGATTACTTTAACTATCAGTTGCCTGAGAACACTCTTAACTGCTTCGAATTCCAGTGAAAAATTTGGTCTTTTACCTCCATCTGTTATTCCACTGACTGTTGTACTTTTTGGGCCAACACCGCCAACTGTAGCAGCCGAGACTGTCACGAAGTACTTAGTAGAAGATTGAAGTCTATTTATAGTATACGTATATGACCATGCCGTGGTGGCGGATGACGTGACGGAAATGCATGTCAGACTATTTTTATTTTCATGAATATAATGGCAAACTTTAAATCCAGTCAGCTTCTCAGCATTCCATGTTCTTTTATGAGGAGCCGTCCAGGTTATATTCAATGAGGTTTGACTGCGGGCTGCGAGTTTAACATTATAAGGGCGTCCACTGGGAGCTGAAACAGAGATATCAATATAGGCCTGGTGTCACGCAAAGTTTGATTGGTAAATTTCTAAGACATCATTAAGAGAAAGGTCTATTATTACATGCCGTAAACTCAGCAAGGAATTATTTACGTATATGTTCAGTATTTTTAAACTTAGGATTAAAGTTAGGTTTAGGGTAAAACCTACCCTACCCCCCCCCTTCCCTCGCCACGCCACGCACGCGACACCCCTGCACGCAGACTCTATAATCAAAGTTCCGCAATTTATAAAATTTGCTACTGGCTTTGAGCGTGCAAAACATATACAAAATATATATCACCCCCAAACTCGTGTTCGGTTTCTTTAAATCTAAACAATAACGAAATAAATAAAAAAAATCTTTTTTCGAATTGTTGTATTCTGCTATTTTTATAATTACCTGCTTCTTTTGTCCTAAATCTTTTGTATACTGCTCTGCTTCTCTGACGATAATCGTCTACGGCTTCAATTCCAACTTGATAGACAGTATATGGCTGAAGATTACTGATATTATACTCATTTCCTCGTGGAACGGATAAGAGATACCTTCGAATTCCGTGCAAATATATTTTGAGATTTTTTATATAACTTGAGCTGGAGGAAGTTGGTAATTTCCAAGTCACTAGTGCTGAATTCTTGGAAGGATTAATTCGAACATCGAACACGGAACCTGGACGTTGAACTAAATTCGGATGAAAAAGAACACTTCGGGTGTAATTCTATAATTTCCACTGCACATCTGATATATTTTTAAATCCTTTATTAAACTCTTTGTGATAGAATACGAGAGTAGCTTCATCAAAACAAAGCACAGAAATATATATACTTACCCACTCCGCACATTTCTATTCTAAGACAGAAATCTGTGTCATCAGTTGATATTTTTACGAATCTCACATTATAAATATCAACGTCGGTAGTCGATGCTTGGTAACCATTCGTGTTTCCTAAAATCTTACATAAAAATTGAATATAAAATGATAAAATGCTGATAAAACAAGAAACAATGTTTACAGTTTGGGCGGCGCCATGTGAAGTGAAAACCTGCAATAAACGAGTTGCGGAAAAAAGAATTTTGACTCTGATATTATATTATCATCGTTGTATTGCTTTAACTACCTGTACTGCACGACTGCTATCACCCAAACTCTCATCATGACTGTATTTCAATGAATATGATCCACTCCACTTTGTCTGATCTTTATCACCCATGACCATAACTCGTGTTATGTGATATTCTTTCGGAAGGTCGATGGTTAGATATGAGCCAGGCGTCGAAGAACACCAACCACCTTTAGTAAACCTTGCTTTGTGAAAACTATTACCTCCATTGCCACCAAATATGTTATCAGGAAAACTACTGTTGTCGTTTAGCAACTGATTGTCACAAATCTTACCTGCAGATAAATAAATGATAAGAATCAATAATATGCTTCAATAACCGAAGGGTAGCAAAGAGCGTAGTCAGGGAGAAAATAGGGTGCATGGATATAACCCTCGAGAAGTAAGTGTGGAGCCAGTGGAGAGCTTTAGACCTCAAAAAGAGATGAAGATGTCGTCAAATTATTGCTCCTCCGCTCAAAATGCAAACTTATATTATCACGCAAATTTGAGAAGTGTATTCTGCTGATGCAAAGTTAATTATATTAATCACGGATATCGAGATGACCCTGGGTACGTTCGCATATGACTGGAAAATCTGAATAATATTTTTCGAAATTGTGTGCCGGATTATGGCAATAATTACAATAGCAAAAAACCACGAGTAGTTTTTTAGGCAGGTATCTTGGGTGTAATAAAACATGTCAATCCCAACAATTGGGTATACTCACATTCAACATATGGTATTTTATCAGCTGAGGTGGCTGTTTTTGGTTGAAGATAAACACAACATGATGTTCCTCCGGACGTAATGTTATAACAAACCAAGTCACCAGCTACGATACTCTCTTTATCAGAAGCATTCCTAAAACTAATTCCATTTGTGAGACGGTCTTGAAATCCTAAATGTTGACATATCCACCTCTCACTGTTTTCATCCAAATTTTCTTCAGATACTTCCACCCATGTTTTTTCGTATATGTAGAGGTAGCCTCTGTAGCCGCTTGATAATCTAATTTGAAGTCCTGAAACTAGAGGAAAAATTACAGAATTTCGGAATGTGTTTTGGCGCGAAATATACTAGTATTTGAAAAAGTGTATGCGACCGTATTTATCTACGTCACAGTTTTGTCTCCCAAGAGTTGTGGTGCACAGCTTCGGCCAATTTTCCGTTGCGCGATTCGATTTCGCTCGCATGATACGGCAATTCCTCCAAGAGAAACAAATAAACCGTTCTTTTGATGCTGTTTGATTAAGTTTAGATTTCATTGGGGTAAGAATATATTTGATACATGTAGATTTTTGTCCTATTTTAATAATATCGCTACTATTTCGCCGTTTAACAAGATGTGGTCGTTTACGGGCGCGTTGACACGTCGCAGTTAATTTGCACAGGATTGAAGATTTAATATAAGCACGAATTCCAAAGTGTATGACAAAGTGAACGTATCATGCGGTTTTTCTACATTTTTGAACAATTAAACTTCTATACTTTTTAAAGTACGATGTGCTTCTGATTGTCGCGATCGAACAACATTTAGGTTCGCAAGGCAAAGCTAAATGAATATGAACTGTATTGTTTTTGTTCAGAAGCTTTATATTGAAGACTGGCAAGTGCGCGCCACGCCGGAGTTAACGCCGGAACAGGCGTCTTGTTAATATTTAATTCTGCAACTAGAAGTAAAAAACTCTAGGAATAGTTGATTTATTCACAGGTATAATAAGTAAATCAGATGATAGTGAAGTTGTGTACTTTACCTGTTGTTATGGGGTTTGTATAGTTATCCACACAAGTGTATTCGGTATAAAGTTCTTTCCTTGTGTTAGAACAGAGGTTTGGTAATAGTAAATTATTGTCAACATTCAGTTCACAAGATTTCTTTCCACCACAAAGAGATTTCAACCTACAACTTGTTACTGCAGTGCATTGTGCATCACTGTAGGCACTGCTGTTAAATCTACCGCTATTGTTGAAATTGCCATAATAAGCTTTGTGGATCACCATACGTTGTATTGGAGAACAATTAACATCTTTCATTTTGTCGCCGAACTGCGTCACTGAACCTGAAATCGAGTTTCACAGAAAAATACAAATAATTTTTCGTGCTGCATGTTTCTTGATCACATAAACTGCATGAATCGAATTACCAATGACTAAACATAACAGTAATTTCCTTCATCTTGCAAAGGCAATGTTAATTACATGACATATCAATACCCTCATATAAACTCGGAAGCTACAGGTTTATAATTAGTTACTTACCAAATGTAAATTTCTGGCTTGATCTGTCGCAATATGTTCTTCTATACACATAATCTCTATAAGGCTCACCACATCTCCGGTCATTGTAGAAATATAAAGATCCAGCGTCTGTTTGTTTAAAATTTTGTCTACTTTTGATCTGAGTGTTCTTTGCTACTGGTGATATTGCTACATATATCGAAAAAAGATTCCTATACGTGCTAGACGTAGCAGAATTCAACGCTCCCCCAGATTCGATATGCCACAATATTTCTGTATCGTTGTAACGAAACTGTGCTTTATCATCCAAGCAGTTGTCTTTCAATATAACCCAGTAAGGAAGTGCATGACTAGGGTCATTGTATATCAGACCATTCCTTCTTGTTATACACTTTCTAGGCGCACTACTTTGCCGCATAAAAAAACCTCGACAATCTAAAAGTGAGAAATATGGTAAGAAAGACGCACATCACATGCCGATTATATTGAAATGATAAACTTTGAGATAATCATTTATATATTTACTAGATTATTAATGACTTACAGATAAGTCTGCATTTGTCTGCATTAAATCCGCTCTCTACCACGCAAACTTTATTATGCACAAAATTAGATTAATATTAATCCAAGAATGCAACCTATACTAGTAAGAAAGTTTAAAAACTACAGTCCTTGAACTTGCAGAATTATTTGGTTGCGTTATTTTAAGTGAAATCAGTTGATCAAGACAATGGAAGCAACTGCAATTGAAAAATGTAATACGAAATCGAGATTCTAACGCTTCGATCATCCTGTCGGGCATGTCTATATATCCGAGCCAGCAGCAAAAACAAAAACCAGTCGTGCCCAAAACGACTGCATGATTTTGCCAACAGAATACCAGGAAGTCCAGTGAAATCCCGTTCAATTCTTCTAGATTGTCATGATGATGACATATTGGTTGTTCTCAGTGCAATTGACCGTTTCAGCTTGTATATATAGCAAATTAACCTATTTCAAATCACATGGTCAGAAATGGTTTTATTGGCTATTACATGCAAGCTGGAATGGTCTATTGTTCTACCGTTTTGACACTTGCTTTTTCATCTTACACGTTTTTTTTCATCCTATGTATAATGCCTGCAAAGGATTGTGGGTAAATCAGCATGCTGCTTTGCTCTGCTCCAGAATTTACCATGCAGGAATACCTCAAATGTTATGATCAGTTTTTGATATTTGGAGAAGGATAAAAGTTATCCGTCAGTGAAAATCGAAACCACATGTATGGCTGTTTGCCATTATCGCTGCACGGCCCTCGCGTACATTGCAAAACGTCTTCAAAAGATTTGTTACCTTGATTGAGATGTTGAGCAACCTAAATAACTACCAAACCTAGTTTTCAGTCATTGAGGATTTTGAAAAACTCGGTCTTGTGTGATGTCTGAAGAGTGGGAGATGTTTAAAGCAACAAAATGCGAAACGTCCCTTCGAAAGAAAAGTTTATACATCGCTATTGGAAAGCCAACTAGATATTACTACAGTACATTACGATTTTGTAATTAGAATGCTCGTGTAGAAGAAGCAGGGTATCATATTATCGACCTTGGCTATCAGTTTAAAGGTTGCATAACTAACAGTTTGAATTTAACGTCCTTGATGAAAAGAAAGTTGGTCGGGATGGAATTTTATGCATCTAATGAAATTTTTCGCTTAATTTTTTGGAATTGCATGTGGGAAGTCTCCGAAGCGAATCCACATAAAGGATAAAAATTGAAAAGCGAAAAACTTGCCTCATGCTGGAAAACCGCCTTGAATTAAGCCGCTTCAATAAAAGTGGATTCATTTTGCAGGATTTTCAACGAGATAGTAAAATATGTTACCTTCAAACGCCAATAGCGACATACCACAGAAGATTAACCATGTATAAAATAGCAAAGACATCTAGTCGCTGAGTCTTTATTTAGCACATCAATATCGTTATGCGAGGAGTGAAGATGAAAGTTTGCGAGTGACTCTCAAGTGTCGTGTTGGACCGAATAAACTCGGCGAAAACAGGAAATGAGGTGACATGTTAATGAAATATCAACAGCTTCCATTTCATAAAATTCGGATTTCGGTGAAAATTTCTAAACCAGCATGAATAATGTCTTGTTACATCTTCCAAATATAAATTCTGCTAGGATCTGGTATGGACCCAAAAATCATTACGTTTAGCTACAATTCTGATTGTAAACTGAAAAAGATGGTCCATCACAGGTTATGAACGCATGCATTGACAGCTATTGCATGTTAACCCAAACAAGACTGTTCAATTCGCTCATGCAATTTATTCATTCGTGCATTTGGCTTATGAAAAGGTTTCATTTCCTGGCTGAAATCAATGCTTCTAAAAAATGTTTTGTTTCGTCACATTTCGGCTGGTTTTCTAGATTTAGTTCATGTATTATACAGACGGATATAAGTAAAAAAATGGCTTTGTCCACCTTATCCTTATAACATTATCATTCTATGATAAATTAAACATATTCACTAAAGTCTGTTTTAAACTCTCCTCCCTCTTAATTAAGATGACTTTGAATATCTTTCATGCCGTAGTGTTGCAATGCCTGGTAAACGTTTGCTGGTTTTTTGTTTTCTTTCAACGACATGTAATCCGATGATTCTTGTCCTTTGTTTGCTCCACGTACACCCTCATTTCGCTCAATTTCGTCAATAACATCATCTGTAGTAAAATATAATACTTTATGTATCTACGTCAGGCTTCTCATCTCAAACGCCCTCTGAGGTCGTTTTTATTAAAAGAATGTAAGGAAAATATAAAGCTTGTAGATAACTCGATACTTCAAATATTTTTTTTTAATCTTCTAAGTGTAACTGCTTACGATTAAGATCGCTCCTCGTACTTGGCGTAGAGTTGTGACGGTTGATAGGGGCTGGGTGTTTCTCGGTTGTCGTTTAAAGCGGCATAGCCCAAAACGTCATCATAATCCTCCTCCGTTTGATCTGGGTTACTTGTATCTGATGGTAATAGCGATTGGTAATATGTGTTCTCTGGCTCTCTGGATTCTTTCAAAGTCATGTAATCCGATGATGTTGGTGCTGCAGAAATTCTTTGTGTTAATTCAATCTCATTACCATTGAAAACACGGTCCACAGGCTCATAATAACCAGGCCCTGTCGGACTCAAATTATCTGGAGCAGCTTGTGTGATGTTCATCGATACCGGATTTTCAAACAAACCTGTTAAATTACGGAACTTGGTTAGTATTTTAAAATGAAACTATATAGTTTACTTCTGTAGCTTGTACATTGTGCGAAGTCTTACCAGTTTGTCTTGTTTCGTCAAGGTTTGTTTGGCTGTTTAAAAATGCAAATTATTCTTTTAAGAAAACTCTACCTTTACGACCTTACGGGCTGTTAATAGCAATGACATCAAGTCATTTGTGGAGGAAAATAAATGAAACACAAATTATTTTTGCCTGCCGTGCACGTCTCATCTAACGGCAGATGAAACACGAGAATGCACTACACTGCACTTCCTGTGCAACTTATGGAACTTGGTATTTTACGTCAAAGAATTACCTTCTTCTGAAAAACAAAACAGCAATAATCACGGCAGCAACGATAGCAATCGCGGCAACTGTTCCACCCACGACTATCCCTATACTACCCCCCCTACCACCACCACTGTCATCAGTTTCCTCACCCTCGCCGCCATCACCAGTGCCTATAAAAAGTTCTTGAATGTGAAAAATGCTCTCGAGAAACTGCTTTCTCCACAATGAGTAAATCCAGACAGAGTTTTAAAAGTCAAAGCCTGAATCTGGGGCCGGTTTTTCGAAAGGCGTTTAGCTTAAACGAGGGATAAGCCAAAGTTTAAAAATACTCCCATACATCTTGTGAATGACTGAACCTGCATCTTATGCATTAAATATGTACTTCCATTGACAATTAAACTATTTACATCGACATATTTCAGCTCAGTTGTTCAATAAATAGATAATTTCGTTTTCCATTTTGAACTAATCCACCGTTTAAGCTCGACGCCTTTCGAACAACCAACCCCTGGGCGATATATGGCGTACAGATTGGTTCCCTAAAACTAACGAAACTCGTGTAAGATTAGGCTTTCCGCGTTTGACGTCTTATGAGAAAGGTCTATATATTACTGCATGCCGTAAAATTAACAAGCAAAGATTTACGCACAGTTTCAGTGTTGTTGAACTTGGGATTAAATTAGGTTTAGGATAATATTTGCAGTGTTTGGAATTGAATTTTTTGAATTCACTTGAGTTAGACGCTGTATATTTTTGACCAATAAAAAAGCATCGTTTATGTTTTAAGCCCCGCATGTAGACAAATGCCGGTAACTGAACTAATTAAATGGACAAGCGCGAGTCATTCGCATCAAAGCTCATCAATTTTGAAGTGGTCAACTTTTATTGCACTTTTATTGCCTAAATAAAAACTATTTCATTTTTGAATTGTTGTATTCTGCTATGTTTATAATTACCTGCTTCTTTTGTCCTAAATATTTTGTGTAATGCTTTGCTTCTCTGACGGTAATTGTCTACGGCTTCGATTCCAACTTCATATAAAGTATATGGCTGAAGATTAGTGATATTATACTCATTTCCTCGTGGAACAGATACGCGATAACTTCTGTCCAAATATATGTTGAGATTTTTTATATAACTTGAGCTGGAGGAAGTTGGTAATTTCCAAGTCACTAGTGCTGAATTCTTGGAAGGATTAATTCGAACATCGTACACGGAACCTGGACGTTGAACTAAATTCGGATGAAAAAGACCACTCAGGATACAATTCTATATTTTCACTCACTGTTTCAAAATTTTCACTGCACATCTTTAAATACGAAAGTGGCTACATCAAAAATAGTTCCGACATGAACATATGAACTCACCCACTCCACAGAGTTCTATTTTAAGACAAAAGTCTGTGTTTCCAGTTGATTGTATCTTAATATGTCTCACATTATAAATATCAACGTCCGTAGTCGATGCTTGGTAACCGTTCTGGTTTCCTTCGATCTTTTGTAAAAATTGAATAAAAAATGATAACATTCTGTTAAAGTATGACGATAAACACGAAACAATTATGTTTGCAGTTTGGGCGCCATGCATATCATGTGAAATTAAAAACCTGCAATAAACGAGTTGCGGGAAAAAGAACTTTAACATTCCACCTGCAATGCACGACTGCCATTTACCAAACTTTTATCATGACTGTATTTCAGTGAATATGATCCACTCCACTTTGTCTGATCTTTATCACCCATGACTACAACCCGTGTTATGTGATATTCTTTTTGAAGGTCGATGGTGAGATATGAGCCAGAAGTCGAGGAACACCAGCCACCTTTAGTAAACCTTGCTTCGTGAAAACTATTACCTCCATTGCCACCAAATATGTTATCAGGAAAATTACTCTCGTCGTTTAGTAGCTGATTGTCACAAATCTTACCTGCAGATAAATAAATGATAAGAATCAATAATATGCTTCAATAACCAAAGGGTAGCAAAGGGCTTTGTCTAAGAGAGAAAATAGGGTGCATGGATGTAACTCTCGAGAAGTAAATGTGGAGCCAGTGGAGGGCCTTAGCTTAGCCCTCAAAAAGATATGAAGATCTTGTTAAATTATTGCTCTTCCGTTCAAAATGCAAATTTTTATTATCACGCAAATTTGAGCAGTGAATTCTGCTGATGCAAAGTTAAATATTATAATAACGGATATCGAGTTGCATATGACTGGAAAATATAAATAATATTTTTCCAAATTGCGTGCCGGATTATGCAATAATTACAATAGCAAGTAACCATGGGTAGATTTTGGGGCATGAATCTTGGGTGTTATAAAACAGGTCAGTCCCAGCAATTGGAAATACTCACATATGACGAATGGTATTTTATCAGCTGAGGTCGCTGTTTTAGGTTGAAGATAAACACAACATGATGCTCCTCCGGACGTAGCGTTATAACAAACCAAGTCACCAGCTACGATACTCTCTTTATCACGAGCTCTTGTAAAACCAATTCTATTGTTGAGACGGTCTTGAAATCCCAAATGTTGGCATAACCACCTCTCTCTTTTTTCATCCAAATTTTCTTCAGATACTCTCAACCATGTTTTTTCGTATATGTAGAGGTAGCCTCTGTAGCCGCTTGATAATCTAATTTGATTTCCTGAAACTAGACGAATAAATTACAGAATTTATTTATTATGTCACATGCGGAAAACAAATCAGTTTTTTTGGAGAATTTGACCGTTAAACTTGAGTTAATCGAACGTTAACAATAATATTATAACCTCGAATATTAACAGCAAGCGGAAGGATTATATATTGATTTATCAAAATTAATTATAAAATCCAAAAAAACTTTTTCACGAGATAAGTTGTAAGAGCCAGTAGCATTATCCGACATGGGGGGAATGATTGATGGCCCATTCCTTATCAAACTAAATGCTGGTCTACGAAAATTTGTCGGTTCTGAGCTGGAAAATGTTGTAAAATATATAGGAACGTTTGGTTGCAAAATGTTGAAAAATATGAAATATAACCGTGCGATGTTAGCAAATTAAAAAATATCTTAGTTGGATGAGCTATAATATAATTTTAAAAAATCAACTTTCATTAATATTAAATTCTGCAACTATATAGAAGTAAAAAATCCCAGTAATAGTTTTGATTTATTCATAGGTATAATAAGTAAATCAGATGATAGTGAAGTTGTGCACTTTACCTGTTGTTGTTATGGGGCTTGTATAGTTATCCACACAAGTGTACTCGGTATAAAGCTCTTTCCTTGTGTTAGAACAGAGGTTTGGTAATAGTAAATTATTGTCAACGGTCAGTTCACAAGATCTCTTTCCACCACAACGAGATTTCAACCTACAACTTGTCACTGCAGTGCATTGTGCATCACTGCGGGCTCTGCTGTTAAATGTACCGCTATTATTGAAGTTGCCATAAAGAGCTTTGTGGATCACCATACGTTGTTTTGGAGAACAATTAACATCTTTCATTTTGTCGCCGAACTGTGTCACTGAACCTGAAATCGAGTTTCACAGAAAAATACAAATAATTTTTCGTGCTGCATGTTTCTTGATCACACAAACTGCATGAATCGAATTACCAATGACTAAACATAACAGTAATTTCCGTCATCTTGCAAAGACAATGTTAATTACATGACATATTAATACCTTCATATAAACTCGGAAGCTACAGGTTTATAATTAGTTACTTACCAAATGTAAATTTCTGGCTTGATCTATCGCAATATGTTCTTCTATACACATAATCTCCAGAAGGCTCACCACATCTCCGGTCGTTGTAGAAATATAAAGATCCAGCGTCTGTTTGTTTAAAATTTTGTCTACTTTTGATCTGATTGTTCTTTGCTGTTGTTGATATTGCTACAAATATCGAAAAAAGATTCCTATATGTGCTAGATGTAGCAGAATTCAACGCTCCTCCCGACTCGATATGCCACAATATTTCTGTATCGTTGTAACGAAACTGTGCTTTATCATCCAAGCAATTGCCTTTCAATATAACCCAGTAAGGAAGTGCATGACTAGGGTCATTGTATATCAGACCATTCCTTCTAGTTATACACTTTCTCGGCACACTACTTTGCCGCATAAAAAAACCTCGACAATCTAAAAGTGAGAAATGTGGTAAGAAAAACGCACCTCACATGCCGATTATATTGAAATGATAAACTTTGAGATAATCATTTATATATTTACTGGATTATTATTGACTTACTGATATAAGTCTGCATTTGCCTGCAATTAAATCCGCTCTCCACCACGCAAACTTTATTATGCATGAAATTAGATCAAAATTAATCGAAGCATGCAACCTATGCTAGTAAGAAAGTTTAATAACTACAGTGAAGAATTATTTGGTTCAATCACTTTAAGTGACATCAGTTGATCAAGACAATGGAAGCAACTGCAATTGAAAAATGTAATACGAAATCAAAGCTTCAACGCTTCGTCTTGTTGGGCAGGTCTATCCCACCTAAAAACAAAACCAGTCGTGCCGACAGAATACCAGGAAGTCCATGCAGTGAAGTCCCGTTCAATTATTCTAGTATGTCGATTAAATCACATATTTGTTGATTAATGACATATTGGTTGTTTTCGGTACAATTGTTCCACCGTTTTGACACTTGCAGTCGCTTAATACTTTCTGTCGCTGTTAGGAATAAAAACACATGCCATCGTGCCGGGTTTGTTTGATGAATAACACACAAAACCCGCGAGATTTTATACGAACTCCTGTCTGAAAAAGTCTATTTGTCTTTACGTGCTTTTATTTCATCCTTCACGCATGATATATATATATGTTTAGCCTGCAAAGGATTGTTACCTTAGTCTCAACCTCTCACGTTGAGCAATCTAGATAACTGCTAAATTAAACGTGTAACTAAAACTTAGTTTTATTGAGGATTTTGAAAACTCGGCCCTGTATGAGTGAAAAGCGAGAGATATTTAAAGCAACAAAATGCAAAATGTCTCTTCGAAAGAAAAGTTTAAACATCGTTATTGGAAAGCCAACTATAGATATGGCCACTACAGTACATTACGATTTTGTAATTAGAATGCTCGTATAGAAGCAGGGTATCATATTTTCGACCTTGGCTATCAGTTTAAAGGTTGTATATATAACTACTGAACAGTTTAGGCCCGAATTAAACTTCCTTAATGAAACGAAAGTTGTTCGGGGTGGAATTTTATCTATCTAATGAAATTTTTCGCTTAATTTTTTGGAATTGCATGTGGAAGTCTCCGAAGCGAATCTACATAAAGGATAAAAATTGAAAAGCGAAAAATTTGCTTCGTGGAAAACCGCCTTGAATTAAGCCGCTTCAATAAGGGTGGATTCATTTTGCAGGATCTTCAACGAGATAGTAAAATATTTTACCTTCAAACGCCAATAGCGACATACCACAGAAGATTAACCATGTATAAAATAACCAAGACATGTTCGTTGTTGAGTTGTTATTTAGCACATCAATATCGTTATGCGAGGAGTGAAGATGAAAGTTTGAAACAGCAAGTGACTCTCAAGTGTCCGTGTTGGACTGAAAAAACTCGTGCGGAAACAGGAAATGATGTGATATGTTAATGAAATATCAACAGCTTCCATTTCATAAAATTCGGATTTCGGTGAAAATTTCTAAGCCATGCATTAATGTCTGGTTGTATCTTTCAGATATAAATTCTACTAGGATCTGGTATGGACCCAAAAACCATTATATTTCGCTACAATTATAAACTGAAAAAGATGTTCCATCACAGGTTATGAACGCATGCATTACATGGTCAGCTGTTGCATGTTAACCCAAACAAGACATTTAAATTCACTCATGCAATTTTTTAATTCATGCATTTGGCCTATGAAAATGTTTCATTTCCTGGCTGAAACCAATGTTTCTAAAAAATGTTTTGTTTCAAACGGCCTCTGAGGTCGTTTTTATTAAAAGAATGTAAGAAAAATATAGAGCTTGTAGATAACTCGTTACTTCAAATATTTTTTTTTTCTTCTAAGTGTAACCGCTTACGATTAAGATCGCCCCTCGTTCTTGGTGCAGGATTGTAACGGTTGATAGGGGCTGGGTGGTTCTCTGATTAAAGCGGTGTATCCCAAAACGTCATCATCAACCTCCTCCATTTGATCTGGGTTACTCGTATCTGATGGTAATAGCGATTGGTAATTTGTGTTCTCTAGCTCTCTGGATTCTTTCAAAGCCATGTAATCCGATGATGTTGGTGCTGCAGAAATTCCTTGTGTAAGTTCAATTTCATTACCATTGAAAACACGGTCCACAGGCTCATAATAACTAGGCCCTGTCGGGCTCGAATTATCTGGAGCAGCTTGTGTGATGTTCATCGATACCGGAGTTTCCAACGAACCTGTTAAATTACGGAACTTGGTGTTAAAGTGAAAATGAAACTATAGTTTACTTCTGTAGCTTGTACATTGTGCGAAGTCTTACCAGTTTGTCCTGTTTCATCAACGTTGCCTTCAAAATGAAAATGATTTTCAATTGAAATACAAATGTATTTTGTCAGTTGTCGGTTGGGGTCTGCCGGTCATCTCGCTTAAGTTGTTACTTCAAGTAGTTTAGAGGCAATCAGGAATGGCAAACTGTTTTATTGAGGAGCAAGTTTAATTCAAGTAGAATTATTCTGCTCTTTATACTCCACTCTTGGAGTAATATTGGTTTCCAAAGAGCACCGCTTGAATAAAACTATAGCTACTGAAAGATAACAGTGAAGCGTGAAGAATACTTCGATTTGTTTGATTGTTTCAAAGTGATTGTTTCAGTAACACCAAAACAAACAAAATCCTGAATTAATATGTTTTAGAATTTCAGTAAGATAAGTGAGACCCCTCATGAGCATCCATAGTTCAAATGATTCAAGCATACCAGAGTCATTTGAGTAGATGCATTCCATTATTTCCATTTACAGGTTGATCTTGAGGAGCTTCATATTTGTCATGTTTAACGTTGTTTGCTTTCATTTCATTGAGGTTCTCTGGTGAGTCTGCTTTATGTTATCTACCATAGTAAAACTATAGTAAATAACTATAGAATATAGCTAACCTATTGTCTATAAATAATAAGTAAATAATAGAGTTGAAATACAGAATGAATTTGCAATGTGAGTGACATGTTAATACTGAACTGATAATTTCCTTACCTTAATTATTGCTTTATTAAACCAAGTCAAATGCATTGTTTTCTTGTTTTGACTAGTAGATTCACTGAATATTACGTGGATGTTTTTCATCAAATCACCTTTAAAAAAAATACAAATTATAAACCGTTTAGAATTTAACAGTTAAATAGAGACATGCGGGTAGACCACGCACAGGTATCTTAAGATGCATGCATGGGTATAGCACATATCATGTTGGTGGTATTATTTGATTTTTTTTTTCTTGCAGTCCGAATTCATATTTTAGCGTTTCCTGCAATCTGATTGGCTACGCGAGCGATCCGTATGAGGCCGTACGGACCGCGCAAGATTTAAAAGAACGCACGCACGGGGGGCGGAATTAAAAAAATAAATCTATTGTTACCAGTTTAGTCGGTCCATATAGGGAAATATTTCTCAAGGTCTCAACCTTCAATCTGGTATACGGACCTCCAATGTGGTAAATAACATATATTTATTTTATTATACCACTAAAACTAAGCTATATGTTAGGTGAATAATCCAACAGCATTGCACAATTCCTTATAATGCATTAGCTATTTTATCCAAATTCTTTATCAAAACTAATGTATATCCTAAGATTCAGTATATCATAATCCTAAGATTGCATGAGTATATCTGTTATGGCATTGGCAGATGTTTCATGTTCATGCATATTAGTGCTTGAATCCATGCTTTTGAACATGGTTTAGCCAACGTCCTCTGAGATCCTTACCTCCTTCCTCCAAATCCTTACCTCTGAGAAGCCTCCATGAGATCCCCACTGCATGAGCCACTCAGTTTAAAACAAATTCCGCGATCTTCTCCACGAATCCTTGCGACATAATGCCCAGTAAAATTTGATATACATTCGAATAAACAATCCAAAATACTTAATGTCGATTTATACTCTGCAAATTAAGGAACAAACAACAACGTGCGAACTGCGAAGCGACGCAATCCCAGCACGCATCGAGAACGCGGTGCAATCCTATAAATGTATCACTGGTCTTCGCGCAAGTTACCACTTACTGCAAGGTACCCCATCTGGCTGGAGCTTTGCTTATTTTAAGAAATGCTCCTGACTTAAGAATATAAAAGAAGTAAGAATTTAAAAATATTCTTGCTTGTTTGAAAGCGGCTTTCAAGATGCTTTGGATATTATAAGGAAATTAGTATTCTTGGCAAGTGAATCAACAAGCTTTTTTGAATGGCGGTTTTAAATCAACAATATTTCTTGCCAAGAATCCACAAAGACGCTTTGCTTGTTTTAAGAACACCAAAATTTATAGTGCGAATACAAGCTAGAACATTCACTTGTTTTAAGAAACTGTTATTCTTGCTTAGAACAAGTTTACTTATTTCAAGTAAAATTCATTCTTGATAAGAATAATTTATCCCCTTTTACTTATTTTAAGCACAATTTTGCTTAATATAAGAATTTCTCAAGAACTTTATTCTAGGTAAGATATATATATATATATATATATATATATATATATATATATATATATATATATATATATATATATATACACACCCATTTGCAAAAACGTTGGCTGCAGATAGATATATAGATAGATACTCGAAATCTAATTATAATTGCATAATTATGTTGTATAATTTTATAGAAATCCCATGCAAATGTAATCATATGCAATTCTAATTAGACTTCGAGTATCTATCTATCTATCTATCTGCGGCCAACGTTTTTGCAAATGGTGTATATATAATATATATATATATATATATATATATATATATATATATATATATATATATATATATATATATTTTTAGAAATTACTGATGTCAGTCGATTGCATCAAATCTTATGGGAGTGACAATATGCATGCATGTCAGCGTTAGTTCACAGCTGACATGCATAGTATTATCGCTCCCATATTTATAGTAATATGGACTACCGTATACCTATTATTATTATCTAACCATCGAACAGCTTACCTGGGGGTTTTGAAGTCTTAACACTTTTGCTCCAAGCCGTCGAATAGTATTCATTGTTATAGTCCTGAATGTCATATTCAAGAGAAATAAATATCAATCCAATACAGAGAAAATTCAATACAGAGAAAAATATAAAGAAACAACTGTGATTGCTTTCCCACCAAACATACCTCGCTTTCAAAAAATCTTAAAAACGCGACATATCTTGTATTGTTTTTTAAGGGTTGGTTCAAATATATTCTTTTCAGTTTAGAATTATATTCCTTGCCATCGCCGATCACAAACATCTTGGGTAGAACATCAGCTTTCAAATAGGCAGTGATATAAGGTTTGTCATAGCTTCCAGACCCGTAAGATCCGAGAGAGTTGGTTTTGATGTTTTCAACCGGTGTCGGTTCTCCCGAGTCAATTTTTACAATGATGATTACACTTCTACATAAAAGAGAGGACGACTAGAATTGTTAAACTCGATTTGAGTTTTAAGATCAAACTATCAAGTTTAGATGATCCCGTTTTTAGCCGAGATTCAACCAAACGCGCAAAATGATTTTAAGGTATTGAAATGAATATATAACATGATCCTGGCAGTTGTGTAGCCCATCCCGACAATAGCTTGTGCTTGTTTTGTTTTTTTTCATAACGACGTTTTTCAGTGCCTCAAAATCATCGCACGCTTCGTGACCCGGTAGCTCATGCAGGTATAAACAGCCCCTAACTGCGTGTAAACTTACTTGATATGATCTGCTTGTTTCGAAATGTTTATTCTTAGAGTTGAGGAGGTATCTTCGAAAAGTTTAACAGGCTCTATAAAATGTTAAATGATATATTAGATCTATATTTGATATATATAGATACGCAATTCCAGTTAAAGATCTGGCCTTTTACCTCCATCTGTTATTCCACTGACTGCTGTACTTTTCGGGCCAACACCGCCAACTGTAGCAGCCGAGACTGTCACGAAGTACTTAGTAGAAGATTAAAGTCCATCTATAGTATACGCAAATTTCCCGGTCGTGATGGCGGATGTCGTGATGACGGAAATGCATGTCAGACTATTTTTATTTTCATGAATATAATGGCAAACTTTAAATCCAGTCAGCTTCTCAGCATTCCATGTTCTTTCATGAGGAGCCGTCCAGGTTATAGCCAATGAGGTTTGACTACGGGCTGTGAGTTTAGCATTATAAGGGCGTCCACTGGGAGCTGAAACAGAGATAACAATATAGGCCTGCATGATGTCACACCAAGTTTGATTGGTTCCACATTCGACCTCAAAGGTTTACCGCGTTTGACGTCATTATGAGAAAGGTTTATTATTGCATGCTGTCATCTTAGATTAAAGGATTTACGTTGAAACGTAACTTGCGAACGAAACCAAACTTGCGACCAGTTTCTTTACACCTAAATAAAAACTATTTTGTTTTTGAACTGGCGTATTCTGCTGTGTTTATAATTACCTGCTTCTTTTGTCCTAAATCTTTTGTATTCTACTCCGCTCCTCCCACCGTAACTGTCTAAGGCTTCAATTCCAACTTGATACTCCGCATATGGCTGAAGATTACTGATATTATACTCATTTCCTCGTGAAACGGATACGGGATTCTTTCCGATCAAATATATGTAGAGATTTTTTATATAACTTGAGCTGGAGGAAGTTGGTAGTTTCCAAGTCACTAGTGCTGAATTCTTGGAAGGATTAATTCGAACATCGTACACGAAACCTGGACGTTGAACTAAATTCGGATGAAAAGAACACTCAGGACACAATTCTATATTTTCACTCAGTGTTTCAAAATTTTCACTGAACATCTTTTAATACGAAAGTGGCTACATCAAAACAAATCACAAATATTCATACCAAGAGTTCCGACATCAGACATGAACATATATACTCACCCACTCCACAGAGTTCTATTCTAAGACAAAAGTCTGTGTTTCCAGTTGATTCCATCTTGATATGTCTCACATTATAAATATCAACGTCCGTAGTCGATGCTTGATAACCGTTCTGGTTTCCTTTGATCTTATAAAAATTGAAAATGATAAAATGCTGGTAAAGTATGACGATAAAACACGAAACAACTACGTTTGCAGTTTTGGCGGCGTTATATCATGTGAAGTGAAAAACCTGCAGTAAACAAGTTGCGGAGAAATAGTTATAAAAATAGATATTATGTTATCATCGTTGTATTCCTTTAACTACCTGTACTACACGACTGCTATCCACCAAACTTCTATCATGGCTGTATTTCAATGAATATGATCCACTCCACTTCCTTCGATAATTACTACCCATGACTACAACTCGTGTTATGTGATATTCTTTTTGAAGGTCGAAGGTGAGATATGAGCCAGGCGTCGAGGAACACCAGCCACCTTTAGTAAACCTTGCTTCGTGAAAACTATTACCTCCACTGCCACCAAATATGTTATCAGGAAAAGTACTGTTGTTGTTTAGTAACTGATTGTCACAAATCTTACCTGCAGGTAAATAAATAAGAATCAATAATATGTTTAAATATATAACGGAAGGGTAACAAAGGGCGTTGTCTGAGGGAGAAAATAGGGTGCATGGATATAACTCTCGAGAAGTAAATTAATACATACTGAGCCAGTGGAGGGGCTTAATTAAGCCTCGAAAAGACATGAAAATGTCGTCAAATTACTGCTCTTCCGTTAAAATGCGAATTCATATTAGCAAATTTGAGTAGTGTATTGTGCAGATGTAAAGCATAGTTAATTATATTAATTCTGGGTACGAGCTGATCTAAAACACCATTCAGGATGGTTAAATTTAATGTATTCGCATATGACTGGAAAATCAGAATATATTTTTCGAAATTGCGAACCGGATTATGGCAATAATTACATCAGCAAGAAACCACAAGTAGATTTTTAGGCAGGCACCTTGGGTGTAATAAAACGTGTCAATCCCAATAATTAGAAATACTTACATTCAACATATGGTATTTTATCAGACGAGGTCGCTGTTTTAGGTTGAAGATCAACACAACACGACGTTTCTCCGGGCTGAGTGTTATAACAAACCAAGTCACCAGCTACGATACTCTCACCATTGCGAGCTCTACTAAAAGTAACTTTATTGTTGAGACGGTCTTGAAATTCCAAATGTTGACATATCCACCTCTCACTGTTTTCATCCAAATTTTCTTCAGATACTCTCACCCATGTTTTTTCGTATATGTAGAGGTAGCCTCTGTAGCCACTTGATAATTTAATTTGAAGTCCTGAAACTTGACGAATAAATTACAGAATTTATCATCCGAAAACGAACCAGTGTCTTCGGGGAATTTGAACGTCGAACTTTTTGGAACGGCAAATTTTGTATAAATATTACCCGTGAATATCGAAAGGCGATTTTTTTCACACTGCAAATTTTGGGCATAGCAGCTATAGCCTGATCAATGTGTATGACGTAACCGCATTGCGATCATTTGGGATGCCCTTTACAGCAAAATTGTCCATTCAAACGATTTCAGATATATTTAGAAAGTGTATATATAGTTAGATAAGCTACCTTGTAATTTTTTTAAATCAAAACGTCTGGTTGATACAAAAACTGAAGTTTGGTAGTTGCCAAATTTGCATCTCTCAAAAGAAAGATTGCAATGTGTAAAACGGCCTTGAAAGCTGATTTCCGTATTTATTCATAGGTAATAAGTAAAAATGGTTTAATTATATTGCGATAGTAATGTCTTTATTTACCCTCACAAATCAGATGATGGTGAAGTTGTGTACTTTACCTGTTGTTACGGAGCTTTTATAGTTATCCACACAAGTGTATTCGGTATAAAGTTCTTTCCTTGTGTTAGAACAGAGGTTTGGTAATAGTAAATTGTTGTCAACATTCAGTTCACAAGATCTCTTTCCACCACAAAGAGATTTCAACCTACAACTTGTCACTGCAGTACATTGTGCATCACTGTGGGCTCTGCTGTTAAATGTACCGCTATTGTTGAAGTTGCCATAATATGCTTTGTGGATCACCATACGTTGTTTTGGAGAACAATTAACATCTTTCATTTTGTTACCGTACTTTGTCACTGAACCTGAAATCCAGTTTCACAAAAAAATACAAATAATTTCGAATCAGATAGATAAAATCAGTTATCAAATAGACATAACAGAAATAGACCTTTTTAGCGACGGGCAGTTAACTACAACACGTTCCATGCCTTAATTATTATTTAATTATTTACTTACCAAAAGTAAACGTCTGCCACGATCCGTCGCAATATGTTCTTCTATACAGATAATCTCCAGAAAGCTCAGCACATATTCCACGACTTCCGTCATTGTAAAAATATAAAGATCCTGCGTCTGTTTGTTTCATATTTTGACTACTAAGTTTTTGGGTGTTTTTTGCTCTTGTTGATATTGCTACATATATCGCTAAACGATTCTGATAGCTGGAAGTTGCGGTAGAATGCAACGCTCCCCCAGACTCGATATGCCACAATATTTCTGTATCGTTGTAACGAAACTGTGCTTTATCATCCAA